GCGTCCATTCCAAGTATTTCGAGATGAGCTTGTGTCATCTATGAAATTAGTTGGTGGGATATCTTTGGGGTGGTATTTGTGGTTGCTCTGGACATGGTGATGCAGTGACGCTAGCCTGGCTTTGCTTGAGACTACCGACCTCCTTTTTTCTCGGCGCTTGCCTTTTCTCCGGTGATACTTCGTACACCTGTCGTTAACAGTCCTTGGCGTTTCAGCCGGCATCAACCAGTATTCGCGAAGGCAGCGTCTCAGACTATCGATTTTCATCTCATTCCGCCGTGGCCAACGCCATGGCCAATGCCCCCTGGCACTAGCTAATTCCCCGAGGCACTTGGGAGGCAGCTAGCATGGTGCTCTGTGAATAAGTGGCTGGCGACCACGCATTACTTCTGACGCGGTTGTTCTGTCTTTCTCTACGCCATCATGTCAATGTGCAGCACGTCAAGGGTGGAACAATGTATCCTGAGAGTATCAAGCCTGCATGGTCTGGAGATCCTGACCCACGCCAGCGGTTGGACAGAGTGAAAGGCTGGCTCCTTCTGTGATGTTGTGCTTTGGGCCACCTCTTTGACCTTTTCAACCAGGCTTTGATACGGGGTATTTTATGACAATACCTCCCAGGAGGACAAATCGAAAGACAGCAGTATACATGACAAAGATGCGGAGATGTAGGGAATCTGCGACGAAGTACGGAGTAGTATAATATGTACGGAGTACGAGTATGTGCAACCAATATTAGATACATAGGTCGGGTCCTGCATAAGGTCACTCTACTCGCAACCTGGGATTCAGGTATTTATCAAAAACGGGTGGCTGTTGTTATTCCCTCCTTTTACGGAGTACTCCGTACCTATTCTCTGTACTCCGCACAGAGAGAGTACTGTCGACGCGATGCCAACTGCGCTTCGTAGACAACAAGGTCTCTACCAATTCTCCCGCCCCCGAGAACGATGAGTTTTCTCTGCCTCCTTTCTGCGCTGACGCATGTTTCGCACGGTGGCTGATCAAGGCACTGCATACGAAGCAACAATAAGAAAAGTTGCCTCTTGTTGTGCGCCATCAGCCAACTTGGAGGAGGCTATTTGGTCTTTCTTTGCTTCTTCTCTTCGTTGCTTTTTCTTGGACACAGTGGTTCTCCAGCTTGTGCCACCCACCCCCCCCAAATCCCAGGTTGGCCTATTTGATGCCAGAGTGTGGTAACGACTTTTGCCCTTGGATGCGGCCAGGATTCCTGTGTTTCCGAAGCTGCAATGTCTAATGTCCAATGTCCTGGCATGAGCATCACGAAGTCGGCACATCTCGCCTGTGCCATGTCTCTCTTTCCGGATCACATTTTTGTACTTTCGTGCATGAAAAATAATGTGATAGCCACCACGTCACATTCATCCACCTCCTTTCTGCCCAGTATAACTACGGTGTACTATCTGACCAGAAACCATCCTACCGAGGAACTAGTTAGTTTGCGCGCCAGCTAACGGTGATTTCAGCTAGGCCAGTTGTCGGGCGACGCCATATGAGTAAACTGCTCTGAAAGGAGGAAAAGACACAGGCTGCCGTTAGAGCTATCCCCTCCCCTTACTAGGCGTCAGGCCTAAGTCATGTCAAAAGAGTACATCGAGCATCCTTGCCACCAACAGGGGTCCTTGCCAGCCACAAAGTTAAATAACACTACTATTTAGAAGTAAGAATTCTAACTAATGGTCTCGCGCATCGCGTTTTTTAAAAAACAGGGCAAAATATCGCGTTTGTTGATGGCTTGGCATATCTTTTAGAATCAATAACTCTTCAACAAGATGCCTCGCAGGCCCTATCTCGACCGCGATCTCCGTCTACAAGTCCTTACTCTCTATAAGCAAGGCTTTACCTACACTTAAATTATAAAGGCTAAAGGCCTTACCTATCGCTAGGTCCGTTATATCTATAAGTAAGGGGTTCCTTCTCCTAAAAAGCAAACCGAAAGACCTCGATCTCTCTCTATAGAGTAGATTAATACCCTTATTAATTATATTTGTGCCAGCCTAGAGAATAGGCAGTTAATATATGAGGAACTAGCTAAGGATATACCCTTTGGGGTAGGAGCTTATACTATTCGATATACTTTACGCAGAGCTAGATTCCAACGTCGAGTTACTCGAAAGACCCCCCCTATATCCGATCGAATTTACAAAGCAAGACTACAATTTATAATGGAGCATCTATATAAAACGGAAGAGGACTAGAGGAAGATACTCTAGACGGATAAGACGTAGTCTATAGGGGGTTAACATACCCAGATATTTGTTACAAGAAGGAAGGATAAGGCCTTTGACTCTACCTATATTATATTAGGTCCTCGAAGAGGCAGAGGCTAGATATTCTAGGGCTCTTTTGTAGGTACAACTAAGGGACCTTGCCTTATATGGGAGAAGGAATAGGGCAAGATAGATAGAGCAAATTATAGCAATAGAATCATTCCTCTAGTAGCAGAATAGATGAGAGCTTATCCAGACTACGAATTTATGCAGGATAATGCCCCCCCTTATACAGCTACTGTTACAGCAGAGGCAATAGCAAGGAATAGCTTCAGCTCAATTAACTAGCCCCCTTACTCCCCGGATTTAAATCTAATTAAGAACGTTTAGAATGTGATAAAGGACTATATCCAGGCTTATTACCCCTAAGTAATAAGGCCTACAGAGCTTAAAATAGCTATCTAGGAGGCCTGGGATGCTATCGAACCTACGTTCCTTGACTCCTTAATCAAATCTATGGAGGATAGAGTATGGGCTATGTTTTGGAATAAGGGAGGCCCTACAAAGTACTAGATATAGTATATCTAAATAGAGACACCCATATAAAATACTAGTATATCTCTAAGCAACTATAAAATGGCATTGGAACTAATATTTAAAAGGTATAGCCTGGCATTTAATAACCCCCCTGCTCAGAGCTCGTATTTGGTGGAGCCAAAGTACCAATTTGACACTACATACCGATGGGTGACTGTAGTCACCAGAGACTTCCTGTGGACGTATGGAGGATGCACGCTGAAAATCCGGTGAGCGTTACCGGCGTTCCTCTTCGTATAGGGCCCTCCGCCGTACGGAGTACCCAGCATTAACTTCTCCGTAATGGAGTCCCGTTTCATTTCTGTCAGGAGATGTAGATTCATTCTCATCCTGCATAGAGATGGCATTGCATCTTGTTTGTTGGCTAGGTTGGCATCAACTCCCGCAGTTCCCGAGTATATATAACTAATAACAGGGGGGATGCAATAATAATTAATATACGGAGTACACGATGGGCTTCATCCCGCTCCAGGCCCAGGACAAGGAATTTTTTACTATTATTATTATTTTTCTTTTCCATCTTCCAGTCGCAATGGCGAACCCAACACCAAAACTGCCCAATTACCAGCCGGAATCACAGCCACATCGGCAGTAGGGCGCTAAAACAAGGGGGAGCACCAACGAGGTTAAACTATCCCGCCGATCTTTTTACCCCTGCCTGTGGGTACTCTATGGGATGCAGAAGTCAGGGGCTGAACAAGTTGAGAAGGCTTGTTTACTCTTTCTGACTCCATACCAGTACCAAAGATGGCACCCCCGCATATACTCGCTAGTGTACTCCGTATGACCTTGGATATACCAGTCTGACCTCAGTTTACCGAACTGATGAAGCCTTTCTTTAAATAGTTATGGCACCGGTACGCTCGAAATTGGGACGGAAGTTGGACAACGCCCACACGTACTGGGTACCCTCTACAGGAAAAGCAAAAACTCCAGCCCGGTTATGAATACCGTTTGCTTGAAGAAGGGAAAGCAAGGCATAGGAACCGTCCTCCAGTCAAATGATTATCCACCTTACATGCGATTCCCACGCACGGAGTACCTACAGCGAGTTGTAACCTCAATTTCAGACAACTTAAGAGAGTTCGTTCGCTTCTTGACAGCTCTTTTTCTCCACAGCCCTTAGCCACTACTAAACGAGATAGTCACATATTGGACATCTTTGCCGTGCGTACCTTACCGCCACGACGATCTTCCAAAGCGGCGCGTCCACGGCCGAGAAGGGGGTATTTTTAGCGCCTCAGGCAGGGGTAAAAAAGGGCTGCTTGCATTCTTTCTACAACGCCGAAAGCCTCACATATACCAATAATATCTTTAAGCCCCGAGAAGCAGACGCTTTTCTTCCCGGCTCGTCATTGGGGTTAAGACATCCGAGCCTGCAGTTGGGTCGAGACCGTGACCGTCCGTCTTTCGAGTACTTGATCTCTTGGATTTCTCTTTTCTTTATTCTTATTATTATTTGACACGTTCTCTTCCCTCTTTCCTATCCGGCAAATTTGCATTCCTTTTCCTTCGTTTAACATTCCTTTCTCTTCTTCACCACAATCGTTACCTTCCCTTATATATATAATATTGACTTGTTTGAACCACTTTCGTTCATCAGCATTCGCCTATCCATCCTGCGTTGAGATTTTCCAGCTCCTGGAGGGGCTATAGTTATCTCAGATGGCCGCTTCACTATGGAAGGGGCTCGCTGTCCTTTACTTTCTTCTTTGCACAGCTATACCAGCATTTGCAACTGTCACAATCAAGGGTGTCCAAGAAGGTGTTAACCAGGGTACTGGCCAAAGGCCTGCCCGACAAAACCTTGCGACTTGGGAGTTTTCCGGGCCGGCTTTCGATCTATATATACAGGCCCTCCACGAGTTCCAATACACAGACCAAAAGGAACTTCGTAGCCACTACTCTATCGCAAGTAAGCGGCCTCCACGAATACCAACCACCTTTCAACCACTAATGCATTGCAATTAGGTGTTCATGGATTGCCGTATGGACCATGGGACGGGGGTGAGACCACTTCCCGACAGCAGGGATACTGCTTGCATGACTCCACATTGTTCCCTATCTGGCACAGACCTTACTTGGCTCTTCATGAGGTTGGTAGACATAATTAAGATATTTAAAGGACGATGCTGGAATCTACCAATGCTAACACATGGATATAATTAGGAAATGATCTGGACACACGCTCAGAAAATTGCCGCTTCTTATCCTGAGAAAGACCGTGCCAAATATGTCACTGCTGCAAAGACCCTCCGGATTCCATATTGGGATTGGGCGAGCAACCCTGATATTCCGCGTTCTATGACTACCGCCAAAATTAATGTAAACACTCCTACCGGTATGCAGAGCATCGACAACCCTCTGTATCAGTATAAGTTTGACCCCTCTGTACAAAAGGGGTTCCCAGAAGGGGATTCGGTAAGTTTGATAATAGTCACCCAATCGTTTTCAGGGCCTCTGGCTGACAATATTTAATTTAATTACAGTTTACATCCAACCCCCATTCTACTCGATTTCCCGACGCAAACGGTGAATCTCAAAATGACCGAGCTACCAGGGCTATGAGATCAAATGGTGCATCGTAAGGCCCACCAATTGAAATATCCCCACCATATTATTCTGGTCCCAGAAACTAACCGTCTTTCCTATCTAGCCTCCGATCAAGCATCTACCAACTCCTAAGCAGTGAATCGGATTACAGCACTTTTTCAACCCAAGCATTGCCGGACCGTAGCGGATATAACAATGTCGAAACTGTGCACGGCTATGTACATGGCCTGGTTGGTGGTCAAGGCCACATGACTTATATCCCGTGGTCCTCTTATGATCCAATTTTCTGGCTTCACCATGCGTGAGTTTGCCCATAAAAATGATGCTTGACTGAATTTAAGGCTAACACCCAATAGAAATGTTGATCGACTCATTGCCCTTTGGCAGGCCATCTATCCTGATTCATATGTCGCACAAGTACCCAACGGCGGCGGCGCGTATATGACTGAGCGAGGAACTATGGAGGATGGAAACACACGTAAGTGCCGTAACTGTAGGCAACAATTTTCGTGACGCATAGCGCTAACTTTTACAATACATATAGCTTTGTACCCATTCCATGCTGATGACAGCACATACTACACTGCCAACACTGCACGGTACACCAAGACTTTCGGGTACACCTATCCCGAAATTGAAGACTGGGGTGTCAGCAAGGCCGATCTCCAGAAAAATGTTCGACGACGTGTTAATGAACTATATAATAATCCTTCCAAACAAGCCGCGAAGCGGTCCACCGTCCATCGTCGTGCACAGAGATACGATTCGTACATCCAAGGCAGCAACAAAAGCCAATCGCCAAGTACCACGGAATCCCGCTTTGAGGCTGTACTGGACGATGCGTTTGATATGGTTGAAGCCATTGGTGACTCGATCAGCCAAAGCTTGGATCGATTTGACGAATGGGGTGTCAACAACATGAAGAAGCAGTGGGTTATTAAAATCAGGGTTAACAAGTAAGTCTATAGGGGAAACACTGTATTATATTTGCGGATTTAAGGACACTGACGCTTAAAACTCAAATTAGGAGCGCTGTGGGCAAGCCCTTTAGCATCCACTTCTTCATGGGAAACCCACCAAAGGACTCGAACACCTGGCGTTATGCACCCAATCTGATCGGCTCATATGGAACATTCGTTCACGGAATGGGTATGCCAAACCCTAGCATGGTTTGCGGAGAGGTGCCGCTTTCTCCAGCCCTCGCTGCTCTTCTTTCTACCAGCACCATCCTTGGCTTGGATGACACCGTGGTCGTCCCCGTCCTCACCAAATTCCTCACTTGGAGAATTCAGGATCAAGATGGGAAGGTCATTCCCACTGAGGATGTTGCTAAGTCTAACGGTGGTAAAGGACTTGAGATCCGCGTTGCTAAGCGTGATGTTCAGCCCTTGACCAAGGGTGACCTCGATAACTTCCCTCAGTTCGGAGAGTGGGATATGTATGATAGCATTACCAAAGGGAAGGTAGGGGGCTATTAACGCTACAACCATGGACTAGCCAGGACGATGCTCCAGTGTTGAATTGATACCAGAATGCCTTTTCCCTCTTGCCTTGTTTCTATCCACTTCCCTTCCCTGCGCCCACCCCCCCCCCCCCCCACCTTCTTCTTTTTTTTTTTTTTTTTTTCTCTGCTGGCTGTTCTCCATCCTTGGATTCTTGCATTTCTTCGGTCTTGTGCCATTGAGTTGGCACCATGCATTTGTTCGTTTCAGTATATAATACAATGTGTTCCAGCCTAATTTTCGGCATCTAAATATCGTGGCTGGCTAGGGTATTTGTTGTTACGTCAATTTCACTATACTAAAAATAGAAATGTGTTTAAGCCTCAAGGTTTGGATAAGGTGGCCTGTGTGTAACTCCAAATTCCATCTGATAACTTTGATTGGACAGCACTCTGCTGACTTAGCCATTCCGCGGCGACTCTCAACATCTTTCCCTCCAAGCGACATCCACCGTTTGCAGGGGTCGGGGCGCTATTATGTACCAAAAATTAGATAATCCTCGGCCGCTCACTGGACATGGAGACATCCCAGCTGGAAGTGCAGAGAAATTCACCCAATAAGAGAAGTTATGCTTATCTTCTCCAATTACAACTGTTACATTCCGAAGCACAGCTCCCTGTAAAATGTCCTTAGGCACCGCTTTTGTACCATAGCTCCGGTAATTAAATTAAAACAACTATGATGAAACTTGCTGCAAATGCATGGGCCGTTAGGAGATATTTCCTCTTACGTCCATCATATTGTTGTTCAAGCCTAATGGTCGGTATTCATTAATAATGAAAATTGGGGAGACATTGTTTGCTCAAGAGCCCGTGCGGGATCAAAACGAACGAGTTCCAAAAGAATAAACAAAAAAACGCAAAAAAGACGCCTCGAGTTCTGACCGAATATATTTTGGAAGAATTTGAAATTCGACGTTTTATTCCCGCCTTTATCTACCCTATTATTTCCTTCGGTTTGCTTCTCGCGCTCCTACTGCCCGTGGATGCGCTGAATGATTGACGAAACGCCCTATTTCTTAATCAAACAACATTTGCCAGCCTTAACTGAAAAAGTTTCGCGTATATGAGATATTAATTAGCCAGACAAAGCGTTGATTCCAACTCCGCCTTCCCTTATCTCGTTACCGTTTCTCAGGAGATCATACTCTCAGTAAGGGAGAATCTATACCCGTCGTAAATGAACCACTAGAAAAGTTAGAACACGCAAGAGTACATGCCATCGCTGTGGACAAAGACGTGAGTGGAAGGGATCGAGATAGCCGGTAATACCGGGTTATCTTCGACCTGCTATGGCCACGGCAACTATCATCAGTTCCTTACGGTCTATTCGGCCTCAGTCCAGTCGTTCAGCAAGCCGAGAGGAAATCCCAAATCGACAACAACAACACCCATCCATAACACAGCCGCGGCATTCGTTCCCCGTCTCAGAACTTGGGACGTCTCCATTTCCTGCTAAAGGTGTTGAAACAAGTGCGTGCGATGCTTGTTATCAGAACAATGCTCCTTGCGCCATGAAACGAGATGCTAGTATATGTTATGCGTGTGATTCCAACCACCAGGAGTGCACATTCTACATAAGTAATCAAGCAGGAAAGCGGAAACACGACAACCCGAGTCTAGGGGCTGCCAACTGTGTAAAGAGGTAGCTCTCCATTCATGCCTAAAACTTTCATACCCCACACCCCGGCACAGAGAGAGGGAGAAGCCTTACTAGAACTGATTGCTAATATAAATATCTATTCTCCATGCAAAATTATAGGCAAGCAAGGGACGATTTGCCATCCCCAGTGTCTGAAATTATGACAGGATACCCGCGGCGACTATCAGTAAATGCCAATGGCTCAAGCGAGATACCATCATCAAACCTCGGTAAAACGATGTCCCCCAAGATAGGACCATTATTCCTGAACTTTCTCCCACCAGATTGGACCGACAACAGCCAGATAGCATCAGCTCGGATTCAGTTATTCTCAGGTGAAGGCGGTTCCAACAGACAAGATGTTTCCGTTGTATCGCTGGAAGCTGTGGAAAATCTGGTCACCCCCTTTGGACCAACTTTGTTGGAGAAATACTTTCGACATTTTCATCCAACATTTCCAATTATAATGGAGGGCGGTTTCCGAAGCTCGTACAAAGAAAGGAATGGCATCTCGGCTCTCCTTCTGGGAGCTATGTACTTGGTAGGCTTGAAATGGCTAGAACCAGAGTCCGGGGTACAAACATTGCGTCCGCCAGATGCCATAGGGCTTGAGGCTTTGGTTTGTAGGAATCTAAACGAATCCCTTTCAAGGCCTGGCCTGGCCACGGTTCAAGCTGGCCTGCTTCTCTCGCAAAAATCCTCGCTCTTTACACCCAGGTTGATGGCCCAGTTGGTGACAGCTGGGTTCGATTTGGGCCTGCACCAAGACTGCTCTACATGGCAGATACAATGCTGGGAAAAGGGGTTGAGGAAAAGGCTGGCGTGGGCTTTATATATGCAAGATAAATGGTGTGCATTAGTGCATAGCCGGCCGTCACATATATTCGCGTCCAACTGGGCAGTAAAGGACTTGACCATAGATGATTTTGAAAATACCACTCGTTCGGCAGCCTCAGCTGCTTCTTCTGCTTCTATTACTACCCTTTCATCCCTTTCTAGCCATAAGTTTGGGTGTCTGTTCTTCCGTCAGTTCGTCAAGTTGACTCGCATCTTATCTGATATCATCGAATCATTCTATACCCTAGAAGCTACCCAACAGTTATCTGCATCTCACGAGAACGGCACCCATATTATCCTATCAAAAGCGAAACCCCTTCAGATTCAACTAAAGGACTGGTTTAGCCAATTGCCTGCTGAATTGAAAGTAGACACTGACTGCGGCGTGGAGGCTGGCCCGAGCGGTGGCATCCATCTGGCCTACTTTGCAACAGAAATCATGCTTCACAGGTGCATTGTCCGGTCCCTGTCGCCAGATACAGCCGATCAGTATCTTACGCACATATGTCGGTCTGCAGCAAAGACTCGTCTCATATCTGCCATGGAATTTGTAAACCGACTAAGACCCATTCACCTGCGAGCATTCTGGCCTGCTGCCGCAATGAGCAATTTCGCCCTCATCGGAGCATTTGGAATTTTACTGCAAACTACAGCACCGACTCAGGAGGAGGAAGAGTTCTATAGGGCCCGGCTACGAGAATACCGATGGACCCTGAGTGTGAGCAGAAGAGATGCAGGCTTTTTGGACTTTGCAATAGATACCCTGGGAGAGGTAACCAAACTTGTGCGCAACCAACCTCAAAAGCCGGCATTTCAAGAGTTCATGAACCACTCGTTTCTCTATCGTCCGCCAGACTCTGGTCTCATTAACCGTCTGGACTGTCATTCTGGTGTCCGTCTCCGTGAGCAGTCTATGGCATCCAGCCCTATATCACAGCAGGGAGATGCATATAATGGCTCGGATGAATACGAGAATCTCCCAGGATGCACCAGGATGCACTCTCGATCTAGCCTCCCGGATACAAAATCAGGTTTAATGTCTCCAACTGCATCAGCATCGAGCGCAAGCACCAGCCGTAGACGCTAATGTCTGGATTGTCAAGGACAGGTTGCGTTACCTGGGCGTGAATTGACGTCTTTGGTCACGATAATATGGCCATCTCAATGTAGAATTGATGAGTCCTGGATACCATAGAAGCATTGGGAGCGTTTTTGAGAGGTGGTGAGGGAGGGGGGGGGGTTGTTATACTTTGGCGGGTATGCATATCGTGTTTATCATCAAATTGCGGAGGTGTACTGTGATATATACTCTATACTCTACTCACTATGTAAGTAACGGACAATGAAGTCACGGCTTTTTTTTGACCGGCTCGCTTGAAATGTCCGTGTAATCGTCCAGACCTCCATAACACTGAGCACACATACAGACAGGTAGGGGTTCCGAGTTTGCATCCTTGCTCCAACACAGCTCGCAATTTCAAGTTTATGCACTGACTTGCATACTTTCTCTATTTTTATCAAATCCAGGTTTTTTTCTCCATAACGCCAGATTTCAAAACACCAACCCCCTCCCCCATCCCGTGTCTGAGGCAGGTTTCAGGATTTTACTTCCAACTGGTTTGCGGGCAGCGGGGTCGAAGACATGAATACGCGGATAGGATGTGCCGTTATATACCCGACAGGGAATACAAACAGAAACAAGAATACCACACAGCTCCAGCTACCAGATGGAGATGACACGGAGAATCGACACCGAAGGGGGGAGAAAAACAAAAGAGTGACAGAATACAGAAGGGTATATCAAACAAGTAGGACACTGTATGATGTGTTAGTTAGTATGTAGACTATTTTTGAAGGTACTTGCCGGAATAAACTTACGCATTAACACATCCGTCATTCTCGCAGTTATTTGTAATTTGTGCCCATTTACCCCATACCACCTTTCCTCCAGTGGTGACAAGCCCTAGCTCGGACACATTGACTTCGATGATCGTTCCTTTCGTCAAAACTCCCAGTTGTGTATACATCGGGCTTTGCGGGTTCTTTTTCACACTAATAATGGGCAGTTGGACAGTGACTGCAAGTTCTGGGTGAGTAACATTTGCTTTTTTGTATCGGAGACCCATAGGGCGAATGAATCGTTCGTATTTGACCGGTCGACGGGTGAAATCAGCTCCAACGAAGGTAGGCTTGGTTACCATTCTCTTCCACCCTTTTTTCTGGATTTTCTTTCCCGTCTTGACAACTTTGAACATCTCCTCTTCACTTATACCCTTGACTTTGGGTAACGGAACGGAGAACTTCGCTGCCTTCTCAGCACGTTTATCTTTGATGGCACTGGATAAAGCTTTCGCAGTGGTAGGTTGAGAGCGATCAAGAAGATAATTTGGTAGTGGTGTGGACGACGGCTCGCTTGGTTCGCCTGATGACTTGACATTCCGTTCCTCTTGCGCTTTGATGCGTTTTCGCATCTGGATCTTTTCTGCATGACGTTTCTTATGAAAGAGCTTGGCTCGCAGGCCTTTGAGGTTTTGGGAGTCCTGTGATTGCTTGTGCGATTCACGGGCAATACGTTTTCGGGTCCGCTCCTCGTGGTCGAGGCTGTATTCCATGTTAGCCAAAGCACAAGAACTGTCCCATGAAGGCGCCCCGCTTGAGCCTTTAGATCAATCTACTGGTATAGCGCATGCCCCAGCTTGAAGAAATGTTATAACATACCGGCGACCATGTTGCTTCTGCCATCTTTCGATATACCTGCACGCAGTGACATTAGTTATATATACCGTGGAGGGAGGGAACCTGGAGCACGAACTCGTTTTGAGGCTATCAAATAAACAATATTAGTAATTTTATCCAGAATATATTAAACGCATCAGAGAGCAGAGATATCGTCAACTTACCATCTTGGACTCTTGGTGCCGTCCTGCGTCTGCTTTACTTTACCCTCTCAGCGGCTTGCTTGAATTTCGTTAAATCAATATTTTTTCCTCTATCGATCGATAAGGGTCCCACGTGATCGTAACTTTGAGATCACATGACATATCTATGCCCGAAATTTCTCTCTACGAAAACGAGCGACAACGAAGAAGCAGAAGAGCAGAGACGGTCGATTGCGGATTCAATTGAACATCCACGTCTCCAGCCAGGCGCCGACAAGATGTTCTCAAGGGCTGTTCTGCGGAGCGCTCGTGAACTACGGACAACTTCATCTATTCCTCCAAGTGCATCACTCCTTTTTGCCAGCAATCGATGTCTTCACCAAGCTACGGCCGGCTCCCAATTCAAAGCTACACAGCCCGAAATACCTCCGCAAGGGCAGACACAAAACACTGAACGATTCTCTCATCTTCCCACCGGCTCTATTCCAGAGGTGGCTTCTATCTCGATTCCTTCTGCGAAGCCAGCAGTACCACCTACTTTCACCAGCCCTCTAGAGCTCACACCCGCAATTACGGCCCTTCTCCCCGACCTTGCAACTCAGCCTTCACACTATATAACCGCCCATCTACATGCACGACCATATCTGCTTACGGCGGGTGATACCCTTCGACTACCGTTTCGCATGCCAAATGTCCAAGCCGGAGACGTGCTACGGTTAAATAGAGCGTCAAATATTGGCTCACGAGACTTCACTCTGAAGGGTGCTCCTTATCTGGACGAAAGACTTTTCGAATGCCGAGTGCGCGTAATGGGAGTCGAGGCTGAGCCATTGCGGATCAAGGAGAAGACGAAGAGACGACAGAGACATGTTCAGCGAGTTAAGAGCAAACACAAGTACACTATATTGAAGGTGGTGAATGTCAGAGTCAAGCAGCTTGACGAGCTTCTCGCAGAGGGAGCGAAGATAGTGGGCCAGTGAAGTGCAGGTCCAGCCTTTGAGCATTTGTATGTCCATTAGACAAGGGGGATATTATACGCCGAGATGCAGCTTGCATCCCGTGCTTTTTGCTAGGTATCAGTCAGGTGTTGGAAACGGCGGGAAGAATACTGATTTTCTGCCTTGTGTATTTTATTAAGCATACTGTACAATATCCCATGTTGGAAGGTTTTCATCCTTTACACTTCTGTGACGAATAAATTATTATCTTAATAAAATCCATGAGGAGTTAAAACGTCGACGTAAAAAAAATATGAGCGAGAGAAGCAAAGTAGGTATACAGAATCATTATTGTAAGTTAAATGAAAAGTCCGTAGCGGCGTGGTGGTATAAGCGATCCCCAATAATAAGCAAAAACAGAGAGGATATAGAACTATAAAACAAGTCAAGTCGAACAAGGCTCCAACGCAGCAGTAAATCCCAAAGCCACCAACTACTCCTGGAAATGAATACATCACGTAGCAGACCAATTGAACTCCAGCATCAAAAGTATCCCAATCTTTTTATTAAAACAAGCCAGTGGAATAAGCACAGAGAACTCATGAATTGTATCCCTGTTCAGCTGAGGCCTGCAGCTTCTGGAAGAGCCCGGCAGACCATCCAATTACTTCTTCGTCCTTTGGGATGCCATGTAAGCGGCAATGACTGACTATCTTCGTCATTGCCATTCCAAGAGCTTCCTGAGTGACGGGCACAGCGCCCTCGGGGTAAGCGGGTGGATATATAAAAGGATCTGACCTATCCAAAAGCTGCGTTGTGGTTGGGCGGAGGGTAGGATCTCTTTGAAGGCACTTCTTGAGAGTGCGGATGAGGCTGGGTGGAATGACTGCACCACCAACTCCAGTAGAAGGGTATTCAATCGCCACTTTCGGGTTGGCAATACATAGGACGCGTTCCATTTGTTTTGCCAGATGGCCAAAGGGGGCGCGGCCGTATGCCATTTGGTATAAGATACAGCTCAGGCTCCATACATCACTGGGCTTTCCGATTTTCATTATCTTACCAGCGGAGGATGGAAGACCAATGGTAGCATTGTAGTCAATGATGGCCTCGGGGGCCATATAATTCGGGGTACCAACTTGATGTTCTCTGTGGACGTTGACGGTGTGATCCTCGATGGTATCAGCAATGCCAAAATCAATCAATTTTAGCTTCGCTTTCACCAAGAGGAAGTTTGCTGGTTTCAAATCGGCGTGGACAATGTCATACTCGTGTACTGCCTGCACACATTCCAGCATTTCCTTCCAATAAAACCGTGCAAATGCCGGGTCAAAGACCGAGTCCTCCGCATTTACTTTCAGTCTTATCACAGTGTGGAGGTCGGATTCTCCCATTTCCATGAGGACGCTAAGTGTCTCCTTTTCTTCGTTTATCTCATAATCAAGTAGTCGTACTACTCGTTCGACCTTCTCCAGCTTTTTGAGCAAATCAATCTCGCCCTTGTATCCTGCAAGGTTCGTTGGATCGACATGTTCTAGATTTACCCTCTTCAGAGCAAATATTTTGCAATTTTCTGCCATAACTCTATACACTCGCGAGCTTCCACCCCGACCAATACAGTCTAGTCGGGTATACGCCTTATGATTGACAGTCACTATTGCTTTCTTGCGTCGAGAGCTCGACGAGGACGCTGCCCCTGCTGCTGCTGTAGCCGTTTCAAGCACAGTCATCTTTGGGGGAGGAGGAGGTGCTCTATGAGGAGTTGGGACATTGGTGCTCATGCTTCCTAGTGGTTTTCTATCAGGATCCTGCGGCGTGGACTTATGTGAATGCCGGTACAGATCTTGTTTAATGGCTGGCTTGTCGACTCTATCAAGCATGTCAAAATGTTGGGCTTTGGATTTCTTGAAAGTTGGTGGTGGCTCATTTTCTTGTTCACGATTTGCAGGAAATTGGGATGGTGGAGGAATATGATACGACTGAATGTCAGCGGGAGGCACTGACTCCTTTGGGTTTGACCTTGACATCACCCCAAGACCTGGGGTTGGGTATACAGGGCTCGATACACGGGGAGCTTTTGGCTTGCTTTCCCTGTTATACGACCCATCGTGGTAAGGCGGTTGATGAGGTGGAGTATGGATTTCCACTGGAGAAGGTTGTCGCTGATCCAATCCGGCAGGCGAGTGTTTTCTGCCTACAGAGTTTTCCAAGGCTGCTAATGAAGGGCTGTGTCCTTGCAGTCTTTCTCCCCTTTCAGCATCTGAATCTCCTGCTTGTTCCTCGTTCTCGAAGCACTGTCGCTCTTCGCTGCGTCGAGGTAGCATTCCTCTGCGGGCAGGGCCATTCAAAAATTCACCGGTCAGCTTCCCCACACGCTTCACCCGAATCGAGCTTTGCATTCCCACAACCTCGTCACTTTTCCTTGGTCTGAACATGCTTCGTGGCCCTGCCCTCTCGCCAGAAACACCGGCATGATCCTTGGATGCATGAGTCCTATGCCTTAGAGGAGAGTGCGATTCGTATTGACTCTCATCATGTTTGGTCCTGTACTCACGATCAGGTGAAGCTCTTGGGGACGGGGTTTGATTGCTTGACCGAGACCGTGATACGCGGACCACGCGCTGTCGAGGAGCTGGGGTAATAAGGTCGCTTCCATCGTTTCTGCTAGTACTCGTAGCACTGGAGGCGCCTCCTTGGCTTTCGCCTTTTCGCGAAGATGATGAGGTTTCACTACCGCGAGGTGAATTCCCGTCCCATTTCCTGCTGGACGAATCTTTTTGTAGTATTGAGGCTCCATTCCTCTTTTCCTGGGGTAGGGAGTCCGTGAGGATAGCGAGAACAGACTTGCTAAAGGCAATGGGTTCTGGAGCCTCGTCATCCGAACTATCGCCAAGCGCGATGGTATCTGCATGCGCCGCGCGAGATTTCGTGTCTGTCCTCGATTGTAGTATGCTTGGGTGCTCTGAATTGTAGTTCCATTGCGATCCTGTCTCGTAGCTTGGGTGGGATGCGACGCGTGAACTGGGAACAAATCTGCGGTGGCCCGTCGGCAGCGGGGTCGGAGAAGCCATGGCAGTCAGTGTAGACGGGATGCTCTATGCATCGATCGATAATTCCTTGCGGTTTCCTGTCTCCTCTGCCTTTGCGTAGAGCCGTCGACGTTGTTCGTCGTGGAGCCTTTTTCGAGGTTTTCCTGGAAGTTGATGTTGAGGACGCTCACGTGAACGGCGGTAAACGAAGCGTTTCCACAGCAACAGCGCCAAAGTTGCTATCAAAGAGGATACATAGATAGGACGGTAGGGGGCGATATATAGCAGGGCGTATGATATAAATTCACAGCTTACTGACTTGGGGAGGGCTACAGGTCGCAGGGCGATAGCAGTACGCTAGGTAGTTACTTGGATTTTGAACTTATGGTATTGCGGGGGCCTTACAAATGGCGATACAGTGCATCCATTCCCTAGATGATCTTCCGAATAAAGACAGTAGCAAATGGGCGAATAAAGATAGAGGAAAAGACATAGCTAGCGCCTGGATGGTGAGAAGAAGCAAGGGAGAAGCCCTTGGCTAGGCGAGCAAGAGTACGACTGAACAAGCACTGCCATCGTTGTGCTCACCGAGTGGTTAGGATGCTTTGGTAGCCGCCTTCTCTGCACTCATCCTCCGCATGGCGATGACTTTCTCCTTGAGAAGCCGTTCTCGAAGCTCAGTCGAGGTAAGCCGTGATGCAGGACGCTGTGATGGACGCTGTCAAATACCCAGTCAGCAGTCCGGATAGGAAGATAGCATGTTCATGCATATAAAACACCGTTGATAAATTCCACTGAAGGGAAAGGGGGTAAACAATACCAACATGTTTATTGACCCACCTCGTCAGTAGCTGGAGGCCTATCCGGTGTGTCATTATCTTTAGCAGCTTTATCTTGAGCGGGTTGAGGGGAACTTCTGGCAGTTTCTCCATCTGAATCAGCTATTCTCTGTCGCTTTTGAGCAGGTGGTGAAGGGGCAGAACTGTTCTTGCGCGACCTGCGTCCAGCTGGGGCATATCTTTCAATAGATTGATGCCTCCGCCGGCCACTGCGGCTGCGGCTGCGGCTGCGGCTACGTGAGCTGCTCGTCGATGACCTGCTGCTGGTCGACCGCTGTCTTCGGCGGTATCTTCCGCGGCTTCGACTCCGGCTTCGCGTTCGATGGCGACTGCGGCTGCGACTGCGGCTACGGCTGCGGCTAAGCCGGCGGTGGTCGTGACTTCTGCGATCTTTAGCAATATCAGCTCTAGGTACATCACGTCTAGACCCTTGTTGGTACAAAGGGGATCTCCTCCGAGGGCGCCGACTTCTCCGATCACCCTCGCTACTTGACCTCGACGGAGATCGTGATGAAGATGCACGACGGGATCTCGAAGCCCGATTACTAGCAGGGGGTGGAGAGATAGAGCTTCCGCTTCTCGATCTTCTCCGTCTTCTTCTGGACGGCGAGCGGCTTGGGGACCTGGAGTCGTCATCATGGGTCGGGCTGCGGGCTCGTTTCCAGCCACGGTCACGGTCACGGTCACGGTCACCTCTATAAGGTGAGCGAGAGCTGCTGGTCGAACGCCGCCGCCTTCTTTCGGGAGACCTCCTATCCCGTCGACGGTCCCGAACTGGCGAGACAGAGCGTGATGGTGACCGGGACGGCGAAGTAGAGGGCTGTCTCGACGGGCGGCGCCCTCTATGATCATCTCGTCTATAGCTTCTACCACCGCTGGGAACGTAGATATCTGCTCCCCGGCGAGGTGTATCTCGGTAAACCGGTGGGCTTCGTCTCCGTCGATGAGGCGAGGGAGAATCTCTGCTGTCGTACCGATCAGCTCCACGAGCAGGGCCACCGCGGCCTCTTCTGCCACGGCCACGATCCTCTCTCTCTCTCCGCCGGATTCTCTCTAGGTCTCGTTCTCTGGCCTGCTCGGCTTCTGCCCGGCGGCGTGCTTCTTCCGCGGCAGCCTGCGTCTGACAGTTAGCTCACATATATTCCTCGACACGTAGCTAACAAATATCTTAAGAACTATGACAAAAACCAACCTGTTCCTGCATCAACTCCAGCTTCTTCGCCTCCAGCAACTCTTTGGGGACACCTTGGGGGCTATCCTGCGCGCTGAGGCAGAGGTTCCATAGATCCTTGCAGAATTTCGCTGTATCTTTCTCCAGGAAACCGGTAAGATTGATCTGTAGATGTTTTATGTTCGGCTACAACGACACGCACACACGCACACACAGTTAGCCCATCAAACTCAACCCGGAGGAGGGAAACTAGCAAACGAGAATCTGTCTGTCCACGTACAAATCGCGAGCCCTCGAGGAGGTTGAAGCAGAGCTCGATAACGACGTCGTCCTCGTTCCCCAGGATATCAGATATCCGCTCTGCAATCCATCTAGACACGAGACATTAGCACACCGGCCTGGACACAAGGATAATGGACGCTGGCTCACTCACTTCTTCATGACCTCGATGTTGACTTTGGTCATGTCCACCTTTTTCGCAAACTCCGGCGGAAATTTGGTCGTCTTCAGCAGTTTGGCGTCCATGATCGCGGCTCTTGCAGTAGCAGATCCTCAGTAGCCACCGCTGCCGCCGTCTCTGCAACTCCTTTTCGCTTCTGTCTCTTCGCCGCTGCTGCTTGTCTCTGTGGTTATCTTTTTGCTGCCTTTTGGCGCTCTTCGGGATCCGCCATGGAAATGGATTGGATCCATCCACCCAGTTCCATCGATTCCATGTGAGAGGCGGAGAAACAAACGACCGAGAGTTTTCGATATCCCATTCCAGGCTAACTAGATCCGCCATGGAACCAAAGTTACGACTATCAAAACTGCAAAACATCGACAGATCGAAACATCCGCCTTGCTTCTGGCTGAATCCACAGGCAAAGATCTTCTTTGCTCGTATCTCCGGAGAACTGCTATCTGCTTTCTCCATGGTGATTCCCTTCTTATCAAATGGCCATTGCTCCATGACTCGGCCTGCTATAATGCGCATTGGCAAGGCGATGCCTTTTTGGAGCACGCCGAGGACACCTCGCCCGGCCTAGTTCAGCCTCTCAAGCCGTGATATTGCTCTTTGCCGTGCGCACTGCATATCTTGGACCGCAGCATTCCTAGTCTGGCCTAGTCGGGTCACTGTTTGTCTGGGAAACCCTTGCTAGAAGACTGATAGATATACAAAACGAAGGCGTCCAACTTCATGCCCGACATGGTTGTGCTTCTACACAGAACCCCGTATGCCGACTGTACGGCATGATGAATGATACCCCTAAGTGGCCCTTTTGCCATACAAGGCCAAAGCCACGTCGAAATACTCTCCCTGGCAGTCCTCCGTGGAATGCATGCCGGAATTTTGTCCGCAGTTGCGACTTGCTAACCCCTGGATATATACGAGTTGCATGTGTGTAGTGGCGGCTGGATATACCAAGAATATAGGTGCTGTACTGACTGACAGAGAGCGCACCCAGCAATTGAGCCATATTTAATCCAGTTCCCTGTTCTTTTCGTCTTCATATATCTGTGTTTATCTGCAGTTCGTTCATTCATTTTGTCAGACTAGATTTCCCCAACCGGCGATTCCTCTCTTCTTTGTCAACCCAGAATGCTCAAACAAGGTCTATACCATCTCCTGGCTTCCCAGCTATTTGGTGCATTGGTCCTGGCGAACGGTCGTGTGTCTATCGATCAGGCAGAGGAATATGGCAGTCAGCGAGAGTGTTCTCAGAACTTGTGTTTCGAGGGCTCACTCGGTAGCAACCGGATTGGCTCCGAGCTAGGCTGTCATCCTCCCCTTATGGATGACTGTTTCTGTCGCCTGGACTTGCAGGCATCAGCTACGTCTTTCTTGTCATCGTGTGTGAACAAATACTGCGAGAGTAATACCATAGACCTAACTCATGCTATCAATATCTACACGGGATACTGTGCCAATGCCGGATACCCAAGCGGTGGCGCAACCCCATCTTCAAGCTCATCCAGACAGACAACGACCGAAAGTATTGTGTTTATATATCTGAATTTGCATATTCTTCCCCCGATCCGTTTCAAGTCCCGAGTAACTGATTGTTATACTATCAGAAACCCCAACACAGACCCACACTGTGCCAGTTCGCTCCTCTTCATGGGAGACACAACCATCCACCGGCACCAGTAAACGGAGCTCTCTGTCCGTTACTCCCTCTACTGAGCCGACGTCGGGATCCAACTCACCCAATAGCATAAACCCACCTGCAAAAGACGAAGATAAACTACGAAGCGGAGATATTGCAGGCATCGTTGTCGGTATACTCGGCTTCCTCGCAACGGTTGCCGGGTGTATTTCTCTTATAGGATGCTTAAAAACAAGAAACAGCGCCAGGCAATGTCCCCAGAAGTGGCTTATGTCTATTGAGACATAGTCATGAGCCGATGGACTTGGGTACTATCAGTTTTTAATGCCAGCGTTATAGATAACAAAGTCATACTGGAGTCCACTGCGTTTATTTCTATACAAAATAGCCTTTAATGCCCGATATGCCAATATTTCAGCCATACCACTTTTGACAGCTGAATGCATGACTAGATTAATAAAGTCAACTTATCAAATCCTCACCGCGACAGGTATATCCTCAAGCAAATGGCTTCACTGATAACTGCCACGCATCATTTGTAAAGAGTGTTTCCCGCGAAGAAATCCTGTGCATCAGGATCGTCCCAGCTTCGCCAACACGGCATCCACGTCCATCCGGGCCTGTTGAAGCGCAGCGTCTACTCCACCATTCTGGTAGATGTGATGCTCCTTCATGTTTCTATGCAGTTCAATGAGCTCTGTCGCTCTCTGAACGTCCTGGTTCTGAGACCGGCCATGAGTCTGCTCGACTTTATGGGTGTTGACCAAAGCGAGCGCATCTGCGTGATCCTATGCACCTGTTAGCATCCGCCAGATAGTTAACAAAAAGTCACAGACGACCACATACGCAAGCTCGCAGTGACGCGAGGTCAGAAAGGACTCCGGCAACCTGCATCTGTCGCCTGATTCTGGTATTTGATATCGTATTTAGAATGTTCTTTTGCTCTTTAGCTGTGCTTCTCAATTAAACAGGCTCCGAGCTGCAACCTAGCTGCCAGCGGATCAACTTGTTGCCCGGCATGTCCAGTGGGAGCCCCATCGAAACTTGGCCTCGCCTCGGCAATTGGCTCTCCGCAGCTTCAAGGAGTGAACGAGAAGGCCATTAGACCAGCCATGGCTTCTATCAGGGCAAACTGCAGGAAGATCGTCTGCATAGGCCGGAATTATGCGTATGTTGCTTTATCTCCCTTCTTCTTTGGCCAAACTGCTAACCAGTTAACTAATTCCTTGCCAGTGACCACATCGCCGAATTGAACAACTCCAAGCCGAAGCAGCCATTCTTCTTCCTCAAGCCTCCTTCGTCTCTCCTCATACCAGGGGCCGGTCCCGTCCTTCGTCCCAAGGGCGTCAAACTCCATTATGAAGTTGAGCTAGGCCTGATCATGGGCTCCAGACTGCGAGACCATGACCCAAAAGATGTCAAAGGCGCTTTAGACTCTATTGCAGGCAAGCTATAACTATACAATGCACCAAACAAACATGCTGGCACGAGTTACTCACCTTGGCTTCCATTGTCAATAGGATATGTCGTTGCAATTGATATGACTGCTCGAAATGTGCAGGATTCAGCCAAACGCGCCGGCCTGCCGTGGTCAATCGCAAAGGGCTTCGATACCTTCTCGCCCATCAGCTCACTTATCTCCAAATCAGCCATTCCGGACCCGCATAATGCTACTCTCCATCTTGAAGTTGATGGTGTGTCGAAACAACTGGATAACACGGGGCTGATGATCTATAAGATACCGCGCCAACTTGCTGATATCTCACGGGTGATGACCTTGGATCTTGGCGACTTGGTCCTGACCGGTACGCCTAAGGGTGTAGGGGAAGTGACCAACGGCCAGGTCATGACGGCTGGTATCAGAGTTGGCGGGAAGGAGATCGAAGAAGGGCGACTCGAGGTCATGGTCAAGGACCGAGAAGGAAGATATGAGTTTGCGGAGAACTGATTAAAGATATTGTTAATCGCAACGTCTTCGTCTTCTATTTGACATGAAGGTTTGATCTATTTGTATATATTGTCATTTGTCTCATACTTATCATCTTCAGGACAAAATAGGATAGACTACCAGACATGTTCCATCCTACGTCCAGCAGCTTGCTAACCGCTTTCTTCATCTGTCGGCCAAACGACCGAAATTACTCGCCGTCTCTTTTTCTTCGTTCCCTCCGTTGGCTTTACCGCTTTCATTTCTGCTTCTGTATCTATACCTTCTTTGTGACTGTTCAGTCGTCTGACCACTTCCCCGAACTTGGTGCATGTCCAACGGTCGTACTTTTCAGGCATTTCTTTGGCCACCAGCCTTCGCAGGAGCGGATCGTTTAACCCTTTCCACAGAGCCATTGCTACCTGACTCTCATCATACCCCAGGGTTATATATGCCGGGCCCAGCTCAAGAAAGTCCGATAGCAGAATCGGCCCCTGCATAATTAACTCAGGAGGGTCCAGGCGGGTACCATTGGCTCTTGTGTGTACTGGGCGGTCAGTACCTCTTGTGTCAATACCGGTATTCACTGCGTTCCTGGGCTGCGCCAGTGGTTCTTCTATTGAGGTACAGTGGAGAGTTGATAATGGCTGTACATTGTCCTGCCAAACAATGACCGGTTGTGTTTCACGCTGGGGCAGAGGGTTTGGCTCTACCAATGTAGACTGCTCAATTTCAGGATTTAGGCATGCTTCATCCTGTAAAACCAGTGACAATGCTCTCTGTCTCGGTTGTAGGGTATCAACCTGCTGCTGCTGCTGCTGTCTTGATTCTATACCGAGTCAGACATATTCTATATGATACCATTGCAGCCAAAAACTCACCAGCAACAGCTACCTTGAAAGCTTCAACAATCTCATCCCTAATCCTCCCAATTTCCTCCCGAACCATCTCACTCGTCATCTCATAGTCTCTAGCGAAAGCGGTGCTCAATCTCTCGTCAATAATACCGAGTCTTTCACTCAGCTTATCCTCAACTGACCTCACCACCTTTTCGGCCTCTGCAGCTCTATCACGTCTCAATTGCTCAACCTCGCTCTTGAGATGGTCAATTTGCCCTGTGAACGCGTCTAATTTAGCCAGAAGAGAGTCATTAATTGCCGCGATGGAAGACTTCAGTGATGATTCTAGTTCTAATATCTGGGTGGAGAGTGCGTTTTGTTCACGGTGAAGCTGATGGGCCCAGAGGAGGGACGCTGGGGAAGAGATGTTTGGGTTCGGAGATTGCTTTGGCTGGATAATTGGTGCTAGGGAACTCGGTTGTTGGCCTTGAGATGACATTGTTGATGGTATGGGGGCTTATTGGTGTCTATGGTGAAGCGGACGGAAGTAGAGAGTGTGAGTTGTAGGTATCTAAGTACCTATGAAAACTCCACGTCCCATCTGAGAACCTCAGGACATCAACCACCGTTTTACGTGCAGCAGTACTAGAAGCCACGAGGCAAAGGTACAGGCATCTCAGTGCGAAATAGATGAAAGAGAAGATAAGTCAACTCCCATTTTTAGCTCTATCTATAGCAGAACGCACAAACATGCAGTATCGACTCGGTTGGGCAAAAAGGGGGAATCAGCAAGCAAAAGAAACCAAGACACCGTAAGATAACCACATAAATCATCATCTTAAGCAATTTCAGGCCCCCTCTTCTCTCCTTTTTTTCTTCGGTCTCTTCTGTCATTAGCCAGGAAAACATTTTGTATGGCCTGCAGCTTCATGCCTGGTGCCTTTTGCTCGTGTAGTGAAAACCCCATATTTGCCGGAATCAATCAGGGTAGCGCCATGGGTAGGAAAGAAGTAAGAGATGAAGGGAAATAGTAGAGAGATTCTCCTCGCAGACCTGTATTCCTCCCAGAAAATTTATCGGGCAGGAATTGCATGTCCATGCAAGGAGAAACAAACTGGAGGAATATCAGATACATGGACAAAAAAAAAGGAAAAAACTGGCATTTTGAAATGATAGCACACAAATGAGACACGGGCGACGCCCTCGAGACAAAGGAGTTGGATCGGCATACATTAACAGACCTATTCCGCCACACCTCTCATGTCGAAAGCCTTCGAAAAGGAATCATCAAGCCATGAAGAAAAGATTTTTTGAGAAGCAATGAAACTTTTGTACTGAACAACATGACTGCCAGTAGTACCCGTCATTCAGATTCAAAAGGCCGTCAAGAAACAGTGACATCATTCGTCGGAGATACCGTAAGGGAAGGGCATGATTGACTCTAAAGATGAAAGAAAAAAGGAGTTCTGGAAAGGGGTGGGTATGCCGAAAGTGAAAAAAAGAGATGTGATTAGATAAGATCTAGAAAGATAATTGTTAGTCTTTTTCCTCTTTCTGGGTCGCACGGAATTGGAAGGAAATAGCTTACCAGCAACGTTCATGGGCATCTCCTCAATCTGGGTGCTGTAGAACTGCTCGATCTCTCTCATCATGCGGACATCATCAGCGGTGACGAAGTTGATGGCAACACCCTTTCGGCCGAAACGACCACCACGACCAATACGATGGATGTAGTTCTCACGGTTAGCAGGCAAGTCGTAGTTGATAACCAAGGAGACCTGCTGAACGTCGATACCACGGGCAAGGAGATCGGTGGCAATGAGGACACGAGAAGAGCCGGAGCGGAACTCCTTCATGATGACATCACGCTGGGCCTGCTCCATGTCTCCGTGCATGGCGGAGACGGTGAAATCACGGGCCTGGAGCTTGTCGGTAAGCCAGTCGACCTTCCGGCGGGTGTTGCAGAAGATGACGGCCTGGGTGATGGTAACGGTCTCGTAGAGATCAGAGAGGGTGTCGAGCTTCCACTCTTCCTTCTCAACAGCAATGTAGAACTGCTTGATACCTTCAAGGGTAAGTTCGGCCTTCTTGACCAAGATGCGGACGGGGTCACGCATGAACTTGGTGGTGACCTCCAGGACGTCTGGGGGCATGGTAGCCGAGAGAAGGACGACCTGGGTGGACTGGGGCAGGAATTGGAAGATGTCGTAGATTTGCTCGGTGAAACCACGCTATCACATGCGTTAGCAACTGAAAGAAAACACTCTTGAGCTTAGATCACTAGGGTAACTAACAGAAAGCATCTCGTCGGCCTCGTCGAGGACGAACATCTTAATGTGGTCGGTCTTGAGGACACGGCGCTGGATCATGTCGTGGACACGGCCGGGGGTACCAACGACGACCTGGGGGCCGTCCTGGAGGGCCTTCATGTCCTCACGGACGTTGGTTCCACCGATACAGGCATGGCAATCGACGTTCATGAAGTCACCAATGGCGACGACGACCTTCTGGATCTGCTGGGCCAACTCACGGGTGGGAGCGAGGATAAGGGCCTGGCAAGCCTTGAGGTTGGTGTCGACCTTCTGGAGGGCCGAGATGGAGAAAGTAGCAGTCTTTCCAGTACCAGACTGGGCCTGGGCAATGACGTCGGAGCCTGTATAAGGGCGCATTAGCGGACGGCACACACGCGGGAACAGCTATGCGAGCTGGTGGTGGAAAACGTACCCTTGATGACTGGCATGATAGCACGCTGCTGGATAGCAGACGGGCGCTCGAAACCGTATGCATAGACACCTGGAGGTTTCGTGCGTCAGTTTGATGCGGCTCACTCGCTGCCTCGCTCAACTCCCCTCCCCCGCGCGGGCACGAGTCGGGATGGATTGTCACCACATACCTCGAAGCAACTCGCTGTTGAGGTTCATAGCATCGAACGAATCTGTGACTTCGTCATAGTTGGACTCGATCTGGCCTGTAGTCGCGAGTCAGCAATCCGTAATCCGTGATGGGCGAAATTTTCACTGCGCTGCACGGCTCCGTTGCTGGAGGCTCGCCACAGCGCCCCTCCCCCCGTCGCAACCAGAGCCAAACCAGCCGTGAAGCCGCAGTGAAGAGGGAAAAGAAGACATCTCTCGGTCCGTCTTACCATCAGGAATCTCCTCAAGTCCCTTGTCAGCCATGATTGCGGTTATAAGAGTAGAATGACCACGACGTGAGAGTCTGTGGTCAAGTTCGGAGGGGTCGAAAAGGACGACGAGGCGCCGGCGTGGAAGCTGAGTATTAAGATAGGAGACTAGAAACCTGGTGCTCTCTTGAAAGCACCGTCTGGATTTCTAGTAGTGAGTGTCTTCTCTTCTGCTGTTGACAGATAGTTACTATCTGTGTTAGTTGTTGCTGGTTGCTGGTGTAGTTGGTGGTTTTGTGTGTGTGTGAAAGATGAAGTTGAAGATTTTTTTCCGTCAACTTTTTTTTTTCTTCTAAAGTCGCTTTTTTTTTTTTTTTTTTTTTTTTTTTTTTTTTTTTTGCGCCAAAGACAAAAAAGAGAAAAAAAAAAAAAAAAGTTCAAAGTGGGTTGAAATTTTTTTAATTAACGTTTTTTCCTTGCTAGTGGGATTTCCAGCCAGTGAAAAGGCACGACAGGAAGAAGCAGAAAAGCCGTGAGAGAGACAGAAGGAAGATGCATGAAGCTGTCCGGCTGCTGGCTTGCTTGGGTTCTATGCATTTAATTGTCGCTTCACAGCTGTGGTGACGGCGACGGAGCAGTCAGTGGTGGGCTGCCGATTATCTGCCTAACTACATAGTTACATCTATGTCAATTGCCAGGTTTGTGGATGGCTTTGGAGACACAGCGATCAATAAGCGAGCGAGGACGAGGAAGACAAAAGGAAAAAAAAAAAAAAAAAAAAACAAAGAGTCAGCCTGGAGGTCGTATTAACTGACGGCTAGCTCGGCTGCTGCTGTATAGATGAAGAGTTACACGACGGGATGCGAGCTCGGTGACAGAGCAGAACAGCCGGTGGGCGAGAAGCCGGAAGACCAAGACGAAGGCGAAGGCGAAAGCGACGGTGGTGATGCGATTCCAGTCCATCCGCTGGGCGTGAAGCCCTCTGGCAACGGACTGGTAGCGGCAGGAGACATACGGCCTGCCATGGGCGTCTTTGGCTTGCTGCCGGACGAGCTGGTGTTGACGGTGCTGGAGTCGTTTGATGCCTCGACGCTGAGACGACTGGGAATGACATGCAGGGCTCTCTATGCATTTACTAGGGCAGAGGAGCTCTGGAAGGCTCTTTTCATACAGTAAGTATTATTTATACTTGGCTGTCTGGTTATGTTGTCTCTGCTAACGTATATCCCAGGGCATCACCGTCAAGCTTCTCATGGCAGGGAGACTGGCACTCGACATATCTCAACCTGCCGCAGTCAAAGGCCGCCTCGCCAGACTGCTCGCAGCTGTTCTCAGACACGCTGCACCGGCCGTTCCAGTGTGCCCATCTCTCCCTGGCCGCTTGCTATGACATACCGTCTAGGAACAGGATACCCCGTCTGGCCAATATGACTCAGGCCGAGTTTGACCAGTCATGGGCAGACAAGCCCTTCATCCTTACCGAGCCAGTCAAACAGTGGCCGGCCTTCAAGTCGTGGTCTGTCGGACAAATACTAGAAACCCATCCAGATACCCTCTTCCGTGCAGAGGCAGTGGATTGGCCGTTCAGGACATACGTAGACTATATGAACAACAACTCCGACGAGAGCCCGCTGTACCTCTTTGACAAGAACTTTGTCTCCAAGATGGGACTACCTACCGGTCCTGAAGAGGCTGTCTTTCAACCACCCTCATGTTTTGGAACTGACTTGTTCGCTGTACTGGGCAACCAGCGGCCAGATAAGGAGTGGCTGATCATCGGCCCTGCAAGGAGCGGGAGCACCTTTCACAAGGATCCCAACGCCACAAGCGCATGGAACGCCGTGCTGCGAGGTTCCAAGTACTGGATCATGTTCCCTGGTTCGGCATCCCTACCGCCTCCTCCAGGCGTCTATGTCTCTGCCGACCAGTCAGAAGTAACCTCCCCCCTCAGCATTGCAGAATGGCTTCTCAACTTCCACGACGAGGCGCAGAACACTCCCGGCTGTCTGGAAGGCATATGCGGCGAAGGAGAGGTCCTACATGTCCCCTCGGGCTGGTGGCATCTGGTAGTCAATCTGTCAGAGTCGATAGCCATCACGCAGAACTTTGTGCCTCGCAAACACCTCCGTTCCACCCTGGACTTTATGAAGAATAAAGCAGACCAGGTATCTGGTTTCCGAAAGGACGTCGAGGATCCGTATGGCTTGTTTGTCGAGAGAATGCAAGAGACCTATTCGGACATGCTTGAGCAGGCCCTGCTTGAGCTGGAGGCAAAGAAGAAGAGAAAGTGGGATGAAGTAGTCAAAACTGCGAATGATTCTACCGCTGACTCTGCGGCTGGAGGTGGAGGATTCAGCTTTGGATTTGGCGACGACGACAGTGACGCCGAAGTACCATGAATAGTTCCATCTGTCATGTAACAATATCAACAAAAAGAATAAAGATTAGAGCAACGTCATACAACGCTCATCATCATCATCATCATATATACACCTCTCCTGTTCATTGGAGAACAGCCAAAAATTAATCAGTGCGCCCGAGATACCCGCCCAGTTGCACTTTCAATCAATGACATGAAACTGTCTTGGAGGCAGATGACTCTCCAAACATGAGATGTCCCATAAACGCACCCGCGGCCACGGCCAGCATGACCCAGCCATTATCCGTCATAAACAGCAGCCTATCAACTCGTAAGAATTTTGATGCCAAAGTCCGGGAGAGCAAGCAAAAACAACGTACATGATGAAGAAGCTGTAAAAGACCTGGGCCGCATACAGGCCTGCACGGGTGACTTTCGCTTTCCGCTCCGCGACGGATCCTCTACCTGTCCGGTCTGAGCAGAGCAGTGAGCTATTTTCGTCTCCTACAGCTGTACCGTAGAGCCTGTGTGGTATCGTTGACGCTGACGCTGACGCCGGCATTGGCTGCGTACAGCCGACGTCTTCCATGAGAGCGAATTGTCAAACCGGCCGTTCATGAGACGACGCAGATAAACAAAGGCAGGACAGTGAGAATTAAAGGGTAATAATGAAAATTCAGGTTACTCACTGGATGGCAGGTCCTTTTGCCCCAGCGTCGCCAGCTCGTACTGCCGGGTAAAGTCTCGCAGGGCCTCGTAGCCGGCGACCAGCAGGACGACGGCCGCCAGCGAGAGCAGCAGCGAGAACAGGCCGGTGACTCTCCACTGGGGGAAGACGATGCACAGGTTTTTGGTCGAGAAGGTGAACAGCATCTAGCAGCCGTTAGTTGAAGATCTTATAACCAGTAACTAGCAGTCGTAGTACAAGCAACGAATAGTAGACTGACGTTCATGCTGCACTCGCCCATGTCCATATCTCCATGCTTATGGTGGTCCATCGTGCAACGCTTGATCTCTATATCCTTCAGCAAGATATAAATTATCAAAAATATAATCATATAAGAAGATACAGAAGATGCAAAGAAAGGCCGGCGGCGATGCAGCGCTTCTTCTGTGTTTCTGCTTCTTATGCAGGCGTCGCAGTGCAAACAGTGCAAACACAGCCTTATCTGCTCTTATCTTCTCAGCTGCGTCTCGAAGAACACGAAGAAAGCTGCAACAACGCCAACGCCGTCCCGTCTCTGTACAGGATCACCGCCAGCACCGCCAGCAACGCCGACATCACCAGCTGTAAAGCGCTTGCTCTTGACCGCGATGGCTTCAGAAGCTCCCGCGGCGCCCCCCAATGCAACCACCACGGCCAACGAGTCGTCCGCGGCCGCTGCGCCTACGGCTTCCGGCGCTGCTGACCAGCAAGCTCCTGCGCGCGGCATCCCTTACTACGAGAAGCTAAGGCGTGAGCTGCGAGATACCCTGCAGAAGAAGCGCCTGATGGACAAGAACCTGGTACTTACAACGCCTCCAGCACAAGCTTTATTGTTTCTTTCGGTTTCGCACCGGTGACTGACTTCATATTCCACCCTACAGGCCGCTCTGGAAGAGTCGATATACCGCTTCGAACAGTCCTACCTCGAGGAGACGGGCGCAGGAAACATCATCAAGGGCTTCGACAACTACATCAAGGGCGCATCGAGCCTCTCGAGCATGGGAGGCGGTGGGATCGGTGGCTCGTTTGGCTCAGGCAACGGTCCCACGACCAGGCGGAAGGGTCAGGTGGCTGATTCCGACAGGGTGTTCTCCCGCAGCTCGACCAGTTTCATGAGGGTGTGTTGATCGCCCGTTTACTTCTACATATAAGTTTATTTTGCTGACTCTCGTGTCTAGGATTCCCCGGCTCCCTCGAGTGCTCATACGACTCCCTCGCATGCCCAGACGCCTACGTCGACTGCTCCGGGCATCAAGAGCGAGGGTAAAGAGGGCTCTGCCACAGCAGCAGGTGGTAACAAGACGGCTGCAAATAAGAAGAGTAATAGAAAGTCTGTGGGCGATGCGTCGTCGGCACGTCGGGATAGAGAGACGGGCGACGAGGGTGATAGCAAGCAGCCTCTCAAGAGGTTGAAGATCACGTATGTTAGAGGAGAGTGACCCTCGTCCTTTTCATTTTGCCTTTCTAGCATTTTGTAAAACTACCTAATATGGTCTATGGACGGTGTTTTGGGGGTTCACGGTCGGAAAAGCGATATATACCTTGGGGCTTGCGGATGCTCTCGTCTTCTTTTTTTTGCTTAACAAGTTAAACTACACATTTAGATAGAAGTGTCATGCATAATAGGATCAATTTCATTGCACAGATTTGACCACATCCTATTTGCCTAGCTAACTAGTTGCTTACCTAGTTATGGGGTAAAAAATACTGGATCGTCATCATTAAGTGGACATGGGGTAACTAACTAGAACTTGTGAAAAATGAATGTGATAAGAAAACTCACAGCAACACATTACAGCTGAAGTCTGTACGTTGCAACTTCAAAGGCTCTCAGCACAATGTTCACACGCCGGGGTCCAGATCCCTCGATCGGCAGCTCTTCCAGATCATCTTCGAGAAGATTACACTTGAACACCTTCTGCACCTTGAGATCTGTCTCCAGGACACCCGTGCTGCGTCCTCCCATCGAGTCGAAGATACGCACAATCACACTCTTGCCTTTACGGCGTGGCAGGTCGTCATTAGAAACGTCCTCGTCGTCTTGACCACGCTTCACGGTGTCCAGAACAAGTGCTGGCGTGGCGTCAACCAGTCTCACGGCTTGGAAATCTTGCACCGTCTCAGGTCCACAGGCTGATTCTATGGCTAGTGGGTGGTTGAAGTTGTACCCTGCTCTGACAGTGCGGTAGTCAAGTGGACCAGAGTGTGGCAGGATAGCGTACCGGATGCGGTGATGGCCAATGTCTGCGGTGTCATCTGGTGCTTTCGAGGCACGGATGAGGGAGAGCCTCATCAGGTTGCCTGCGGTTGCAAAACCGTACTTGGAGTCGTTCAGGATAGAGACTCCGTATCCGCTCTCGGACAGATCAGCCCATTTGTGGCAGCATACCTCAAACTTGGCCATGTCCCAACTATAACGTGCGTGATGCATTGTTAGCATTCTACCCCGTCTTTGCAACTCAATTCAAAAAAAAGGTATTTACTTACGTGGTGTTGTAGTGGGTTGGGCGTCTGGTGATACCAAACTGGCTCTCATACGATGCCTCGGTGTTGCGAACGTCAACAGGGAACTCGACCTTGAGGAACTTCATCGTCTCTTGCCATTCAACCTCGCAGTCCATCTCAACCATAGGCATGCTATCTTTGGTCTCGGCAGAAAGGCTGATGGTGGTCTTCGCCCAACTCTTGTCACTGATCTTGGTCTCAGTCACAACGCTGACCCGGTGAGGAGACTGTTCTGCAATCTTGGTCTCCGTGGAGGGCAATTCCTTGCGTGAGTCAAGGTGATAGACCTCGACATCCCAGGCTTGCCAGTACAATGGCTTGTCGTCAAAGATGACAAATTGGTTGGCTTTTCCTCCCTTTGCAATCACTTCGCGGTTTGCCTTCACATCAAAGAGGGAGGTGATAACGCCCTTCTCGACCTTGACCACTAGGCTGTCATTGCGTAGCTCGAAAACTCCGGTTTCTACTTCCTTTACAGAAAGCGAAGTAGACTGAGTAGAGCTCAATGGCTCAACTTTCATCACTCCGGTGCCACCGCTCACCAGGGCGTACTGGGGAGAGCCGGAGGAAACGCCTGGGTTATCCATCCTGACAATCTCAGAGCGAGGCCAGGGAAGGGTGTTCAATGCAACAAGTCTACCGTCTGATCCAGACTCCTTGCTCTGGAAACCAAGCTCCTTCATGGCTTCATTTCTAACCTTTGCGCCAATCCTGAACACTTCAGCATAGAAAGCATCGGACTCATCATAGCACAGTCTGATTGCGCTACCGGGAAGACAGTCATGGAACTGGCAGAGCAAGACTGGCTCCCACATGTTGTCGATCTCCTTCTTGGGGTATTTGTACGAGGAGCTCCTGAGGGAGGCTAGAGTGGCAAGAAGCTCAACCTCGCGGAGGAGGAATTCTCCCTTGCGGTTGTTTCTCTTGTTATTGGATTGGGTGGTATAAGTTCCTCGGTGGAGTTCAAAGTACAGCTCTCCATACCAGGTTACAAACTTGGTTCCCTCCACAGCCTTCTTCTCAAGCGTTGCAAAGAAATCGTCGACCGAGCCTCCAATGGTGACACGGGGCAGCAGTCCAACAGTGTCACTCATGCCTCTCTGTCGACGTAGCTTTTCGATATGTTCGAACGTGGGGCCACCACCGCCATCACCCTTTCCGAAGACAAGGAGAGAGGTGTTGTCCTGGTCCATGGACTTGTGCTGGGTGATACTACGCTTAACATCACCGAAATGAGCTTCGGCAGTATATGTTTCTGACGGAGGCATATGGCAGATGACCTGGCTACCATCCAGGGCAACCCAGTTAAAGGTGGTGTGCGGGAAGTTGTTGATATTGTTCCAGCTGAGTTTCTGGGTGAAGAAACGGGTCATCCCAGCCAGGCGGCAGAGCTGAGGAATCTGAGAGGAGTATCCGAACGTGTCAGGCAACCAGAATGTGGTGCATCGTTTACCGAAACGGCTCTCGAAGTATCTCTGGCCATACAGGAACTGACGAACCAAAGACTCACCGCTGGGCAGGTTGGTGTCATGCTCAACCCAGCTGCCGCCAATGGGCTGGAAAGAACCCTTTTTCACCCAGCTCTTGACTCGGTCAAATGCATAGGGGTATCCTTCCTCAAGCCACTTGAACTGTTGTGCCGAAGAGCAGGTAAAACGGAATTCCGGGTATCGCTCCATCAAGTCACACTGGGTCGACCAGGACCGAGCTACTTTTCGCTTTGTTTCAGCGAATGGCCATAGCCAGCAGGTATCGATGTGGCAGTGGCCTGTTGCAAAGACAATGGGCTCGCCTTCGGTCTTGTAGACATCAGGAGAGTCAACTTTCGTTCCAATGTACTCCTGGGCAACCTTGCGTGCCTTGATGATAGACTCCTGGCTGCCATTGCCCTCAATAAAGGCATCCATCATGGCATTGCCAACTATCAAGGCCTTGTGAGCCTGCCAGGAATCCGAAGGGAACTCTCTAGCAGCATCTATGACCATGTCAGCTATGCTTGAACTTTGATCCTACGTTGCTTGACTAGTTACTAACCTCCAATCTGCCAAAAGTCATAGTTCAAAGCTCGTGCCTGGAGGTTGACAGCCACAATCTTGGCCGAGTCAAGCCTGTAGTACTTGTTTGTACTGGGAGGCTTGATGAGATCGCCGTCTGAGTTGCCAAATAGGCCATTGCAGGCCATCTCGATGTAGAAGATGTGTGGTGCACCGTCTCTAAAGTCCTTGGGGATAATCCATTCGGTTCTGTCGCCTCCAGAGAGACCTTGCAATGGCCGGCCATCCTCAGTCCAGACCATCCCTTCGTTGTTGGCATTCCAATGGAACTCGAGGTGGTCATATTTCCTCATGTCTTCGGGAACCGTGAGCTGTATCTTGAACCAGTGAGTCGACCAGCTGGGTCCAAACGACTCTCCTCTGCGAGTAGGCTTGAACTCGTTCTTGACGGCATCCTTGAACGATGGTCTCTCGAGGTTTGGCACCGAGTAGACCCAAAGCTTTACGTACTTCTCATCGTCGTTGAGGGCGTAGAAGAACTTGCTGTATCCCCGCACCAGCTGTTAGTTAGCTATGTAAACAACGGCAATGTCATGTATCTGGTGACGATGTAGATGGCACGCGAGCTCACTCTAGCAGGTTATGGCCCTGGTACTGGCCTGTAGCCGTGAACTGGCGTAGACGGTCCTTGTAGATGGACGTGATATGCTGGCCTACGGGCTGTTCAGCAAGCACAGGGTAGATGGGAGCCTGTTTGGGAGCTGTCGCGCCCATGGTTTCTTGCCTCGCCAGCTCTGGTATACACAAACAGACACAGATGGTGGCCTAGAAGATAGACACTGACTGTTTCACTGTCCACGGCGTGGTGCTTGGTGGATGTTGCGTGTTCTGTCCAGCAGCTCCGGGGGGTGAAGACGGCGAGCTGTCTTTATATAGTTGGTGATCGGCGGCATCCCGTTGCCCGGCTCCTCCTGTTGCTCTAACTAACTAGCTGGTCTACCCCGCAGGTTTCTCCACGGGATGCGCAAGCCAAAAGCAAGGATGGGCGTCTGGGACGGCGAGACTGCGACAACGAAAGACATCGGCTTGACCACAGTTACTGGGTGATGGATGCGGCCTGACTGCCAGAGAGACGCTGGGATTCACAGTGGGTTGACAGGTGAGCTGTTGCATAACTAAGTTAGTTGTTGGAGTTAGTTACTGACGGGTAGTTAACTATGTAGTTGGATGTTTTGCCGACGCTATCGCCGGATGGATGGCTGCTGTAGCCGACTCGAGGGTCACCGTGGGACAAGTACCAACACAAACTTGTCACCATCCATGAGGCCGCAGTCCCTGATCCGCTAGAGAGACTTTGAGGAACAGCCCACTGATTGCTTGGTCCAGGGACCAGAGCGGTCGAGAGCCTGGTTGGGCCGGGTTCCTTGCCGCGTCGCCTGATCCTGTGGTGGTCATGCACCGAAGCAATTTGAATGCCAACCGGAGTACGCATCCTCGTTGACAGCCTAACCAGTTAGCTACACGGATAAGTACCAGTCTCGAAGTCTCCTGACTCGGCATAAACTGCATGTACCTAATGGATATTGGATAATATCTGCTGACTCTCATGGTTATGCATGTAAGCTGCGGGTTGAATAGTTACCTGTGACATCTAGGCTCAAAGATGCTCCGGATGGGCCCCTGTTGATCATAGAACGACAGGAAGCACAGCATAACCCAAGTCATAAAGCTCATATCATTAACTAGCTAACTAACTCGTCCTAGAACATATGCAAGAAACAGATCAGAACTCCCATGACAAAATCATCAGATACCCAAACATTAGGTTAACATTAACTACATCTTCCTTACAACCAATGAGGAGTCGGACCAACCATCACAATCTTACTCTTCAACTCCTCCTTTCTTCTTTGCTCGGCCAGCTTGTTCGAGCTAGAACCAAATGCTTCCCTAGAAAATTCGACAGTCGACCGCCATGCGTTGCCATTCCTTCCCAACCCAAACCACTCTTCTCGCCTGTTACCTTCCCCGGGGCATGGTGGTGCAGTCCGGGGGGTGTTCAACGATTGGATTTGTGGCTCGCTGGCATGTCGTCTTATGACCTTGGGAATCAGCTTGTTGAGATAGAACAGGCTAGACTTCTTCTTCTTCGGCTTGTTCTTTGTCAATGCTTTGACTCCGTATAGCTGGTAGTCACTCGGAGGGATGGCAAGCTGCTTTGGCCTACGACCATTCTCTCCAGTCGGAGGTAAGGGAGGGGACCGGAAAAGACCAAATCCTCCTGTCTCTTTTCTGCTGCTTGATTCGGTGATCTCGTTGATCATGGAGGTGCTGGCACATGTCGTGAACGAGTATAACTGGGTGCGGTTCTGTGGCTTCTGCTTTGTTTTTGGGGAGCACTGTTCATCGTCAACGTCCTCCACGCTCACTTCGGGAACGTCAGGTATGGAATGCTGTTGGATGAGCTCAATATACGAGGATGCGTCAGGGAGGTCGCTGGCCTGAACGCCTCTATGATAAGAGCTTGACTTTGACGTCCGTTGGTTCAACAATATTTTGCTGTGTCGTGGATGAGGTAAGTGGCAGAAACACAGGCCTGAATTATCCTCAGTCCTCGGAGACTCAACCACCAGCTGGTCATTCTCTCCCTTGCTGACTTGTTCGTCAATACCCTTTGCTCGTATTCTGAGGCTTTCAGTACCCCGTCTCGGCATATCCGAAGAAGAACCCCTTTTCGGTGTTTCCCTATCATCATGCGACCTGCTGTCCTCAAGTCTTGTTGAAGCCCTCACCAATCCTCCATTACACGTCTGGAATACCGGATCCGTCGAATGGCGTGCGCGTTTTGCTGGGCTGGAAAGATGGTCTCTGTCTTGTCTCCTCCATCCGGGTGAACGAGGAACCGGTGATCGCTGTCTATAAAGTAACCGCAGCTCATCCACGGAGTGAGCATGGGCAGGCCCCGGGTTTCTTTTATATACTGCACTCTCACGATATCCATCATTAGGACGCTGGTATCTGGCGCTGCTGAGATACTGCTCGTCTGCGGAGGAAGAGCCGGAACTTCTCTTTGGCGGGCTAGGGAGTGGTTTGTCGAGCTTCCATCTTGGTATGTATATCTTAGGTGAGTTGGGCTCCGGGGGAATAACCTGCTCCAATCCTTCCAGGGAGGACGAAGGCAGAAGAGGATGCATGCAGGGTGCCCGGGGTGCTATTATCATCGTCATCTTGGTTGGTAGGCTTTGGGGTTGCTGGGAATATCAGAAAAAAGGGAAAGTAAAAGTAAACAACCCCAGTCAAAGGTAATGAGGGTCGATAATATACCAGGTATGTCTCGTTGTTTGTACTGTCAATCTAACCCTGCATGCATGCTATATCATTATCAACTGGTTGATTGTAGGGGGATTCAAACATCAAAGCCAATGCTGAAAGAGGCACGGGGCATCTTCAATGATACAAAGGTACAAAGGATAATGGGCACATTTTCCAAGGCCATTGCCGTATCCGGCTTGCGTCATACATATATAATTGCTATTGGGACTCTCGCATGAGTGATCCAACGCTTACTATGCGTGCTATGTTACTACCGGGGAGACTGTGGAGCTGGTGTCCTGTCGTCAGTGATCGCGGAGGCATATAAAAACCAGCAGCCAACGAACGAGTTAGTGGGAACATACCTGCGGCGTTACCCGGGCAAACCAAAGCTAAATATGCAGCCTGCAGGCTAAAATTCTTCGTTCGACTTCTAGTGTTTGAAAGTAAGATAACTAAAGATAGGGTCAAACAAAGGAATCCTATCCTGATCTACAGACACAAAGGGTAATCCATCACTAATTTATCGGCGCATGAACCCGTCCACAGGAATTTAGCGTAGAGTAGATAAATAAAAAAAAGCCTCATCTTCTTGAACTCCAAATAATTACCCCCTAGAAAAAAAGTAAATAAAAGTCATCATCATGATTCCAATGCGGTGAATAGAGTGAGTGGGTAGGGCTGTGTCATGTTAGTTTTGCAGCCTTCTCAAATATCTCCGGAGTTAGGGTATCTTCACGATCAACAACTTCGCTAAATCGCCCGAGAGACCTCAACCTGGAGATCATGTCTTCATCTCCAAGGTGGCTGTTGTGTTCGAACTCCGGCTCCTCGTCGTATGCAACTCTTGCGGCATCAACTAGGATCCGGGCCGTCATGCCGAACACTCGAAAGCGCTCAAGACCCAACGACGATTTCTCCTCTTCTAACTGGTTAATGGCATCGTCTTGCTCTTTGCTATGCTTCTTGGGTGTAGCAACTCTCTGATTCGTTATGGCAACGAAAAAATGGTGCACTGGTCCAGTCAGCAACGAATACACTAGTTATAGATCCAACATACTGATAGAAAAGAAAAGAAAAAAAGAACATAGACCTACTTCTCCACTGGGTTGAGTTCCACTGTGTCCATGATCCCTCGTACCAATCACTCGGTTTCCCAGGCAGGGCATCGTCTCCCTCTCCCCGTGGCTCATCGGTCACTTTCAAGAAGTTATGGAACGGGGCAGTGAAAACAGCCGCCACTTCTTTGGCGTCTAGTTGGGGTATAAATGCTTCTTCAGGATCGGCGTCTTCACCCGTCTTTTCGTTGTAAGAGTGTAAGAGCGCAATACATGGGCGGACAGCAAGTTCTGTCCGGGCCAAGCTGGCCGGTAGTTCACACAGATGCTCAACCCAGAAGGGTGACGGCATCTGCTGGTCTATGTTTGGTAGGCCAATCTCCTCGTACGCTTCACGCCGAGCAGTTTGGAAAGGAGTCTCACTTGGTCCATCCGCTTTTCCGCCAGGCAAGGCCGCTTGGCCGGGATCTAAAGTAGTTGTTAGTTGTTATATTGACGTGATTGCTGTGAAGTGGAACATACATGATTTGAGCGTGCTTGCACGAATGGTCAAAATGACCCGAAGATCTCCTCTCCGATCAGCAAAGAGAAGTAATAATACTGAAGCCTGCCTTGTAGAGGGCATGGAGTAGTAATTCGTTGGGGGCGGAGTGTATCTCCTCAGACGCTCAATGGCATTCTACCGTCCCAGCAGTTAGATGAATGATGTTTCACTACCCAGCCATTCTGGAACGATATGATAGTGATCGACTGCAGGAGACAATGCATCTGTCGACTCATGCAGGCCGCAGGGCGTCCTTTGGTGTGTACATGCAGGAGTGCTATATTTACTGACCTTGGATTCCTGGGATAGCGGCGCCATCTTTCCTTTCACCGTTGAAGATCCTGCGGCGCACGAAAATGGTCGAATATGAGAGATGCTACTATGGCAACGGGCTAGATCTAGAGCGACAGACCGGAGACTCTGCCTCATATCTCTCCTGTGAGACGTGATGCTTGATATATGCATGTACGTACAGGCAGGCCGTGTTGGGTTTGCCGCATCTCAACATCTCCAGGGCTGGAGTTGTGCCGAGGTCGGAGTTGGGCGCTGCAGACACTGTCAGCCACCAAACAGCCGTCTACCAGAGTATTTATCAAGGCAAATAAGATATATATATATACTGTTACTTTTGTGGAATAACGCATTAATGGTATCAAGTAGGCACTTTTATCGTCCATGATCTAGCTAGTTATGATGATATTTCACCCCAGTGATTGACCAAAGCAACCATTTTCTATAACTACAAGCCCTCCTCACCCCAGTCTAAACCAAAACATATCAAATCAAGAAGATGAGAGAACAAAGGAAAGGGTTGGGAGGTATGAAAGGGCAATGAATCCAGGACATGATGCAGAGTAGTGTTAGCCCATCTCACCAGGGCGGAACCCTTCGTCAAGGGGAGGGAATGACAGGAGAATGCGAGATTTGGATAAGATAATTACAAAATAAGGGGATAAACAAATACACTTGTTAGAATTTATAAGGAAACGAACGTCGGACTTGGGAGCGTGTCGACCATTTACTGCTTCTTTTCTTCGGTCTGGTCCTGCTTGGTAGACTCTTTCTCAGCTGCGGTATCATTCTCCGTCTTTTCAGGCTGAGAGGTAGACTCTGCTCCCGAAGATGCATCCATGTGCTTGTCCTCTTTCTCGTCGATATCCTCATGGTCCTTGGGTGCCGGCATACCCGTATTGCCGTTCTCAGTGATCTGTTCGTTCTCTTCCTCGATAAGCTCCTGCTGTTCCTTCACGACCTCGAGACGCTGTCTGTTCGTAGCGGCTCCCTCAGCGTTATGGACCTCGAGCTCGATCTCATGGAACAGCTCCTCGGGGATACTAGAAAGTACAGATCGGAGAGCATCCATCTGAGAGGAGATTTCATACTCTTGCGAGTGCTGGGTATACATGTATGCATTGCTTAGAACGAGCAAGGTAGATGGGACACCCTGCTTCAGACGTAGGTCAAGCCACATGGACAAGTCATCCCGGAGCCTAGCAGGGGAAAGACCATGGGTTCGGAGACCGCGAGACGCACATGCCATCTGAAGCTCGGGGATAAGCAACGAGTCAACTCCCTCGTATGCAATGGCCCTATCATCACGCTTGATCTGGCGCATTCTGACACGGATAGTATATCGGAGCATAGCATCAGTGCCGAAAGTGTTGAGATTCATGTACTTGCACATTGCGACCAGTTGGGGCCGCGACAAGTTGTCCAGGGTTAGATCATCCTTGAAGATCTTGCAGACGGCTATAACATCTTCATCCGACGGGGTTTCGCCAGTTGCTCGGACTTTTCGGAAGAATTCAGTGAATTCTTCCTTTTTAGCGTTCATCGGGCTTAAGGGAAGGCCGGTTTCTCGCAGCGTTCCCTGTAGGAAATTGGAAACTTCCTTGCGCGTGCCTCGGAGAATAGCGGCCTTGTCATCCTTGGATTTTTGGCCCTCGTAGGTGCTTGGTAAAAGGTTGGGGAAGAGTTTGAGAGCCACAGGGAGAAGCAACTCAGCAAAGGGGATGATAACAAAGGCAGAGAAAGGAACAAGCCGGGCCAGATCTCGGACGGTTCGTTTCAACTAAACCAACCAGTCAGCAGAGAGCCAAAGATGAAGGCGTGGAAGGTGTAACATACCTGTCTGTTCTCCCTTCTACTCAGTTCATAACCCGCGGCCATCTTCAGCGCAAGTTTGGAACTAATCTTCACCTCTGCAGCCAGAAGTTTCGTTCCGTCCCAGTAATGCTGAATCTCCTTCTTGATCTTCTGTCCGATAGTCAACTTCTTAGGCTCCTTCTTCTCCTCTACCTGGCCCTTCTCCGCTGCCTCTGCCACAGCAACATCGTGTATCCTCCTCTCCAGCTCCTTAGACTCGAGTTCTATGCTATCCAGCTGCCTCAAGATCGAACTGGAGGTATGCGGCTGCTTTGACGAAGCGACCGGCGACTGAGTCTCCTTTGTAAGCGGCTGTTTGGCCTTCTCAACATCGAATCCAGGCGGTGGGAAGTTGTTCGGGTTGTTGGATCCTTGCGATGTGGATGGGCCGGTTGAGTAGCCACACCGGAGCTGCGCAAGCTCAAGGCCGACCGACGGCCGAGATGGATGAAAAGATTGAGTCCGGAAAGCGGAGTGAGAGTATCTGGCGATGCTGAGGCGTCCAGCATCTGCTGCGATTGTTAGATGAGAGATCAAAAGGGGGCCGGAGGACAGAGGAGTATGATGGGTGTTTGCATACCGCTCTGCATCAGCCTCCTTAGAAGTAATCCATTCTGGCCAAGGTTCCGCACAGCCATGTATGCGTTGAGTATGGGGAAATCCTGGACAACCGCTCAAAATGATAGAAGATGGGCCAAAAAATATGAAGTATTCGCTTTCTGTTAGATGAAGTTTCTAGTGCTCCTGGATGCCTGACGCTTCTTCAGCTTATGGTCGGGGCAAAAAGTCCCCCAGAGATTAATCCTCCGGCCGCTGGATGTCAGAAATGCTACGGACAAAATATTTCGCCGGCGCCACCAAAAAATTGGAAATCGCGGATTCATGGACGGCTGAAGGCATCTTAACGTTATTTAGGTACGAAAGGGTGCTGGATTTTACAGAGACAGCGACCGGTGATAGAAGGGGGCGCAAGGTGTGTTTTTTTCGCTGTGGTGGGTAGTATTATGATTAGATGTGCGGACAAAAAATTAGTCATGATCCAAGAGGACATCAACGATCAACAGGGGGGTATATATGTACATCCTAGGACTCTGCAAACATAGTAGAGGCATCATCACTAACAAAAGGAAGCAGGACATAAGATGAAATCGTCGACAGGGGAGGGAGTACAAAAACAACAACGCATGTTAAAAAGAACGCTAGACAGAGGCATCCTGGGGTCGTCTATTTGTAGTATTATGAGAGGCAGGTTCATCGACCAAGGCGCCGGTAGAGGCGGCTTTGGAATTTGCGTTGAGATCAAGATTGGTGATGAGTTGGCTTGGTTCGACATAGGGCTGCTTGGGAGTTGTCATGACCACGCCAGTGAGAGAGGCAGCCTTTATTCCATCAGGATCCTGGGGGTCAGCAACGGCCGTGAGAGCTTCAGGAGACATCTGCCACTTGGCCACGTCTCTCTTCAATTGCTCGAGTTCCTTCTGGAACCGCTTTCCAAACACGTCAATGTAGAATGTGGCTCCGTTGTAGATACTCCAGATGAACATGACGGTCAAGAAGGCACTGCTTGCCCACTGGTACCAGAACCAGAGCGGACAGGGGACAATCGTGAGGATGGCGTATATATACTGGATCATCATGAAGGCTGGTTCTTGCAGTGGCAGGGAGAGATGAAGCACGAATTTGCCGATCCACGTTTTAGCATAGGATCGACGCAGCCAGGTGAAACTAGTTGGGCGGCCTGCAGCAATCTTATCTCTCTGGCGCACAGTGATGAAGAAGTGGTAGCTCAACTGCCAGATGGCATAGGGAACAGACGCCCAGATCATCATGGCTCCCAGTGTGTAGTGTTCGGGAGAGCCCGGGGCGCTAAACTTGATCCGATACACCGCCGGGAATCTTGTTTCTAGTATCTCTGGGGGTGTAAGATGCACTAAACAGTGCAGGGTCACTGGCGGCATAATATGGATGAACAAGCTGCAGTTACAGTTAGAAAAGACGGCCCAGTTAGGTATAAAGAATGAACGAACTTACCTGACAACTTTGTCTATGCTGTGAAAAACCATCGAGTTTCTCCACATGGCAATAGCCACGGCGTTATTTCCGTATGCCAGACACCACGTACTCAAAAAGAGCCGTTTGGAGTTGGGGAACACCCACATGCTAAGGATGGTGAGGAGGTTGACAAAGTAACACAGATCCGCAAGGAAGTAATGGTAACCGATCTTGCAGTATCTATAGTATCGTTGGGGCATAAAGTAGATGAGCTGGCCGGTGAACCAGAGGTAAAAGTAGGTAGGGAACGCTCCAAGCAGGTAACCACTGATGAAGACGTTGAGCACACCGGCAATAAACGAAATCTTCTCTATAGCCGTGACAGTGACGGTATCGTTCCAGCGGACAGCAAGTCGTTCGACCGAGCTCTTCATCCGCTTTCGGTATTTCTGCAGCTGCTCTTCCGAAGAAGGCATTCTCTTTTTGAATTCACCGACGACTCTCTGGCGAGCCTGCTGGCTGGTTGACCTGAACTTCTCCTGATGACGCTTGACCCTCTCCTTCTGCGCGTTGAGCGAGGCCTGCCACTTCTCCAGCTTCTGTGATATGGCCAGGTTGCCGAGCAAGTCGAGTACGGTCACTCTCTCGACCGGTGTAAGCGGCTCCCAGTCCTCCTGATAGGAGCTGCTCCCCTCTGACGAGATGCGAGAGAGCGGACTGAGTGCCAGGGGGCTTCGTCCACCCTCTGGAGTTGTAGCCGGAGGCTCCTCCTGCGCAACAACAACTGTCTCGACATTGCTCGAAATGGGAGCAGACTGTGACTGCGGTAGGTTGACGGGCTCTGACTTGACCCGCTGTAGGTCGGGACGCTCCATGCCGGCGGTCTGCGTTATCACGAAGGGTTGCCGTCTGAAAAAAGCTATTCTCTGTATTTATTGTACCGGAAAGGAGGAAAATATGGTGAGGAAAGGAGGAAAAGGGCCCAGCCCGTTCGGAGCTATGCTGGTCTCTGGGGGATGCTGCCTAGAATCTGGCCATGGGTGTCTCGAGTCAGCTTTGGGGGGAATCGATCTGGAACACGGCCACTCTAGCAAAGTCCCAAAGGAGATAAGCAGGAGAAAAAAGAAAAGCTGGACAAAAGCAACGGTATCGTTGGCAGCAGAGAGACAAAAAGAAAAGGAGACGAGAAACAGGAAGATGAAAGGAACACTCACAGCGCGCGGGCGGTCATTTATGTGCTTTATATATACAGGTCCAGGCGATCATGCAAAGGACAGGCTCTCTCCGACTTCTCCACGCCCACGCCGACGGACGCCCTCGTGCTGCAGGTGGCGATCGAGCCCTTTTCAGCAGCGCGCAGAAGCAAGCTCGGTCCTGTCCTGTGTTGCCTGGTCTCGCTGCACTGCCGCTCTACCGTTCGGCTCTGTGTGCGTGGACGGGGACGAGGAGGAGGAGGAGGAGGAGAGATCCCATGATGCTGGTGCTGGGAGGCAGCCTCAAAAAGAAACGACGGTTGGGAGTCGACGGCGAGCCAGCTGCTTACCGGAACGGGACTGTGTGCACGGACACGCGCGCGTGGTTGGTCGCTGGGCGGCCAGCGCAGTTCTAGAAGAGGCTTAGTCAGAAGCTTAGTCAGTGGTCGCTGAGGTAAGACGCCGACAAAAGGGGGCTAGCGCTGAAAAGTAAGGTTTCCATTTGCATCACGTGATATAAAAGTCTAAAGGTTAACCCTGGAAGCGCTTCCAAGGTTCCTTTGTTGGTCAACCTACATCTCCCTCGTAGCCGGATTAATATACATATCTCTATTTCTATTGCCTTCCCGAGCTGTTCTTGTTATTTATCTTCTCATAACCATGCCCTAAGTCAAATAGTGTGCGTTGATGGCTCACCTCCTTTCGCTGACAGATGGCCACCAACTCAGCCCTCAGCCCTTATTCCAAAACACGCCTCCACTCCACCCCTCCCGCACCAATCTTCCCAATAGACCATTGGTGTCATCACCATCTAGGTTTCCAAGTATCTTTTCGCCTCCGTTCTCCAGATGGAAGTTCTAAATATTGAAATTTGATAAGCTTCAGGACAGCTATGAGAACATCAGAGTAACAGCTTGCATGGCCTACTCACCCTTTATTCTGCATCCACATCCCACACCTTAAAGGACTTGTACTCCACATTTTGGCACTTATCGCTGTCCGTGTGTAGTATGATAGTGTTTGGATCACAATCATCTGAACTGAAAAACACGGCGTAGAAGTTGTCGTCAACTTTTCCTGTGCTCTTGACTATGACCGATTTAGCCGTGCCGGCGGACACTGTACTGCACTCCTGCCCAGGCCCAGCTACCTGGACGCCTAGCTGCTCGCTTCGACAGTGTTCTCCCCTGTAGAATCTGAATTCGAATCCTTGCGTGGGAAGGGATAGGCCTACAAGAGCCACCAACGGAATGAGAGTTCGAGAATGCATAATTTACTCTAGCACAAGAGGTATATAGTCTCTATCTCGACAGCGGGATAATGTATTATTTGATAATATCGGATGATGCTCTTTGTATAATCTGGGACCTATCGAAGGGTATAACTGTGAGAGTCAAATTCCACGCTGAGGTAGTTATTGTGAGTTTTGAAAAGACAATAGCAGTCGAAAGACCTTTTGGCCATGTAGTGTCCATCTCAACGGGTTTTAATAAAGCTGCAGACTCGATGTTGCCAGCGATGTCCACTAACTAACTCATAATCTAGGGAAAACTTGGGGGCGGTGTTGTTGGTTGTTCCAGCGTAAGCCTGTGATGCGCGTAGTCATCCCATCACCATACCCCTGTACACAGCCGGGATTACTGACGTTACAGCCCACATGCATAATGTCTTGCCATTTATAATATTGTTTAAATATATGTTGCAGGAAGCCCTGGGCCAGATAATTTCTTTCGCCGCTCAGCCAAGAAGTAAACTAGGGATGGGGGTAATCAACTTTGGGTTGGTGATATCCAAGGATTAGGCACCAGCTACACCAATATGTATGTAAGCCGGTGAGTCAGCGCCATCCATAGTCTACAGTGCGGTAGCAGTAGTCACATAGGCCGCTCTCAAAGCATCATGCATAGTCACATATATTGGTTATACGACCAGCACCAGTTTCACATCTATGGGAAGCCTGATTACTGTTCAACTTGCACGCAAACTGCCCCATATGATTAAGTCAAGATTGTATCTTTGCATATAAGCCGCATTTGTCAACATAATAGAGAGCGCATCTGCAGGAGCTATGTTACCACATCGCTGGATTATGGTAGACCCTAGAAATGCGGTTTGAGAGTAAACATTCGCATCGTAGCAGCATGCAGTCGAAGTGGTTGTTGGAGCATGACATATCAAATAACCCGCACCCCCGGCCATGGAGGTTATTTGGACTCTGTGAGGGTTGATTAGTACCAAGATGAGCAACGCAGATATAATAACTTGGCATGCTCCTGGGGCCGTATATCTGTTTCAGGTTAAACGACCATCATCAAATCCCATGCTGGGAAATGGAAAGAAAAATATATTATACATATGCCACTGGAGTGCTGCCATGACTTCAATCCCTAAAGTTAACCTTATCCAAATTCAAAGCAGCACTTGGACTCACCTATCCACCTCATTGAACTCCACTGTATTCTTCGAGAATGCACATTCCAAAAGCATGGAAAGCAGTCTTCATCCTGCTCAACCATGGCTTTATGCTCCTCTCTCCAGCGATTGCAGCAGGGACCATTCCTCCATGGGCGGCAAAAAATAGCCTCGTCTTCCGCACAGCCGCGAAGGGTATCCAAGAAGAACCGGCCTCCGTAAATCCTGGACTCGTATTGCGAGCAGCTTCACCAAACAAAAACATGAGAAAATGTGATCGATGTCGACAACGATGCAAACCAATGATGATTCATGATCGCAAAGATTGCACGAAATGCAACCGATGCCCACCCGGTATGCATCCCGACCGGGCGCAGAAGAAGTGCCTCCGCGACAGCAAAGACGACAAGAAAAAGAAGTTCGAGGACAAGAAGGACAGGGAAAAGCGAGACTATAACTTCAAGAAGAACTATCACAAGTTCCGACCCAAGCCACTAAGGTTTCAGCGGAAAGTGAGCGTCGAGAGGAAGAAGTATAAGGAGATCCAGAATATGAAGAGAGATGCACTCAATCGCATGAAAGTACGTCGCCTTGGAAAATGCGCCCTCCTTACACCCCTAGCCATAAGCGGAGAAGCGATTGAGAAGTACAGCACTGGCTTTTTTGACGAAAATTTCATGGACAGCATGGAGCTTCTCGATCTCTGGCCAGAGGAATTGAAAGATGTTGAGCCAAAATATCTGGACCAGAGCGTATTTACCGATGAATATCTCGATAAGTACGTGGACTTTGCGCAAGAACACTATACCAAAAGGTCCACCGATGATGCCGCTCCAGGGGATCAGGTGCAAGGCGAGAACGAGCAGGAGACGGGGCTCATCATCAGTCCATCATCCCGAGACCTTTCCATTCGTTCCATCGGAGCCGTGGATATTGACCGCCGATGCCCCTGGTGTATTTTTGTAGTCATCGCGAGAGCCATTGCAGCAGCGGTGGCCAGGGTTGCTGGTCGGGCTGCTGCCAGAGCTGCCAGTGCTGGTGCCAGGGTTAGCAAAATCCTCGACAATATCGCAAAGAACCTCAAACTTACCAAGGGAAAAGGCTCTAAGTCTTATCGAGAGCAAAAGGATGCTGCAAGAGAAATATCAAAAAATCGGAATTGGATGAGATGCCTTCGCGGTAACAATCCCAAATGAGATATAACCATCGTCTTGTTGAGCAGTTCCATATTTACTCGACGACGTTGTTCAGCAGTTTCCTGTATTTTATATCATTTTCCTTCTTATTACTTCCCTAAAGAAGCTGTTTTCGGGGAGTGTTGGGGGTTTAAGGGAGTTATTCTCCTATAGTATATGAGTAAGAGTTAGGTCGTGAGAGGAGGAGTAACAATGGAAAAGACGTTCCTTATTGTGGCTTAACACTATTCCAAATTAGGTTAGTTTAGATTAACGCAAGCTGGGGCGCACTAGTTGATAAAGTTATCCAATCAAGACTTGCAATGAGCCCACTTCTTAAAGTAAACTATAAATAGGTGCCTGACAACTCCTTATGTGCTAACTCCCCATATACAATACAAACAGGACTCATATAGGTATTCCTCGACTCCCCCGAAGGGATGTAATCTATATATATATGTTTAATTTTCTCTTCCAACTTTATCTCCCGATATATCGTACAATACCGAGCTCTGTGTGCTAAAACGGCTGTCGTCCAGGGTCGGTAGTCATATCACACGGCCAGATTTCCGTGCCGTCACCCATGGGTTCGTCTCCGCCTTTCTTCACCCACCAAGCAAGGACCTTGGTCACGTCCGGGTTTTCTTGAAGCGCAGGCCATTCGTATTCAGTCCAGGTGTTGGGCCTGATATGAGGCGAATAGTCCTCTGGAAATACCACTCGCACAATGCCTTTTGCACGCTCAGCAAATGCTCGTGACACTTGGCCTACAGCGATATCCTTCTCATCATCGTTCCAGGTATCTTTGTTATTGAGAAATAACTTAGTTGATTCTGCAAAAGGGCCACCCTCCATGTCCATCACTTTCTCGCCATTGTCAGTGTCAGAAATCCCCTGGCCATTAAATCGTTGAATGAGGTGAAGCCCCGAGAATAGGGTTTGTGCTGTATAAAATATAGCTTTATCCTTATGCGGCCTTCCAGGCTTCATCTTTGTCTTTGCGTACTCTGTCGTGGGAAGAGGTGGGCTGAGGACACGTTTTTCCAGCCGATGGTGGTGGTGGTAGTGGTGATAATGACGATGATGATAGCGTGTGGGTGTGGATGTGAAATTGCCCGAGGATGGTAGAGCGAGAACCGGGAGCCATTGTACGCAGAGACAAACAAGCAGAATAAAAGACATATAGGTCCGCGGAGTCTGAGACCGCCTCATCTTGATTCGCATTTTATCCTTGTGTAATGGAGGAAAGGACAATAGCCAGGTGATTTACTATGTTGTCCTGTTGCTAATGCTGTTTTATGCCAACGACGCGAAAAATGTACATACATTCATTCAGTTAGTGGCTGGAATTTCTCGACTTATACCATTATTCAAGATCTTTGAAGTCGACATTGAATAAGTATGCTCGTACTACCTGCCCTGACTGTAAGACCTCCTCTTCCTGATTATCAAGTGCGCAGAGTACCGATCTATATGTGTCGCCGTTAGTCACAGCTTCTTCATGTTTTGAAATCCGTAACCCCGAATGTAATCATTAATTATTATTCCCAATAAACCAGCATCCTTATTAGTTAGCTATGGTCGTAAATGCTTTCACCAAGCTGTTAGCTCCTCCTAGTAAGTAGTTGGGGTGAAGATCATGCCTTTGAGTTAAATTAGCTGTTTATAAGTAGGGGGTTACGCCGGGCCTAACAGGCAGCTGATTCATCTACATGCAGGGAGAGCCCCCTGGACGATATGACTACCATATATATGACAAAGCCTTAACCTTGCTTTATCATCTGCCTTTAATAATTCCCAGGGGACGATATATTGTTGGCACCTTTGCTCTGTTTAGCCGTTCAGTTCTCCAGCGCTCGGGGGCTCTTCATGCGGAATGACCTATACCCAACCAGAAATACCTATTCGTGATCGAAACTTTTACGAGCTATGAAGGAATTCTCTACACTTAACCATTTTATTGAATATCACACTCCACCACCTCAACCTATTACTGATGCTGCCGTCGATGCTGCTCGCGGAGGCCGGGTGGAGGATCTTGCCAGTCTGGTCAAAGACTATCCCAACCTTAAATACTCCATATTCGTGAACCGGGCAGCTATATCGGGCAAGGGAGGCATTTCTACATATCAAGTGCTGGTAGATGGTGGTTGCAATATCAACATTTCGTATGGATATGGTGGCTCTCCTCTGATAAATGCCATTTACCATAACAAATTTCCGTTGGCTCGACACCTGCTGAGCTTGGGAGCAAACCCGAATATCAACAACTTGGGTATTTACTTAGCCCCATTGGGGGTTGCCGTCTCCTTCAGGCCCGGGTTTGTGGTTGACCTCCTTGATGCTGGAGCAAATATCCAAAATACGGGAGCACTCCATATTGCAGCAATCAAAGGAGGCTTGGAAATCATGCAGTTATTGTTGGACAGAGGAGCCGACGTCAATGAGGTGACGAAATATCCATTTTACGCCATGGTTGGTTTCCACGGAAGATGCCCTCCTATGCATTGGGCTGTCCAGGGAGGCCATATTGAAGCAGTGACACTGCTACTACAATACCCGGTTCATCTAGATATGGTGGATGAAGATGGTTTGACAGCCGCTGAGCGGGCTAATGAACGGGGGTTTGAAGCTGCTGAGGATGTCTTAAGGAGACATGAACACACCAAGCATGCAGCAACACCTGCTAAAGCAAACATTTAACATCTTCTTATTTATTATTTATATTATGTCCCCTTGTCAAACAATACCACTCTACATTGGGCTGAATCATATACAAACTGAACCCTCATGGTTGTCGAAAATCATTCATAATAGTATTGTTAGGAAAACATCCACAGGGTAGTTTATGACGGCCTTTATATAACCTTACCTCGTCTATTTCCATTTTCTTCAAGCCCCCGTAAAAGCTCGAGAACTAGGTAGACTGGAAACAGAGTTAGCGTACAGGTAAAGAAATACAAACAGTAAATTGAGGCTACGGGATACCGATGAAGGCCTTGGATCCCAAGCCGATCCCGCTAGCTTCTATGGTTATGTGCCAACGCGTATATAACTTGTTACTACACCAGAGAAATTGTAGAAGTAATGGGAGGGGGCAGGATAGGCCTTGAACATATAGTTGTAACGTCATATACGCCCATAGAGTTGATTGGCCTCTTCAGCTCAGAGTTTGGATTGCTCTCTGCTGTAACATCAATAGGCCTGTATTGCAGATTCATATGCTAATTAAAATATAAGTGTCAAAGTCTGCAACTGCACTAAAAGGAGTGATCCCACACCAATAGGAGGCAGAGCTGAATTTTTGACAAGAAGTTAACGAGTGGTGGTTGCTTCCAGTATTGAAGTTAAAGTTTTGGTTGAAAATTGCTGACTAATATAGTTGATGATGTAATAAATTACTAAGCCAATGTAATATTCACGTGACTCACGCGACGCGCTTTTGATAGTCCAAAGTGAAGGAGGAGAAAAGACGAACGAGAAGATCGATAACCATCAAATTCCGAGCGACAACGAGATAATCCAAGAGGAAGCAGAGGCAGCAAGGGAGGTCGCCATGGGGAAGCTGATCCGCCTCGAGCTCTTCAGTAAGTGAGGACCATTGCCCATTCAGCCGAGCAGCGTTTCTTCGCTAACTGTCACTGCAGATTTCAAGTCCTACAAGGGTCATCACACGCTCCTCTTTGGCGATGCGTATTTCACTTCAATTATTGGACCCAATGGGTCGGGCAAGTCAAACTCGTAAGCCTACTCCTATTATAGATGGGGCAAGGAGGAAAAATAGTAAAAATAAACAACGAGGGAAAGGGAAGATGGCTAAGTTGATCTATATAGGATGGACGCGATCTCCTTCGTCCTCGGAATCAAGTCGTCCCATTTGCGGTCCACCCACCTTCGTGACTTAGTCTACAGGGGCCGTGTTCTACGCACTGCGAAGATTAATGATGATGGCTCGGCCTCCAAAGACCCGGCAGCGGGGGAGTCTGGGGGCCAGAACGGTGAGGTTGCCGAGGAGCCGGCGGAGAGAAATGATCCCAAGTCCGCCTGGGTCATGGCCGTTTATGAAGATGATGCTGGTGAGGAACAGCAGTGGAAACGCTCCATTACGAGTCAAGGTGTTAGTGAATACCGCATCAACAACCGCGTGGTCACAGCTCAGCAGTACAATGACGCATTGGAAGCAGAGAACATATTGATCAAAGCACGCAACTTCCTCGTCTTCCAGGGTGACGTTGAGTCTATTGCCTCGCAGTCTCCCAAGGACCTTACACGACTGATTGAACAAATCTCTGGAAGTCTGGAAAGTAAAGCGGACTACGAAAGACTAAAGGCTGAGCAAGAAGAGGCCGCCGAGCACCTCAACTTCCAACTCAACCGTCGCCGAGGCATCAACTCAGAGATTAAACAGTATCAGGAACAGAAACGGGAGGCTGAGACATACGCCCGCAAGGCTGAGGAACGTGATCAGGCCATTATCACTCACATCCTCTGGAAACTCTTCCACTTCCAGCGCTTGATCGTAGAGTCAAGTGCAGAGATCCAGAAATACCAGGATGAGCTGAAAGAGTTCCGTCGGGGGGTTGAAAAGTACGAAAAGAACCTTGAGGATGCCAAGGTTGAACACGCCCGGGTCGGCAGAGATGTCTCAAGAGCGGAAAAGGGAATCAAACTCAAAGAAAAGGAAATCGAAGAAACCACAAACTCCCTCGTCCCCATCAATGAAAAGATTGAGATAACTGCCAAAAAGGTGGCAAAGTATGCCTCCCGGGTAGACGAAGTGTCCAAAGAAGCCCTATCGCAGGCAAAGACAGTGAAACAGCTTGAAAAGGATCTTAAAATTGTCGAGAAAGCCCAAAGCCAATGGGAAAATGAATGGAAGCAAACCATTGCCGTCAAAGGAATCCAATTAACTGATGCTGATCTTCAGGAGTATAGCAGGCTCAAGGAAGAGGTCAGCAAGCGATCATCCAGCACACAGTTAAAGTTGGATAACTTGAAGCGCCAGAGAAAGGCTGATGCTGAGGCAGTTAACAACATGAAAAGCAACCTTGAGAGCGTGGAATGGCAAGCAAAGAACTTACAGACTGATATGGATCATATACTCGAACGCAAGGCTGCCATAACTGCAACAATCAAATTTACAAGCAAGGAAATTGATGCTACCAAGAAGGAACTCAATAGTCTTACCTCGGAGCGTCTACGAGTTGCCCAGATGCGAACTGAACTTGAAGAAAAACTTCAGGTCACCTTGAAGAAGCTGCTGGAGGCAGACGATGGACGGCAGCAAAGTGAAAAGGAGCAGCGTACTAAAGAGATGATTGCTACTTTGAAACGTATCTTCCCGGGTGTCAAAGGCCGTGTGAGTGAACTATGCCAGCCTAAGCAGAAGAAATATGCCGAGGCAGTGAGCACTGTGCTAGGACGCCATTTTGATGCAATTGTCGTTGATAACGAGAAGACTGCAAAGGAATGCATCCAGCATCTCCGTGATCAGCGTGCGGGTCAAGCTACGTTTATTCCTCTTGAGACTATTCAGGTCAAGGCACTCAACTCTAACTTGAAGGGTATGCATCGTGCCATGCGTCCGGCAATTGAAACAGTCGACTTTGATAGCTCTGTCTCACGCGCCATTACGTATGCTTGCGGGAATTCAATAGTTTGCGACGATCTAGCAACTGCTAAATACCTGTGCTACGAGAAAGGAGTCGAGGCGAAGGCCGTGACGCTGGATGGTACCGTTATCCACAAGGGAGGCTTGATGACTGGAGGTCGCGGTCCAGGACAGCGCAATGCCAAACGCTGGGAAGATACGGAAATCGCCAACCTCAACAAGCTAAAGGACAAGCTGATGGCAGATTTGGCTAATCTTCCCAAGGCGCATCGTAGAGGGTCCGAAGAAGAGTCCCTTCAGGGCCAGCTCACCGGTTTAGAACAGCGCCTTGCATACTCCAGGGATGAACTGAGCGCTCTCGAAAAGAATCTAGAGAGCAAATCAAGTGAAGTTGATTTCGCCAAACGCCAGATAAAGAGCGTCCAACCTAAGTATCGCGAAAAGTCCGCTTTGCTCGAAAGCCTCGATCAATCAATTGAAGAGATCCAAAGCTCTGTCACCGAGGTTGAAGATAAGGTCTACCGTGACTTCTGCAAGAGGCTGGGATACAAAAATATTCAGGAATATGATGCCCAACAGGGTTCTCTTCAAGAGGAGGCTGCTGAAAAGAAGCTACAGTTTACCACTCAAAAGACAAAGATTGAAAACCAGCTTAGCTTTGAGAAGCAGAGATTTCAGGCCACTGAAATGCGAATAGATAGCCTCAAGACGCAGTCACAAAAGGATGAGGCTATGATTGCTGAGCTTGAAGCCGAACGTGGATCCATTCAAGAACGACTAGATGAACTTAACGACGAATTGGCATCATTGAACGAGACCCTCCAGGATCAACAAAATCTATTCTCTGAATCGTCTGAGAAGCTGACACAGCAACGGCGAGAGCTTCAGCGACGCAGCAAGAATGTGGAGGCCACCCTGAAGACTATCAGTGGGTTAGAAGCTGATGTGCAGCGTCATTCTTCCGGTCGATACACATTGATAAGGCGCTGCAAACTGGAAGACATCAACATACCTTTGACAGCGGATTCAGAACCACTTGATAAACTCCCCATCGACGAGCTAGTGCAGCCTGATCCTGATGCAATGGAGATTGATGAAGATTCAAATAATCCAGTTCCCCAAAACCATGTTGTACAAGACTTCGGTATAGAGGTTGATTTCTCATCGTTGGGTGACTCTTTGAAAGAGGTATGCCTTACGTTTTATCGAAAAGGATGCAGCAGACTTAACTGACATTTTCAACCGCAGGAATCTGATGATAAACTTGAAGAAGAGCTTCAAGAGCGCGTGAGATCACTTAATAATGAATTGGATAAAATGGCGCCGAACATGCGTGCCATTGAACGTCTCGAAGGTGTTGAGAGTAAATTACGTACTATCGAAAAGGACTTTGAAGACTCTCGCAAACGCGCTAGGAAAGCCAAAGACGACTTTGAAGAAGTTATGCAGCGACGATCTGAGCTGTTCAACAAAGCGTTCACCCATATATCAGAACAGATAGAGCCGATCTATCGCGATCTCACTCGGACAGAGAGTTATCCAATGGGCGGGAAAGCGTGAGTCCAACTAACACTTACTACAGACTGTACATGCTAACTTATGTAATAAATAGATACCTGGATATTGAAGATTCTGAGGAGCCTTATCTGGATGGCATCAAATACCATGCAATGCCACCCCTGAAGCGATTCCGTGACATGGAACACCTCTCTGGAGGAGAGAAAACGATGGCTGCACTAGCCTTACTCTTCGCCATCCATTCTTACCAACCTTCTCCATTCTTCGTTCTGGACGAAGTAGATGCCGCTCTTGATAACGCTAACGTCTCCAGAATTGCTAATTACATTCGTGACCATGCCGCGCCTGGAATGCAGTTTATCGTTATCAGTCTGAAGACTGGATTGTTCCAAGTTAGTGAGGCTCTTGTTGGTATTTACCGAGATCAGGCCGCGAATAGCAGCAAGGCATTGACGCTGGACGTAAGTTTGATTGTTCCCTTCGATTTTGAAAGTTAGTGTCTAACTATTCGTAGCTACGCAAATACCGGTGATTTCGAACTGCATGTCTCCACGGCCCCATGTCGGCTCGGTTACTGGCCTAACATTCAATCACAGCTCATATGCTTTACTTTATTGACACTTGTCATGTTTATTGTATATTTATATCATGTAACCCTCTTCCACGTTTATGCCCCTAGTAGATAGCGTTCAAATGCGTCCAAGAGTTTCACCTCCGAAGAATCCCAGAACACCGGCCAGCATAATGATACAAGTTTAAATCGGCTGAAGTACATTGAAAGCCCAACAGGTATAATACACGATAGATTAAGTAGTCTCAATCGCCACGAAGCAATTTTATACTACCTCCACAACTGCCTTTTGCAGCATATGGAACTCGGGAGAAAAAGAGCCAAGGGCATCCAGACGCAATGTACTCTTCTGCCCCTTTATGTTGACATAAACAAAATGCTCCTGGGTAAATAAACGCCGGGCATTCGAAAAAGCCCTGAAAATGGCCAAACTCGTCTTCTGAACTGGCATCTTGAGGAAGGGAGTATTATCCAGAGCCCGCTGGCGCGCAAATCGCTGCTGCGACTCCGACCAGCCGGCCTTGGTAAGCTCCGTTTCACTCACAGTTACTTTCTGTGAAATAGAGAGCTCCGAGGGCGCAAGGGTAAGCTCGCGTTGTTTCATAAACGGAAGCATACGCCTGACCTTTATTGATAGCTGGGTTTTACCGTTGAGGTTTGCAGCGTTGATCTGGGAAATCAAACCGAAGCCACGGCGGAAGAAGACGGTACCCATGATCGCCATGACGAAACAAATACCGCCAAAAAGCAGTTCTTGCCACCATTGGATCTTTAATACCGGATCTATGGAGGAGGTATAGAAGTTATAGCCTGCATACATGTAGCAGAACGAAGCTGTAGTGTATGCACCGATGATATAAGATCGTTGTTTGGGGGCGCGGAACAGGCAGACAGGCCCCTGATGTTTAGAAACCTCCCATTCGAATCTGCGAAATTTATTGGGCGCTCCCGATGACGGAGAAGGAGATTTTAAAGATAACTCTGGAGCTTTCACTTTTGATTTGACTGCATTTGTCCGTAGAGGAGGTGGTTGGCTTGTGGCATAGCACCGTGACTGCCGAGTTGCCTGCCTATACAACGAATATGGCGAACTGGAACAAGGATTTAGGGGCCGTATTTGCCGCGATAGGGCCAATTGAACTGTTATCGACTGGAAGAGCATGGCGAGAGCATCACTATTCGCTTGCATGTGGTCAGCGAGCAGTTTCATCAGTGGCTCACAATATTGTGCAGCATAATCATTGCAATGAGTCACAGGAGCCATTGGTAGACGTTTCTCACTTACCTCCAGAGAACCAGCTCTCCTTCGCTTCTGTCCCTCTTCTCCTCCTCTTTTGTGGATATTTTATTTCAATACCTGGTAATTGACGCAGTGGTGATAGCGATCGAGATGTTAAAATCAGGTGTTTTTTTGTTCTTTTTTTTCGCAGCTCAACAACGCCAAGCCAAAACCATCCTTCCGAGGCACCAAAGCCGTCTCACGCTCAACAACTTCATTAACGACGAGAGCAGCGGCAGCAGGACAGCAACAGCAGTCTGGAATGAGGATTGCCTGCTAGATAAACCCCAATCCATCCCTTCATAGCCGAAGATCCTGGGCATAGAGCCTCCCGCCAGCAGACCCGAGTCGCCGGTAAGCACGCGAAACTGCCATGGCAAATCTTCCGGCCCTCGCAAGACGGTTACCACTTCGCCAGACCAGCAATGGCTACTATTCTGTGAGATGTAAGTTATCATTTTCTTGATTATGTGGTGGGTGGCAGGCAGAAGACCACCGAGAGGAGATATGTGGGACACTGACTGACTGACGGTCTGCTACAGGCGTCCAAACCGCTGCTCAACAACCGAACTTATCGTATCCGCTCTATCCCTCCGTTGCGCAATTGCTCAAACAGAACAATATCCCATCAAACGATGTGTCTAAGATTACTGCTACGGGGCCGAATGGTCGAATACTAAAAGGAGACGTGCTATCCTACCTGGGTACAATTGCAGCCAGCTACCCTGCCGACCTGGCCTCACAGCTTGCAAAGAACTCGCGACTAGACCTAAGCAATATCAAGATAGCTGCTCCTCAGGTCCCATCACCAGCTGCTCCAGCACCCCAGGAGGAGCATATACAGGTGGAGGAGAAGACTGCAGGGTCAAGATCAGAAGAGGCGGCAGGGTCTGTGTTTGAAACCAAAATTGCCGTCCCCGTGTCTTTCTCCAAACTCATCTCTGTTCGACGACGGATCCAATCTTCTGTGGGAGTTGAGATACCACTGGCGACTTTCGTTTCTCGCGCAGCTGATATCGCGAATGAGAACCTACCCGTTAAGCCCAGCGAGAAGCAGCGGTCATCAGCTCTCTTTGATGAGATCCTAGGTCACAAGCCCTCTGCTTCTACACAGATGGCGTTCTCCCGAGGAGACTACCTCCCAGAGATTGTTTCTCCCTCTGAGTTCTATTCTAGCTCTGAAGAGAGTCAGCAAAGCCTGCGCAAATCCACGGATGATATCATCGACGTTCTGACTGGCCGGTCACCACCTTCAAAGAGAAATGTGACCAGGACAGCTGAGGCAGAGGAGGACAGGAACACAAGTATATTTAGCCTGACGATTCCTGAACACGAGGAGGCTCGTGCTATGGCCTTCCTAGAGAAGATGCAAGTTCTTCTAGAGGAAGAGCCAGCCCAGCTATTGGCTCTTTAGAGCAGAACAGCTCTGCTCTTGCTTGTTTGTTTCTTCCCAGCTTTGTATACTTCTCAATGTATTATCTATTTATTTATAGTTTTTTTTACTCGCTTTTATGTCCAGAGATACAGTTTACCAGGGATGGGGTGTTTTTGTTTTTGTTTTTTGTTAAACTGTCTTGTCCCTACCAATTTCAGTATAACTCTACACTTGAGCATTTGGTAGTACCTCGGCTAAGTTCCCTGACTCACCAGCAAGAAGAACATGGCAGCTATCAAAAACTAGAAGCCGATATAGGCATGGTTGTAGCGTCGTCCGATCCTTAACCAAGATACGAGATGCAGCATCAAAACGAGTGGGTCACAGTCTCAATGCTTGTTCCCCCATGTAGTTATATTTCTTCTCCACTCAATGCGACAGCAAGTAAACCCAGACCCTGCTCCACCTCCATACCAACTTCAATGTGAGATCACCCCTAATGCATATTATATTCTCACTGCATATTATATTCTCACTGCATATTATATTCTCACTATCAAGCCTTAGAAACACTATGAACTACTTGGCCCTTCTGTTTGGCTGAACATGCCGCGGCTGATTTCAGGCCAGTTGCTAAGTAGCTGAGGTAATGATGGGCGATATTACGAAGTATTCGCCTACTCACTCTCATATGAAGTTGAACTGAATGTTAGGCGATAGTTATCATTTAGAGCTGTTTTTAGCTTTGTCGGCCATTCAATTGCACGTATTGCATGTCTCTACTCTCTTCATCATCGAGCCATCCATATCTATTACATTAGCTACATGGCTGATTAATTAGTTGATGTAATAGTCCTCTCTATACCGAGTATGGAGTAGGTCTTTAATAACCTAATCATGGAATAGTTAGTCCCAGTGCGCGAATCACTTATAGGAAAATTGGCTTCTCAAATGAGGTAGCCTAGCTTTCCCTAACCCAACCGACGAGCTTGGCTGAGCACTTGAATTTGGAGAAATAATCTGCGGTGGTGGCACTGGATGCTGCTGTGCATAATCACGAGCAGTGGCAGACATTTGGACTTTTCGGTTTAACCTCGCAGCATGCCCGCAGGGCAAGAGTTGCTGTTTCTCCAGTTCCGCGATAAGAGCAACAACGTACTTTTGACACTGCTGAGCAGGCACACGATTGGCAGCGGCTGTGATTTTCCTGCTGTGCTTCGGATCGACGCTGCCCAGATACTCGCGGGACTGGATGCCAGGGCTGTCGACTGGCTTGCCAGCCTGGATCATCACCGAATAAGGTTTATGGCGGGTCGGCCCGCCGGTGGAGTGATACCAAGTTGCAAGAGCCGCATTTCGCAAACACCCCATCAATATCCAGTGCGGATAAAGTGCATCCCGCTGTTTCCCGTAACAGACAAAGATGTCAATCGGAAGGGTAGGGTTGTAAGACATAGTAACGGACTTCGAGACGTACCGAGTTTATTACAGAGTGGCATATCTAGGCCTCGATCTTCTTACTAGCTTTATATATCTTCGAAGTCGAGCATGAGGAGACTGAGATTGGCAAGTTAACTATCCAGTTTAACTATCCAGTTAACTAATTTATAATGAAGAAATGATTCAAATGATATTTCTTCTATATAATTTTTGTTTAGTCGTACATTGAATATATAATAAAACAGTAACTATCCAACCTATGCAGGTGAAAGCCATAGTTATCCACTCATTAAATGAGTACATAACTAGGTAATCTCATTGAATAACTATTCAGCCAGCTAAATTCATTTTACTACCCTGAGAATTTAAACAATCAAGTTTTATTACATTGTTTGCTTGTTGTTTGCTTGTTACTTTTGTATTAACTAGTAGCGAGGTTCTTGTCTCACCTTAAAATAAATAACCAAGCAAACGTCCTTGTTACGAACAGTTACTTAATACTCTCTGATAGCTACCTAAGCTACATCTTACTTCCTTTCTTGCCAATCAATATTTCATAACTATGACTTCTAACTATCTAGAGCCGCTTGTTATCCAACCACGAGATTCCCACCAATGCACTATAATCCTCCTTCATGGTCGGGGATCCAATGCTGCTAAATTTGGCCCTATTCTCCTATCCTCTTCGATCCCCCACCTTGACCAGGCCAGCATAGGCGCCGAACACACACTTGTATCTACCTTCCCTCACGCCAAATTTGTCTTTCCAACCGCATCTAAGCGTCGTGCCACTGCCTACAACCGGAGTATTATCAATCAGTGGTTTGATAACTGGCCACTGAGCACAGATATCCCTCCTGCAACCACTCCACAGGAGAAGCAACGTCGCGAATATCTTCCAGCAGATGGTTTAAGAGAGACGAGTCAATATCTTCACAAGTTATTGAGAGAGGAGATTTCCTTGCTTGGAGGTGATGCAAAACGCGTTATCCTTGGGGGCCTTAGTCAAGGTTGTGCTGCTTCGCTCGTGGCATTGCTTCTATGGGATGGGGACCCGTTAGGTGCTGCCATTGGGATGTGTGGCTGGTTGCCATTCCGCCATCAGATGGAGGATTTTCTACCTGGAGTGCGTGCGTCAGAGCCTGATGAAGATAATCCCTTTATCGAGAAAGCGGAAGATGAAGATGACATACCACCCCCTGTACAAGCCATGATCTCATTGGCGGAGGTGCTTGAGGTGAGCTTGCCAGAGCAGCTGCCTCGTGAGCTGCCGTTTCAACATATTCCTTTATTCCTTGCTCACGGAACTGAGGATGAAAAAGTACCCGTTGGCTATGGGAGGGAGGCAAGGAGATGCCTCAGCGAGATGGGAGTGGACGTTACTTGGGAGGAATACGCTGGCCTGGGGCATTGGTACTCAGGAGATATGCTGGGAGATTTGGTTGCCTTCCTGAAGAAGCATGAACCAGATATGGAATGATTCTATGATAGCAGTCAGTCAGTGCAGTTTTGAAGGCACTCCTCAAAAGGAGCATGTTAGTACTTTCGATCTATCCAGCATGTGAAGGCAGGGAGAAGAGAGATGAGATTCCAGTAATCCTAGCCCTCAACGAACTAGAATAGTTACAGAGTATCATCGACGAAATATTGGAAAGTAAATTTTCAATTATTCATATTTAATGGGTTTTCTACATTTTATATAAACTACCTTGTGTCCCACCATTCGAATCCAGGTCTCCACATACATTACAGAATCCGGGGGAGTGCGAATATGGCTCCTTATGAATATACCTATAAATAATATAAGAAACTACATTTTCTATTTTTTTTGCCAAGTGAATGTGCGTCATGTTGGTAAAGTGAATAACCGAATAGTTAGGCGAATGGTTATATTTGTTCTCTTCTTTAGTTACTAAACACCCTACGTATAACCTCTCATCGGCGTTATTTAACAGCTCAGCTGGCAGATTACATTTCGCTACTGAGGATTCAGCATACCCAGCAAGAGATACTTAAACATACCAGAGTCGGCTGCTCCGGACATGGCGGTTACCAGCCAACCACAACATGGACAACCGAAACCTTTGGATTGAATTCGCGTCTCATCCTGGTGTTGTACAGGGAGGTCTACACGCAGCAAGAAACCTGACCCGACGTCAGCTCTTCAATATTCTCAACGTTGCATTCCGACCAAGCGGTGGATTTGACATATCTCGCCGCGGCTCAACGACTCCTTTGCCTGTGACAGACGACCTTATTGAGCCTGGCGACTACATTTTATCTTCAACTATACCAGGCCAGGATGTTACCCCCAGTGATGAGCAATATTACCGACGGACGCTTTCAGTTTTCGATACAGATAGAGATGAGTCTTTCCGACACGACGTTAGGCAGCGAGATTGCCGCTGTGTCATCACTGGCAAAGTGAATCGTAGTGCTGATGTAGGTGTGTGGCGCGGATTTGAGGCTGCCCATGTGTTTCCACTTGCGCTATCGATGATATTCTCAAGCTGCGGGTTTTCGGACATCATCACGGATAGCCGGGGAATCAACTCTCCTAACAACGGTCTTCTGCTCCGGACAGACATCCACCAGATGTGGGATGGCTATGACTTTGCTATCAATCCCGATGACGACTATCGCATTTACAGCTTTTCTGCGAACATGACCGATTACCATGGAGCTGCTCTCAACGAGGTCTGCCGCCAGCCAGAAGACGCTCATAGAGTGTATGACGATTTATTACGTTGGCATTTTGAGCAGGCGGTGCTCTGTAATGTTCGTGGTGCGGCCGATTTAGGGTTTGAATTTGATTTCCCGCCTGGTACGGACATGATGGGCGAGATTTGCGAGGGGCCTTTCGCTGCAGAGAGAATGGAAGCAGAGCTTTTCGGACGTTTATATGGCTATCACCAAGGAGAAGGCCTTTGAAATTACGGACCCATTTGTCACAATAGGGCAACAGGACCGTTTCACGCTCGTTACAGTGCCTTTGGTTTCATGGGTTGCGTCCGTCTCTTGCACACACTGAGTTTTCCACGTTTACTATTGCTTTCCAGTTAAGTGTACAGATGATCAAATCTTAAAGGCATATTATTGTTGTGAACTATGCTCTTCTGGCGCCCTTGGCCTTTCTCCTAGCTAAATACCCTCCCAGAAATCCCAAACAAAATAAGACATAAAAAGACACAGGTAGCAATGACCTGGCTACCAAACGCCCTCCATAAAACACCATACAGTTAGACAATTCCCCCCGCCCCGCCTCTTTTTTTAAACCCATGCTGAAAAGAGTACAGAACACCGTTCCTAAAGTGCAATGCTGATGAGAGAGAAGAAAAATTGCTGAACGTTGTTCCCATGCTAGATCGTCACGTGTGGCTCATTAAGTGCGCAAAAGAAAAGGGCTGAAGACCAGGTATGCTCGGTTGTAAGAAAAGAAACAGTTAATAAAGAATCTGGGTCCAAGTGGTATACTTCCGAGTATCGCGGTGTACTTCTACCGTATTGTCGTGTAGCTAGCCAGTTTGCTCTCACGGTCCTGTTGTTTAAGGCCCTTCTTATTGAATATCTTCCAAAACCGCAGAGTCTCGTCGCCAGCACCAGTTACAACTGTCTGGCCATCGGGACTCATGGCGAGATAGAGGACTCGGAAAGTGTGGCCAGTTAGCGAGACGACCTGTTCCATTCGTGGGTATTTCCAAACCACGATCTGATTCTGGCTGTACCCATGAGTGCTGACAATCTCATCCGAATTCTTGGACCATGCCAAATTGCAGACCTGGCTTCCAGTATCGACTTCTTTTATCAGGGAGCCTGTTGACGTGTTCCAGAACTTTATTGTGCGATCCGCTGTACCTCCTCCGGAGGCTAAGAGTGAGTGCTGATGAGGAGACCATGCGATGGCCTTGACGGCAGCAGTATGGTCTGTAAATCGGTATAAGGGTGCTTCGTTCAGTTTATCCCAAACAATTAGTTTATTATCATTCCCTCCAGATGCTAGTTGACCGTCATCTGTGTTCCACTTGAGGCCACAAACTTCTTGTTTGTGCCCTGCAAGTCGGCGGAGATATTGGTCGGGAGAGCGAACATCTCGGTGAAATATTAGGCGATCACGGGACCCTGACGTGAGAATATGGTCATTCCAAGCTAGTGCTCCAACACGGAGAGTATGTCCTGTCATTGTCCGTAATCGGCGACAATGCTCTGCATCCCAAATCTGTACGAGACCTTTGCCCGTCCCGATGGCAAGATGAGTTCCCTTTTTGAGATGTTAAAAACAGTGTTTATATAACAAGGATGTAAAGAAAGGAAGCTTACCCGTTGGATCCAATTGACACTGGTCACTGTATCGTCATCTAGTTGACAAAGTTTTGTAACATGACCATTAATAGAATCCCACATGTAGACAGCGGATCCTAGTCCAACTCCCAATATATTACTGCTACCCCAGTCCACGAGGTTTAGGTAGAAGTCATCTGTGAGATCAGGAGCATCCAGGACCTTGAAGGGCACTTTGTTCACATATCTGGGCTGTTTTCGGAGACTCTGGAGGATTTGTTGGCTGTCAAATCGGATGGGAGAAAGGCTGTACAACTCGGAGCGGGCGTCGAAATTAGGGCCATGCTGGCTGCGGGGTGTTCGGGAAGGGGTAGGGTTTCCGGATGCATTCCTGGGAGACGTGTAGGAGAGTAGATTCTTGCTAGGGGTTGAAGGCGTGATGCTGGCCGGGGGCAGGGACATAGCAAGCTTATGTGACTGAGGGGTATTAGAGGCGAAATCCCGAGAAGCACTCGAGCGTCCGGGGAGTGGGTTAGGGGAGAGGGAATGTATATCAGGTTGGGGGATTGTAGAGCCAAAGAACTCATTACGCAGCACTCTGGAGTATGTTCGGTTGGCTTCCTCCGCTAGACACGCACAAAGGTAAGCTAGGGTGTTATTTCATAACAAAGCAGACGCGTCAACACTTACTCTTTTGTGAATGGATTTCGCCGTGCGTTGACTTTTTCTTTGTCTTTGAAGGTGTTGATGGACATCCATCTTCATGAAGCAGGCTGAACCCAGCCTGCAGGTCTTGTCCTTCACGATTAGGGATAAATCTGTATGCATTCGCGTTAGTAATTCAGGATTCAAGATAAACAATACAATGATTCAAGTAAACAAGGGTTTCATAGTAAGACAAAGCATGGAGAAACATAAACAATTGCTAATTGGAGACATACCTGTCACCATAAACCCTTTGTCGTTTCCGGCTTGGGCTACTGCCCGGGGTACTCTCACGCTGGCGGCCGGCATCTTCAAAGTCCTGCAGCGCTCGAGCCAAGGCATCTGGATTCACCGGTTCAGAGCCGGTCCGGGAGCGCTGTCTGGTAGATCGAGCTGTGCTGTGTGCCGACTTGGACTTGATCCCATGGCTTGGGGGCGGCGAGTTGGACGCTGGCGGGGAGATGGGCTTCCTGTCCATGCCGGCGTCAAGGGTATCTGCTTTGGCCATGCGAGCAGCAGATGCGCGAGTGCGGCCTAGCTTAGGCCCTGTCTCCGCCATTCCGTTCCTCTCACGGCGCAACAACTACTTCCCTGAGAGGGGGGAGCTCTTCTTCCGGTCGATAAACACAGGCAATAACGACGACGACGACTGACCGTGCAGAGCAGGCGTTGAGGCATTAAACAAGCGACGGGCGGGACAGCGAACAGGCGATTTTATTATGAAGCTGGGAGAGTCGAATGAATGCGACGGAAGCGCAACAGGCGAGTCCTCCGTGGATGCGGGTGCCGTTCGGCTGGCGACCAGATAACAAACTAGGCGCTGGGTGGTGGACTGGTCGCGACGGGGAAAACGAACATCGAAAAGGGGGCTGGGGACCTCTGTGTACGACCGTGCGGCTGGTCGATTCCTCGAGTTGCCGGCAGACGCAGACGCAAGTCCCAGGGGCCGCCCTTCACTGGCGCCGGCGAGCTTTGAGGAGCGGGAGGTGAGAGAGCCGTTGCGTTCCCGGCGTTGTTGTTATTTTATTTATTTATTTTGCTTTCTTTCTTTTCTTCCTCGCTGGTCAAAGCGAGCTTTCGACATCAAAACAAGCTTCTCGTCCCAAAGGGGAAACCCCTGCCTAAAGGGGAAATGGATAAACAAAAACCCGCGACAGTCACGCGGTGATGACGCTAAGCCTGTTTCGGGGGGGTAAAGGGTAAAACAGATCACGTGGGATACCCCGGATGTGTCATCATCTTAGTCATCTTTAGCCTTAGTCAGCCGAGGATAGACGAGAAAAGCTTATTACGTAACAGGGCCGAAACCCGACGTCAAGGATAAACACGTCTTAGTAAGGCGACGGGCCATCCAATACCCTGCCTGGTATATAAACCAGACAGCGACGCCGTGCTTGTTGCATCTTCTCCTTCTTCTTCTTCTCCCTTTTTCTCTGGACTGATATTGGATATCTGGATGTCCCTCGCGCTACTGGACACTGGTGTTGCTGCTCGTTGCGTCTGTCTGTCTCTGCTGCGCCTGCCAGTTACCTCATCCACCATATCTCGTCGGATTGTTACTCTGCGTCCCCCGTCTTTACGGACCCTAGCCACGATGATCACCGCCGACGAAAAGGCGCGGGCACAGGACTTTTTGTCCTTTGTCAACGCTTCTCCTACACGTAAGACACTGTCCATTCCCTGATTTTCCCATTGGAACATGCTGACAATCCGAACAAAGCATTCCATGCCGTCGCTTCTGCTACTAAACGCTTTACCGATGCTGGATTCAAGGAGATCAAGGTAGATCTCCCCCTCATTCCCCTCTGAACAGTATTGTCAATGCATGCAGCTCTCTGTCTGACACTGCTGTTACTAGGAGAAAGACTGCTGGTCAGAAGTCTGCAAGCCAGGGGGCAAGTACTATGTTACCCGCAATGGCTCGACCATCATCGCATTTGCCGTCGGTAACAAGTGGAAGGTCAGTTCTCCCCATTACCTCCTAAGAACAAGATAAAAAAGGACAAATAAGTCGTATATCTGCTAAGAGGACAAAATAATGCGCTAACATCTACTCAAGCCTGGAAACTCTATTGCAATGATCGGTGCCCACACCGATTCCCCATGTTTGAGAATCAAGCCAGTTTCCAAGCGAACCAATGAAGGCTTCCTCCAAATAGCTGTAGAACCCTATGGCGGTGGCATATGGCACACCTGTAGGCATTAGTCTCCTACTCAAACACCAGCTTTAGCAGTGCATTTACTAACAAATTGATAGGGTTCGACCGTGATCTCGGCATTGCAGGCCGTGTGATGGTCAGACAGCAAGATGGCACCATCGCATCTAAGCTGGTCCACGTTGACAAGCCCAGTATGTGGAAATGTCAAAATTGTACGCGTCCTAGCCTTCTACTAACGTTTGGTGTAGTCCTCCGTATTCCAACTCTGGCTATTCATCTCGACCGTACAGAGACCTTTGCCTTTAACAAGGAAACCCAGCTTGTTCCAATTTGCGGAATGGTAGCTGCGGAACTCTCCAAGACAAACAAGGACTCTAAACAGGAAGAAGCTGGTGATTCCGTCTCTCCATTCAAAAAGATTACGGAACGCCATCACCCTTGCTTGATTGAACTCCTGGCTTCCGAACTCTCTGCCAAGCCAGAGGATATCATCGACTTCGAAATGCTTCTCTATGATACCCACAAATCATGCCTCGGTGGCATGATGGACCAGTTCATCTTCTCTCCCAGGCTCGACAACCTCAACTCCTCTTTCTGTGCAACTGTTGCCCTGATTGAGTCTCTTGCCAAGCCATCTGCCTTGGAGAATGAGTCTGCTATCCGCTTGGTTGCTCTGTTTGATCACGAAGAAATTGGCAGCAGAACCGCTCAGGGTGCGGATTCAAACATCCTCCCGGCTATCATTCACCGCCTATCCATGCTTCGTGTATCTGAGACTAAGTCAGAAGAGGATCTCTCTACCGCCTACGAGCAGTCCCTCTCGACCTCTTTCCTCGTCTCAGCTGATATGGCTCATGCCGTTAACCCGAATTACGCCTACAAGTATGAGTGCGAGCACAAACCAGAAATCAACAGAGGACCGGTCATCAAGGTCAATGCTAATGCCCGTTATGCTACCAACTCCCCCGGAATCGTTCTGATGCACGAGGTTGCTCGTGCCGCTGTAGCTAAGAGCGATATCTCCTCAGACTCCATTGTACCAATGCAACTGCTGGTTGTTCGCAATGACTCCAGCTGTGGCAGCACCATTGGACCAATGCTTTCGGCGGCCCTTGGATCGAGGACTCTCGACTTGGGAAGCCCGCAGCTGAGCATGCACAGCATCCGTGAGACTGGTGGAACGAAGGATGTGGCCCTTGCAACTCGACTCTTCACCAGCTTCTTTGAGAACTACACTACCTTGGCTCCTAAAATCCTGGTTGACTAAGCTGTCTTATTATTCGCCTCAAGGATAGAGTACGTCGGAAGGAAATTTAACGACCATTTAAATGTCCATAGCTTGTTTCACATGTGCCCCTTCCACATACTGGTCGGATGCTGCTAGTGTGAATAGGTGTATTTGAATATAAACAGAAAACTGAAAAAGACAGGTCATCTTCCTTCTTTCCTAGTCTTGTAGCTTCAGCAGAGTCAAACTACGCCGTATCATTCCTAGACAGCCTTCTCAACCGGCACTTCGTCCATATGATGAGTTGTTGGCTCCTTAACGTCTTCATTCTCCAACACCTTTACGTTGGCTAGCCCTGCCCGTTCCCTCCCAATCTCCTCCAAGGTCTTACCCTCTCTCCGCAGCCTTTCTAATTCCCTAGCAGCTGCCTCTTCCTCGTCCCTCTCTTCCTGTGACATCTCCGGTCCTAGGAGTAACAAAACCAACAAAAACACCCATACAGCCCCCATGAATATGGCCATGACTTTTCCGTAATCAAATCTCTTCTTCCCGTGCGGCCCATCAGGCAACGGGAACCTCTCGCCAATAATAGCTTGAATAGTGGCAGATGCGGATGAAGCGAGGTTACCCAGTTGATAGGTCAATCCAACCAATAAGCCACGTAAAGATTGAGGGGATAGCTCCGAAAGATAGATAGGAATAGGCCCCCAAACTCCACCGATGAACCATTGCTGCCAGAAAGACGATGCGATCAACGCATTAGACCTGGGCAATATATATGCTGGAATGAGCGCGGCACCGAATACACAGCTTATCATCATCGTGAGCCGTCTCCCGAGGAATGTGCTGATCCATCCTATCAATGTGCCACCGATGACGCCGCCTAGGGTGCCAGCCACAACGATGACTGTCGTCTGTGTTGCCGTTTTGCCCACTTGGTCCTTGAGGAAAGTTGGATAGAAATCTTGGCTCCCGTGAGAGCAAGAGTTGAAACCCGTCATGATAACGACGAGGTAGACCATGAGGAACCAATTTTCTTTGAGTCCCGGAGCAGACTCTTTCCAGAAAGCACGGAGTCCACTCATACGAGATTTTGGGATAGTGTCAGAAGTGCCAGAAGGTTGCAATGCAGCCTCCTCAGCTAAGACTCGGCTCTCTCGCTCCGCTTTCATCACTTGGAAATGGCGGGTCTCTGGGAGGCACCATCTCCAGATGATGATAAGAATTGGGGGTGCAGAGCCAAACCAGAAGAGACTTCGCCATCCATACTTGGTGGTTGGTACGAATGCTCGATAGAATATGGCTGCAAGCATATAACCCGTACCATATCCCTGTTGAAAAAGCCCAGAGGCAATGCCACGAGCGTCATAGGGTAGGTCTTCCATTGCAGTCGCAGCAGCAGGGCCAAAGAGGCCTGATAAATCCAAAATCAGCACATCTCGTTCAATTACATACGTAACCCAGATACAACCTACCTCCCATAGCAATTCCATATAGAGATCTGACAGCTAAGAATTGGGTCAAATTGTGGCAGAACCCAGAGCCTAGCTCTAGGAAGACGAAGAGGGCCAAGTTTATAATCATTGGCCACTTTCTTCCATATCTATCCGCAAATAGGCCAAAGATGATGGCGCCGACGGAGCGCAGCATAAGTGTCACGGTCAACCCCTAAACATGTATGTTAGACACATTCTCTAGCATAGTAAGCATATGAAGGTCAACTTACCCATGATACTTCCGAATTTGTTACTCCAAATTCAGTAGCTATCTCCGTTATAGTAAGAGAGACAGTGAAGAAATCAAATGCATCCCATACCCAGGCGATGAAACCAACACCAAACATAAGCCATTGATGGCTATCCAGCTCGCGTAGGATGCGATAAGGGTTTTTCAGTTCAGTCTTTATCAAAGCTAGTATCAGCCAGACGTTATTTTTTCAAAGTAGGTATCATTTAAGGGCTAGAACTCAGGGGTCACCTTTGGGGGCTTGAGACTGGATACTCGTGTCATGAAATAGCGTTGGATCTGCTCTGGTGAGTAGAACCATCCTGCTGCCATATGATTTTTCATGTTGGCTTTCGTCAGTAGTATAGCTCTCTGCCTGGCGATTGATATTATTGGCAGAAAGATATCACAACTTCATGATAGGAACAAGAGAAAGGTATGACTTTGGATCCATGTCACCAGAATCGGACACAGATGTTGTTTAATATATAGCTCACCCAAGCTTCGATACTGCAACTGGGTAACCCGCCTGAACTACTCTAAAAGGTGATTTTCGTCCTCAAAGTTACGTCTCACACAACCAGGATCCCGTTAAATCTGGGGATAGCCGAAGTCAAGAGGGGTGGCATAGCGTTTGCCGAAAGATTTTATGAGATGGGCCTTGTCCCCGCAAAACACTACGGCAGATAGCGTCGGGACATAGCGTTGCCATCGTTTCAAGAGTATCCACGACCGGGTCGGGGAACAAGGTGACCTATAGCACGTCCATGCGATGAGCTCATCGGATGCTTACTAGCTGGATGGAATCTCGAAATGGGTAAATAGTTAACGGTAGAAGAAACGAATATCTTCCACAGATGACCGACTAGCTAGATGTTTAGCCAGGTGTCGCGGCCGGGAGCGAGGGATTCTTCCAATCAGCTGTGTATTTTGTGTTCGCCCCCGAGACCATTGTCAACGAAAAGGCGCAGATAGACTTGGTACAGCATCCAAATACGGGCATCCAGGGAATCGAAAAGTCGCGGCGTGATAGTTAACTGGTTAACCCGTCGGTTAACCAGTTCACTAAGCGTACCTAGGCTACATGAGCCATGATACATGATACTAAACACAAAGGGGTATCCAACTGAATAAAAACGAATTGTCAATGTGTCTCACAGGATTCCGAACGAGCGAGAACAGACATCGCCGTCGTCTATCGGAGGTGTTGTCGTTGCCGGCGCTGCGTCTAACTAAGGTCGGCTGTCTAAGCGCAGAATAGAGTTTCCGGAGGTGGGATGGGAAGCGGCGTCGATTCTCGGATTCAGCTTCAGCCTCGACAAGCGATCAAGATTTTAACTGGGTAGCCGGAGTCATCAATTGGCCTCCGATAGACAGAGGAAATGGCTTCTCCTCAGTATCTGACCGGCGACAAGCCTGGTATCCAGCAGTTTGTTGATAGGTTTGACGTATGTATCCAATTCCCAAGGCTGTAGTTACACATGGACTTATCTCTGTATATCATAGACCTTTCTATTTGACTGCGATGGTTCGTTACACTGGCGACCTCCGTGATATTATTCCGGAAAATTGGTGGGCATGCTCTAAAATCATGAACAGGAGTACTATGGTCTGGTGATACTCCGTTCAAAGGAGCCGTTGAAACGTTGGACATGCTTCGGAACAAAGGTAGACTACCCTCGGAGTTCACATTGAGGGATTCTAACTTACTGTTGTGACTCCTAGGAAAGAGAATAGTCTTTGTCACGAACAACAGCACCAAGTCGAGAGCAGACTACAGGAAAAAGCTTGATGGCCTGGGAATCAAGGCTGGAATAGTATGCCCTGCCCCTGTGGATATGGATACACAACAAACACTAACTTGACCATTGTATAGGAAGAAATCTTTTCCTCTTCATATAGCGCTTCCGTATACATCTCGCGTATCCTAGACCTGCCGAAAGATAAGCGCAAAGTTTTTATTCTCGGAGAATCTGGTATAGAACAAGAGCTCGCTGCCGAAAATGTGAGCTATATCGGAGGGACGGATCCGGCATATCGGCGGGAAATTACCCAGGAAGACTATCAGAAAATTGCCTCTGGTGACCCTTCATTCATGGATCCGGAAGTTGGGGTGGTGCTGGTTGGCCTAGATTTCCATATCAACTATCTCAAGCTCGCGGCCGCTTTGCACTATATCCGACGAGGTGCTGTCTTCCTCGCAACCAACATCGACAGCACTCTTCCAAACTCTGGCTCTTTGTTTCCAGGAGGAGGCTCTATATGCGCACCTCTTGTTGCTATGCTTGGAGGTGTAGGAGCACCCGGTGCAGAGCCTCTCTCGTTGGGTAAGCCTAGTCAGGCAATGATGGATGCCATCGAGGGCAAATTCAAGCTTGACAGGAATAAGACATGTATGATCGGTGACCGAATAAACACTGATATCAAATTTGGTATTGATGGCGGCCTTGGGGGAACGCTAGCAGTTCTTACTGGGGTGACCTCAAAGGATGAACTTATAGCATCGTCAGTAGTCCCCACCGCTTATGTTGATGCACTCAGCGATTTGTTGCAAGGTGCATAGAATAATATAGATGATATATCTTTTAGAGTTAGTCTTTGTATAGACCAAATAGACATGTTTCTGATTACTCCAAAAGACTCCTATATGCCAATGGTATATTTATCATACACGCCAACCACTCGTCCACGGGAATATAGTTGCACTAGCGGTTGTATCAGTTCAATTCAATCAACGGTGAAAAGACGATCCTTCCTCATTGCGTTCCATAAGGAACAACTTTAAACGCCAGAGATCTAAGGAAAATAAAGCGGACTTTCTCGATGCAGGTATAAAGTATAGAGCGTCTCCCTGAAATACTTCCCCAAGTTGACGAATTTCTTGAAGTTCACCTTCGGATAACATTTTTGTAAGATCGAAAACCGGAACCTGTGATTCGTGCACCGGAAGTTCAGCCAAGTCAAAGGAAGTGCTTTCGGGGGTCGTAGAGGAGGTGACACTGTAATCGGGATTACTGTTTAACTCAGTGGAATGATGACTGCCACGAAGAATTAAAACTATTCCACTCCGTATATCTCTCAATTCCGGCAGTTGTTTCAGCGAACTTTCCAATGTACTCTGAGTGATGGGATGTTCTGCAATACTCAGAGGTGTCCATGTATCTCGCCTTCGTTGTTTTTCTATTTTCGGTGTAACACGTAGTATTTTCTTAAGGCGCCTTAATATCTCCTTTCGCATTGCCTTGAGAGCATAATCGGACATATCTCCTCTCCAGACTAGCGTTTGCATAGAGCTTTTAGTGAGTGGCCCCTGTGGCAATTTCCATGAAGGGGGGATCAGGCCTTTGCTAATATTCGAGAACTTTGGGTTTGACAACATGTCAAAGAGTGTTCCGCTATTTGTAATTCTGACGGATGGGAATGCTGCCCTGCGTTTGCGCAATTTCGCAGTGCTGTCGTCCATGGGGTTCTCACCGACCGCGGGAGCGTCATTGTCACCAGCAGTGACCCTGGTGTTTGAATCAATCTCCATTTCATTCAGCTCATTTTCTAGCAGCGACGTAGGAAGTAGCCACAAAGCTGATGTCTCAGGGTGCTGAACTAGGCCGAAATCTATCATAAGCTCTGTGGGAAGTCGGGACATGGTTGCATGGCACAGCCGGGGAGGACTTGCTAGAGCTATGGCCCAAGGATTGCGTATCAAGGAGGAGTCTGTATCCCACTCTTTGCTGCGCTCAATGACCTTACTTGAAGTTGAAGATGTCTGCTTCTGAGCTCTTCTTAATACTACCGGGGATTGCACCAGGCCATCTGGAGCGGTCACATCCGGGCGCTTGACTTCGGATGTACTAATACATCGCCTTTCCAGTTGCCTCTGAGAAAGTGAACTAGTTGTATGATGAGCTCTTGGGTATAAATGTGAGAGTGTATAGAGGCATAATTGGGGCTGGTGCCTTTGATGCTCTAGACCCGAGCATCTGGTTGAAAACGCTGTACAACCGGAAACAGATAGCTCATGTGCCGACAATCGAGACGAGAGAAGTTTGTGCCTCATCTTGCAGTCCCCCTATCTCAACTCATATCTTCATTCGAGATGGGTTGCAGTATATAAATCAACAATGAATTACCGACTGTTATATCAAATTGTTTCTCACAGCTTTTTCCCGTAACTACAAAGTTTGAGCAAACTGCTGACTAAGCAAAGCAAATGCGCGAAACCGCAAAAACAAATGAAACTGACCTTTTGCGCTTGAAGCTCACAAACACCAACGCAGCTTTCTGTGATGGTATAGTATGAATTGTGCAGCGACATCCCGGAGAGCTCGAGGGGTGTTATATACTCCAGTATCTCGATTTTGTTTCGGTTGCCTGTGCTCTAGCCTCCTCTGTTTCCCTCCCTGACCCGAAACATCTCTATGACAACCCAGGCTCCTATTACGGATGCCGAGTATATCACAGACGTCCTCAATATACCTAGCATCCCAGGTTCAGAAGATGCTGAATCAAACGCTTCCGGTAGTGGCCAGCCTGACCTCGGTAGTAGAAGAGTTACTTTCGCAAAGTCCAAGTCCCTATTTCTCGATCGCCTGACTCGTGATTTCGACTTGCTTATCTATTGCGAACTATCGGCTCTCTATTATATGGAGTGAGTTACCTGTACCATATGCGAACAAATATCAAGCAATGAACATTTAATTAATTTCTTTTCCCCCGGCTAGTTGTTCTATCATACATTTCGCTGTACGGGCCATAGTTCAGTTTCTATTCCTTACGCCAAAAGCGGCCAACTTTCCCGAGCCACCGAAGAATCAGCCATTTATTGGAGCGATTATTATAAGTAACCTAGTCTGTATCTTCCTACATATTGCTTCAGCCAATCCATCTGCAGGAGAAGCATCCCGAGGATACCTTCATGGCGGGCTGTTCATTGATTTTGTCGGCCAGAAAGGACCTACTTCAAAGCTTCAGCTGCTTGCCGTGGACCTACTGGTTATATGCCTTCAAATACTCATGGTGGGAGCCATCCTGGAGAAAGAAAAGGTCTCCGCGCTGACTTCATCGAGGCGAACTACCGAAACCATCCCATCTTCGACGGTGCCAGAGCAGGACCATGATTCCGAAGAGCAGGGTCTACTGAGATCGTCTCAAAATTTGTCTAGCCAAGAGGATGATATGGGGAACCGGCAAGTAAGTGGCATTGAACTCTCAGATCTTGGTGGTGAGAGGAGTGTAAATGCTGTCGTTGGGATGCATCCGCGCGATTATTTTCACTCGGGGGAAGCCCTCATTATGAACTTGAACATCGGTCGCACCCTTCGACAGCAGTGGCAGAACCGAACAGCAGCGATTGCGCCGCCGCATGCCTCGTTAAGTGGTACCAGAGTCCCTGCAAGCACATTTATTAGACGTCAGCTGGGTATTCAAGCGGAACCCCGCTCCTAATTAGTTAAGTTCCCCATATATCTTTTGCAAGGGAATTCGAGCCCTTCCTGGCATGCATATTTGCATAAGTACACGGCTCTGTATATATCTAGCATTTATCATATATGATAGAATAAGTTTACTTAATTGTATAATTCTTAGCATGTAGGACTGAGAGGAATAAGTCTATGTAATAACCCTATACACAACCCACCATTAAATATCGTCAAGACATCTTCTGGGTTACCTATCGTACACCATTCTCACGGAACCATGCTTCATGATGACGTTGTCTCTTCCTTTGAAGGCATTCGTCTGTCGAGTATGGAATCCACAATGCCCATCTCTAGAGCTTCCTTTGCGCCCATAAAATAGTCTCTCTCCATTAACTTCTCTATCTCTTCAAGGGTCATTTCCTTCCCTGTCAAATGGCGTTTGTATATCTGATTCAATTGGTGTCGTACTCGAAGGATCTCTTTTGCGTGGATTGCGATATCCGTCGCCTGGCCAAAGTACCCTCCCGAAGGCTGATGAATCATAACCGAGGAGTGTGGAAGGCAGTATCTTTTCCCAGCTTCACCGCCACATAGTAGAAGGGAGCCCATAGATGCCGCTTGGCCGACGCATATTGTGCTAACTGGGGATTGAATATATGTCATGGTATCGTAAATGGCTAGGCCTGAAACGAAACTTATTAGCTATGATTGTGCTTATTGGGCAGGGAACAGAGAATGGGAGCAAATACGACATACCGGCTGTCACCGATCCACCTGGGGAATTGATATAAAGCTGAATGGGTTTCTCTGGGTTATCAGCTTCAAGGAACAATAGTTGCGCAACTATTGCGGCTGATAGTGTTTCGTCCACCTCGCCATTGAGGCATACAATGCGTTCCTAATGTATCCGTCAGAATGATTTTACGCAGATAAGAACGGAAAGATCCCAACACCTACCTTCAAAAGGCGAGAAAATATGTCATCTTCAGGTGGTTAGGTTATTAGTGACCTTGAACAACTTATAGCCGGGGAAGATCGCATACAGGTGTGCCAGCCACCTCCCTTTGAATAACAAAAGTGTATTAGCTTCTTATTCCAACATCCAATGGTCATGAGTAACATACCACTGTCTCGGTCACAAATGGAGTTGGAGTCCAGTTTCGCGGCGGAGTTGGAGCAGCTTGAGAATAGCTCCTTGAGAGCGGTCGAGAGCTAGAGAGAGCTAAGCGGTTGAGTATCCGTAGTCGGTTCATAACTAAATGCTATACCAAGAGCTTGAACTCCACGTATGTAATTGTAATTGCTGATGATACGCCTTGGTGATGCCTTTCGTTCGCGTGCTCCTGGAGTCGTGAAGTCAAAAGGCAGCTTCAATTGATTGATTAGGTAATCAAATATTTGAGCCGCAGCATTCTACTAATATAGTTATATAACACAAGTGAACGAAAGGGGAGCGGATAAAATTATGATACAACCAGTAAACAATGTATTAGATTCGTCTAAGTAGATTGTATTATGCCGGATATTTGTAGCATGAAATCCAGAGTTGAAAGGTGCTCATCTGCGCCATCTACTAGTCGTTTATCAAATTCAGAGCAGACCTTCAATATTTGGTTCTTCTGTACATCTGAAATGGATTCGTCTTGAAGTACTGCTTGGTATGTCTTGAATGAGGTCAGTAGAACATTCTTTAAGGTTGTGAGAATAAGGAATATACCTGTGACAGGACTTGAGAGGCACTCCATCCGTCGGCCACGAGGTCAGCTACGAGGCTTGAGATTTCTTCGTATTTCGAAGCACGCTTGCTTGGGCGAAGAGCTGCGACAACACGTTGCATAACAGTTTCTGGAACTAGGCCAGATACTTCTTCAATGCTCCTGACAGTAATCCTGGGTTTGACATCATCGAGCTCCATGTCTTTATCAGACGAATCCTTCTTTTTCCCAGAGCCATAGCGGGCTAGCCTTGCAGAGCTCTGCATAAATGTTATAGCCTTTCGCAGGTCACCATCACTGCATCGAAGTAGGGTCTCAACAACATTATCCTCCAGGTCTAGTTTCTCCATTCTTGCAATCTCTACAAGCCGGCTTTGGGCAGCAGAACCGTCTAGTACCTTGAATCGAAATTTGCTGCACCTACTCGCCACGGGGTCAATTATTCGAGTGACATAATTGCAAACGAGGCAGAAACGAGTAATCCGGCTGTATTTCTCCATAGTTCTGCGGAGAGCGGACTGGGCGTCATGGGTCATGCTATCTGCTTCATCAAGAATGATGATTTTGAACGGTGGACACGGATATTGTGAGCGATAGGCAGGATCGGCCGGGGGTTGGAATAGGTGCATTCGAGCAAAATCTTTAATCTTTTCACGAACAATGTTTATACCTCGCTCGTCAGAAGCGTTAAGCTCAAGGACTCGGGAGCGGACGAGAGCAGGTCCAAAAAGAGATTTGGACATCGCAAGAATGGTTGACGTCTTTCCAGTACCTGGAGATCCATAGAAAAGCATGTGCGGAAGCTGAATTGCGACGCATTGTGTCAGAAATATTGCGAAATCAATGGAGGAGTCTGAACAAGTAGTATTGGAGTTTTACGTTGGAGGCATGTAAATTTCTCTGGAGAATAGAAATCGTGTGATCTTGAGCTGTCACGTCATCGAGTGTCTTTGGTCGACTAAACACCACACACCGATCAGTCTCTGTGCAAGATAGAGCTGTAGATTTGACTTACTATTTCTCAACCCATGGCTGGGCCTGCTGGTCGGACTCTTGGTTGTTGGTTACGCTGCTTTTAGCTGCAGAAGCAGCCGCAGCGCGGGCTTTATTATTAAAGAAGTTTGCAGCCATAACAAGCTCGAGACAATGGCACACACGCAAGCAATGCCCGACCGAGATCTGTAAGTGGGATGAGACGTATTGAAGGCGTCGAAATTAAAGTTGCAACTCGCGTCGAGCAGGTGAAGCGCGCTAAGGCGCGATCGACTAATTAGTTTATTAGCCGCGTATTAACGCCAAATCGCGCTAAAGAGGCTTAAAGTGGATCTGTGGAGGAGAGTCACGGGACTTCTCCGCTTGGCATTACATGAAGGATTGAAATCTTGTCAAGATGCAAGGCTGGACATTCGTTGGCCCCCAATTCCAGCTATAACCGTATATTTTCCATGGGAGCGCGCTTTTGGCTATTTGTGCAGAATATGGAGTAGAAAATTATATATATTTCTTTTCCAAACCCTCAGTGAGCCCTGTGCAAAATGGTACCTTGAATTTGTCGCTTGATTTATGTATTGTCCTTGACTAAAGCATCACGATGTTTAAAAAAAAGGGTGAATATAAGCATGCAAAACTTATATTTATCAAGCATTCTCGTAAACCCTGGCTCCTCATTCGTTAATAAGCCTGGACAGTCAATTGTCTGGCCTCAGAGTTTAAAAGTCCAAGACAAGGCTATCGACCCCGTAGCAGAGGTTGATAGTTAACGCACTGCAGCCTTAATATACATAATGAAGTGTTGTTCGTTCTCACATCCCAGACATTCTTGCGTTCAGGCAACATTGACGGGAAAAGTCACCTCAGATTGTCACCATGGACCAAGGTGAACTTCCTGCCAAAGCTGGCCATACAATCCAGTTTTGGGGTATTTTTGTTGCTCTATGCATTCTTTCTTTCATTTCAGCCCTTGATGTCGCCATTATCACTACAGCCCTCCCTACCATCACAGCCGAGATCGGGGGTGCTAATATATATGTTTGGATTGCGAATTCCTTCGTGCTGGCTTCATCGGTCTTGCAACCCCTTTGTGGCCAACTTGCAAACATATACGGGCGTCGCATCCCCTTTATAGGCTCCATTATGCTTTTTACACTGGGTAGTGGTATTGCCGGTGGCGCAACAAGCGCAGGGATGTTGATAGCGGGCCGCACAATACAAGGTATTGGGGCAGGAGGTATCTATGTGCTGATTGATATCGTTTGCTGCGACTTGGTCCCCCTTCGAGAACGCGGGAAATATCTCAGCTTGATGTTCTCATGGTCTGGAATGGCGGCTGCGTTAGGTCCAGTTGTTGGTGGAGCACTCGCTGAAGCAAACTGGCGTTGGATCTTTTACCTTAACATCCCAATCTGCACTTTAACGCTGGTGATACTGCTTCTCTTTATGAAAGTAAAGACCACAAAACTTGCTGACTCTGGCCTCGGACAAATCGATTTTCTCGGAAATCTCATCTTTATTCCAAGTATGATATCTCTCCTCCTTGGCCTGGTGACCGGAGGTATCGAACATCCTTGGTCTAGCTGGCGTATCGTCCTTCCATTGGTGCTAGGTATCGCAGGCTGGATCTGTTTCCATCTTCAGCAAAACTTCTCCAGCCATCCAAGCGTGCCTCCACATCTGTTTAGCAACCGCACATCGGCGGCTGCATACCTATTAACATTCCTGTCTTCTGTCCTGGTTCAGGCAATCTCATACTTCCTCCCAGTTTACTTTCAGGCTGTGCATGGTACAACAACCTTGCGATCAGGTATTGACTTCCTTCCATTTGCTATCAGTACCTTGGGCTCAGCTGTTATATCCGGTATACTGTTAAGTAAATTTGGCGTTTATCGACCAATCCACGCGGTATCTTTCGCCCTTTCGGCTATTGGATTCGGGCTTTTGACCCTTTTGAATAGCCGCACCAAAACTGTAACCTGGGTCTTCTTCCAGTTGATTGCAGGTGCAGGCTCAGGGACAATTCTGTCTGCCCTACTACCGGCAATTATGGCGGCTCTTGCAGAAGCTGATGTTGCATCGTCATCCGCAACCTTCAGCTTTGTTCGGACCTTCGGGTACATCTGGGGAGTAACAATTGCCTCCATAATATTCAACGGGCAGTTTAACAAGTATCTACCGGCGATATCCTCCCAAACACTGAGGGACCAGCTGAGAAATAGTGCTGCATACTCATTTGCAAGTCAAGCCCATAGGCTTCGAACCCTCATTCCTGAACCCGTGTGGAATGAGGTGGTGGAGGTGTATGTTAAAAGCCTAAGAGCCATTTGGTGGGTCGGGCTAGGATTTAGCATCGTCAGTTTGTTTGTGGTCGCTCTGGAGAAGGATTTGAAATTGAGAGAGGATCTAGAAACTGAGTATGGTATCAAGGATGAGAAAAATGGTGGCACACCTGCGGATGAGGAAAGCGGCCTTGGAACCAACTAATTCTTGACGAGTGCATACAGATTCCATAGCTTTGACAGTAAATGACATGTAGTTATCTGTAGCCTCAAGTTCCCCATGCCCCGCTGGACAGCCGCTTGAAGCCACTAATACACCTCATTTGGAACCTGCTTTGGGGGTTTTCGCAAATCTACCGAAGCTTGGGCTAGTTTCCGACTTATTAGGATCCAACAGAATCTTGAAAATTGCAAGGCACAGTTCACGCATTTGGACGCCATTTCCTGGTCCATGGACGATCCTGTCCCTTCTCGCAACGCTCACACTGCGGGAAAAGCTTTATTTTCATCGACATTTTGGATTTTCCAGTAGTAATTTGAAACACCATGCAAAGAAGGTCTAGCCAGGACTTGGGACAAGGGGTTTTACTCCGGTGACATCCGCTACTACAGAAGATCGGTGGTGTTCCTGCAAGGTAGTTGAACAAAACGGCCATTGGTAGTTTTCAATAGGGGTGAGGGCATATCCTTGTACAAGCCATAGCTAATACCAAGCAATATGGGCCCCTAGGGGTGATGCTCATACAACCAGTCCTATATCAGTTAGTTACAAGCTTCGCACTTCATACAAGGAGAGTTTGACTACATACTCTGGAGAATCATACCATCGTCAGCTTTCCCAGCTGAAGCAGTAATTCAATCCGGATCTGGGGTCCATCTGTGGTTGAATCGCAGAATATGGTTCAAGCACAGTTGGCTTCCCAACTTCCCTGGGTATAATGAGCATATTTCTGGCACGTAATTCTACCGGATTCGGCTGCATAACCAGCATAACCCATGCTGATCATCCACCTTGTACTCTCGGAGGCGTTTGGTCCTGGTAATTCTCGTTGGCACGGTGTCAACAGTAGGATCGGGGTACAAAAATCTCGTAGTTTACGTCATCACAGATAGAGGCTTCAAAATAAAAAGGCGACAAAGGAGTAGGCGCCTGAACATAATTAGCTACGTTCCAATGTACAGTAGGATACTCAAAAAATACCATGCAGAGGCAGCCTTCCAATTCGCCTTTTGTTACCGACCCCAGTACCAGTCACTACCGGTGCCTCTCCTTCCAGATTCTAATACACCGACGCCTAGTGTTCACGAGAAAAAAAAACAAAAAATCTCATCCTCTGAGTTGAGATTACCCCAGTCAAGAACTAAACAAGGTTGAAGCCATCTGGAATATTGGCACAGCTAGGGGTGAGTTGTGGTCCTCCTCCGCATATGGAAAATTGTACTTCACCCCCAATCACGAAGATACCCCTTTAAGAAAACCAAAACATCTTCCTTCGTATTGGTGGAACAATCGCAGATGGTTTATATCACTCTCAAGTGTTGACGGGACGAGCTATTCAACTTTTCGTATTTCTTCTGATGACCGTTTGAAACTATTTCCCGCCTTGTATCTCGTCCTTGAGAGCCTCAATAACTTGAGATGCTGTCATCTCCCAGGACTCGATCGGATAGTTGGCTAATAGATTCGGAAGTTCGCTTCCCAGTATAGATAGTGTGTATCCGGCCTCGTATATAGCTATCAACAAGGCCGGTATCGAGTTGATGTTTGAATAATAGGTACCGGGGTGCATCTTCATCCGTAACATATCGGGGGAGGAGGAAGAAGTTTGCATCGACCAAGCACTAAGATTGCCGGGATTCCTCCAAGCGTTATAAGTATTTGCCGAGTACTGGATGTTCGCCGAGGATATTCGTGGAAGGTACCGACCACCCATGCTCCCTTGATATTAGTACAAGTCCATGAGATGATATAGGTCCCAAGACTATCGGAGTTCAGTTGGGACCCTTTCTCGGCCTATTCCATACACACCATTAATCCCCAGCACTGCCCCCTAAAAACTTGACTTGCAATGCAGCTTCATCCAGCAAGATATAATAATAATAATAATATGCAATGCTGGAGTGGAGGGGTCCGATAAAGGAGGGGGTATAACCTTGTTAATTAAATGGTGCAGCTGGAATGTACTTCTTGCCTCTTCCGTGTTGAGGTCCGACTTCGCAATTGTTCGGTACGGAGGAAAGGAGAGCAATGGTATGGAAGAATGGAGCTAACTCAATTGTCTCGGAAGTAAGGTCGTTATTTCGTTCGTTCGCCTGACTAACGACGTTAGGGGCAAATGATCGCCCGCCACAGCGAGCATTAAAGGTAGATCACTAGAGTTCATCCCCATGCCCATGAGGACCCTCCCACATCCTCTTCTTAGGGTTAGGATATACCTTTGGGCCGCCTGGTATCATTGTAGTCTCCTCCTCCGCCTGATCTGCGGCGGTCCAGCTTTTGATGTCCTCCACCATGTCAGGTATACCACCAACATCGGCTTTCTTAGTAGAATCGGGGTTCCAAAGAGAATTAGTCGCGGTCGGGCCCGTGTTAGCGGTTACCAGAGGCTTATTTGGCACAACGGATTTAGAACCGGCCACAGAGACACCGCTAGTTACTCCAAATATAGCAAATGTGATCCTGGCAACAATTTTGAGAGGGAGCCAGACTATCCACCAGAGTGGGCCATACAGCAGCCGTCGAAAGATAAGCCACGATATGGTTCCAATTAGGATATAGAATGCGGTCTCAAGATACCATGTATCTGACTTTTGGGAGCGAAGTAGCGAGCTCACGAGAGACTTGGATGATGCAAGTAGGGTATCTAGATTGGTGTATGATTCCGAGAGCGAACTTAGGGCCTTGTTTGATTGTTCTGGAATTTGTATTAGTCACACTGTAGATAATTATAACCTTGGGTGAAAGGACTGCCCACCTAAAGCTTCCTGGGCAAACTGGCTTCTGGAAAGCTCTGCCTGCATGAGGTTATGTGTCTGTCTTAAGGCAGCGGTAACGTCCTTGGACGAGCTTGCAACGAGATCGCCATGAGTGAATCTCGGTGTCCTCCTGTTAGGAACATTCTCTCCCTCAGCTGACGGTTGAAAGAGGAGTTGTCTTTGTCTATTCTTCGCCTTCTCCGAGCTCCGCTTGGCTTCTATCTGAGCTCGTCTGAACTTCGACCGAGTCCTATAGTCTCAAGATTAGCCAGGATGCCAATCACAGCCGCCCAAAAAATATTTCATACATTTTCAAATCCTCTTCTATTTTCGCCAGGAGAGCCACGTTCTTGACTGCGTCCGCGTCAAATGGTACGCTCTCACGGCGTTGATGTCGTCTTCGATCGAGAGGATGAGTCTCCACGCGCAGAACTTCTATTTCTTCTTCTATCTCCCCGAGATCCTGGTGGATTTCGGTACTCAGATTGATTCGTTCATCATCGTCGTAGGTATCCGCACTACCAAAGGAATGTAGACGGCGTATGAGGGCTGAAACCCTCTCGATGGATGCTTCGACGGAAGCAAGACGGGAATGTAGAGAAGCAACCATTATGGGTATCACAGCCATCCACTTTCTGTTACCAAGAGAGAAAAAATGTATTTCATGAATGTTGAAGTTCAAGAAGGGGTGTGTTAAAGAATGTTGTAGTTAATGTTGACAGACATACAGGGTGGTCTTTCGACGCATCACGTGATACATGAAATTCGCCCATTTGCTGAAGGAAGAACGTTGATGGATCTTCAATCTCACGCAGAACAAGCCATACAACAAACACCAAGTGCCTATTACATAAATACAGCAATATCTTTTATATATCATGTACGTGCGCCCTCTTTCGAAGTCCAATGTCAAATACTAACCATGATCAGAGCACTTATACCACCACGGGAAACGCAGAAAGGAAAAAAAAAAAAACACAAGACGAAGAGCGAAAATGTCTCTACCACTACGATCAATCACCTCATTCCGAACGTCCTTCTCGCCTCTCTCCCCACTTTCTCGGCCGTGCAAATTGGTTCTCGCCCTTCTACAAACACCAATGACAGCCTCCCCGTCATCAGCAGCACATATAAAAATCGACGTAAAGCATCTACCGAAACACTCGAAGCAGCTCCCTGAGATGACGGTTGGCTTCCGGAACGGCAAAGAGGTGAAGCTAGAAGTCGGCAAGCTACGGCTTTCAGTAGGGGACGTTCTGGAGGAAGTTGGGAGAATAGGGAGACTTATTGAGAGAGAGGAGAGCTTGAAGGGTTAAGCATTGCTGAATGGGCGCAGTTATGGGTGTTTGGAATGTATATTAGATTTTATTTGTACAACTGATTGTATTCTTGCATGAAGACTCGAAAGTCTTGAGAAATGGTATTAATGTTGGAATTTTTTTTTTTCTTCATTTATTGGATGGCTAGATACAATGAGTGGACATGATCAAGTAAATAGCTGGGGTGCCCGTGGGCCCTGTCCCATTTTATCTATGAACATCTACGGCATGAAACAGAGACCGCCTCCTGCAGGACTTGGAAGTGAGTCATTGGACTGGTAGAGAGCATTTAGACAGCGGCACCGGAGATGTAGAACCACTTGTCAATGCTGTCGTCGATAGGGGCAGGTGGAAGGTTGGAGGCACATGGGATGGCCTCGACCTTGGCGGGATCAGCACGGTTGTTCTCGAGGGTGGAGTTGCAGCTGTATCCGTTAGTAGGTGATATATACGTGTTTTAGAAAGAGTAAGGACACAACTTACAGAGAGATGCCTCCAGCGGGGGACTGGCCGGACATGAGCTTCTCCCAGGCCTCAGCACACTCGTGCACAACATCCATGGCGTACCTACACTGGTTAGTATACTCACATGATGAGATAAGAGAGAGAGGAGACATACTTGGAGTTCTTGCATTCGCCGGAGAAGGCGAACTGGTTCTCTGGCTTGCCGTCCGGGATCTTGTAGATACGGAACCACTCGTTGGTGGCTCTGAGGAGGCCAGGGAGGTGGCGTTCGACATCCTCGATGTCATTGAGCTTGGAAGCAAGAGGGTCGTTGACGTCGATGACGATGATCTTCCAGTCAGTCTCCTCCTCGTCGAGCAGGGCCATGACGCCGAGGACCTTGACCTGCTTGACCTGGCCGGGGTAGCCGACGAGCTCGCCGATCTCGCAGACGTCGAGAGGGTCGTTGTCTCCCTTGGCCTTGGTCTCAGGGTGGACGACATTGGGGTCTTCCCAGGTCTGTTCGAGTTGGTATTAGCTTATCTGCCCCCTCTCTTCACCCTGATGCATGGCTGGAGGGCGCACTCACTTGTGGGAAGGCACCGTAGTTCCAGAGGTAGCCCTTGTGGGGGAAGCAGTTGCGGACGAAACGCAGTTTGCCCTTCTTGGTGTCCTGCTTGATGGGGTTCAGGAAGTCGTCTTTGGAGATCTGCCCTCGGTCAGTGAGTGGTTGAGTATAGGGCTGGCTGCCCCTCCATGGAGAGAAGCGGGACAAACCTCCTGCTTAGCGTTGGTCCAGCGAGGAATCTCGACGATCATGTTGAGGACGGTCTTCTGCTCATTGGCGTAGAGAGGAATGTCGTGGAAGGGCGAGATTGGGACGCCATCCTTCTCGATGTAGGCCCGCCAGTCGAGGGTGTTGAGGGCGCCGACGTTGCGGACGGTGTAAGCCATCTTGCTGCTGGTCGACGACGAAGACGAAGTAGACAGGTGCCGTGAGACTAGGGCTGTTCGACTGATGCTTGCTGGCGCCAGTCTGGATGGTGAGAGAGCTGAAGACCTGAAGAAGAGAGAAGAAGAAGAAGAAGAAGAAGAAGCAGGAGAGGCAGAAGAAAAGGAGGAGGAGGAGGAGGTGAAGCGGGACAAGCAAGCGACGCAGGAGTTGCGGCCAGACGAGTAAGCAGCGAGGGCAGAATCGGAGATTGTGGGGGCGATTCTGCCGGCCATCCTCAGACGCCCAGGGGAGTCACCGCTTTCACTCTCTCTTTTGGCTTCCACGGCAAAACGACAGCGACAACGACAGCGACAGCGACGGCGACGGCGACGGATGTCAACAGCGGCCACGGCGATGGCAACGGCAACGAGATCGATGGCTATTGCGACCCCGAGAGGGCCTGAATACACGGCCCGAGTCTAGTTGGCTCTCAATTGAACTGCTGTGGACGGCCTCAATGCCGAGTGCGATGTCGTGATTCTGCAGGCAAGGATCGCTGCTGGGGAGTCTCGCGACGGTTTCAAAGCCAAAACACGTCTCCCTAGGCTCAATTGATGCTCTTGCGTCTCCTGATACCCTTTGCTCTCGCTGCAGAATCTCCCGTCTGCGTCGTTCTTTGGCTGCTGCGCTCTGCTGGCTCCTTGGGTGTTCCTGGCGCTTCTCGCTCTCTGCCGTTGAGGATTTTCCCGGTCTAGATGCCGCGATTAGGTAAGCCGATGATAAATCTTAACGCCCTCCACAGGGAAAAACTCCGCTCACCAGAGAAGAGAATTAGGGATCAGTCACTGATAGCCAGCCAGATAACCAGCCAGACCAGACGAACAGCCAGGAAAACGGCAGACAATGATATGAACAGGCTGGTCCGCTCCGTCATGGCCCTGGGATCGTCGTCGGTCGCGTCTCAGGCCAGAGTGCCCATCCCGAAAAATGGAGTCGACTATCGTGGGAAAATCGTCCTCGCGCCCATGGTGCGCTCCGGCGAGCTGCCTTCACGTCTCGTCTCGCTGAAGTACGGCGCAGACCTCGTCTGGGGCCCCGAAACCATCGACCGCTCCCTCATCGGCGCCGTCAGGCGCATCAACCCTCGCAACAACACCGTCGAGTTCACTCGCGTGCCCTCCCACCCGGGCCCAGATGCGAAAGACAAGGTCTCCGTCATCTACCGAATCGATCCCGCCAGGGAGAAGGGCAAGCTCGTCTTCCAGCTGGGCACCGCCTCGCCAGAACTCGCCGTCGAGGCAGCCAAAGTAATCGCGGACGATGTCTCTGGCATCGATGTCAACGCCGGATGCCCCAAACCCTTCAGCACCCTTGGAGGCATGGGTGCCGCCCTCCTGCAGACCCCAGACAAGCTCGTTTCGATCCTTGAAGCACTTGTGCGCGAGGTAGGCCAGCCCTGGCAGATTGGTATCTCCGTCAAAATACGCCTTCTCAAGGACCCCAAGGACACCGAACGCCTAGTTACCGCCCTATGCGCAACGGGTATCACGGGACTTACCGTCCACTGCCGCACTACACCCATGCGGCCCCGCGAGGCCGCTATCCGAGACCAGCTGCCCATGATAGCCTCCATCTGTCGCTCGGCGGGCGTGGCATGCCTTATGAATGGAGACGTCAAGTCCAGGGACCACGCCCTTGAGCTCATGAGCCAGTACGACGTTGACGGAGCCATGATAGCTACCTCAGCAGAGTCAAACTTCTCCTGCTTCCGCAGTGCTGCAGATGGCGGATGTGTCTCCTGGCGTGAGCTGGCGCATGAGTACGTCGCTGTTGCCATGGAGTGCGAGAATAAATGGGGCAATACAAAGTATCTTCTAAATATATTCTTGCCCGGCAAGGACAAGGTCGCTCAAGCTGTCAAGTCTGCACGGACATATACGCACTGCTGCACCCTCCTGGGGTTCAACGACCTGCTCCCTGCTGCAAACAAGATTGATGCCATACTCGGCATTTCGGACAGGACCGAGGCTGGCCTGCAGCGCAGTGCAGAGCTCCTTGGCCCAGCTCTCCTTGCTTCAGCGACTTCTACTACTACTATTACCACTACTACTACCAATACTACTACCACTACTACTCAAGAGGTTGACATTCTGCTGGATTCGAATGTATTAAGAGGTGATACCCTCAACAACCAAATCACCGCATAAACATTTCGTCGGTGGACGCTTTTCGCTTTTCTGCATCTTCACTCTACACAGCCGGCGTTTAGGGACGGAGCATCAACCACGGTTAAACTTACTTTCTAACATTTAGAACTACAACAATGATAATGTACTTTTAAAACTCCCAATACTTGCAACAAAGCTCAGAACATAAATTAAAAATGGTATATATATTTCTAAGCTATCATCATTATAAGCTGGTAACATTAACATGAAACGAAAAACATCTCTTTACATGAAGACAGTGTGGTGTCCGCAACCACCACCAGGCATCTTAGAATACTGGGGGTTGACGTCACGCTTGCCAGTCTTTGGGCGGGTTGGGAATCCCTTGAGGGACCGAGCATACTCGGCGATAGCATAGGCAATTGCTCGAGTGTTAAGGAAGATAGCTCCCTTGTTGATGTTGGCAACAGTGTCGCCCTTGCCATGGTAGTTCTTGTCATAGGCAACGCCAGCCTCACCACCGAACAGCTTAACTTGCTCGGGGGTCTTGACAACCTCAGCACCAGTGAAAAGGCCACCAGCGGGGACGTTGCGCTTGATGAAAGCAGAGTAGTCGGATCGGCCGGTGAAGGCAGTGGGCTGGTGTGGGATACCCTGATCGTCAAAGAACTTCTCGAACAGGTACTCGATTTCAGCAGAGCCAGCGGGGCCGGTCATGTTGTAGGCCGAACCGTCACCGTCGTAGATCTGGTTGGCGAAGTTGGGAGAGCCAATCATGTCGAAGTTGAGGTACAGCTTGACCTTGTGCAGCTCACGGTCATCCAGGCTGTTGACGTAGAAGGTGCTTCCAAGGAGACCGAATTCCTCAGCGGTCCACCAGGCAAAGCGAACGGCGTTGTTGAGCTTGAAGTTGGTAAGGGCTTTGGCAACGGTCATGATACCAATGGAGCCGGAGCCGTTGTCGTTGATACCAGGGCCGGCATCGACGGAGTCGGAGTGAGCACCGAGCATGACAACGTTGTTGTGGTCTCCTCCCTTGGTCTCAGCAATGACATTCCAGCTGCGAGATATCCGAATTAGTATATGCCCGTGGCAATTGATGCTGGATAAGGCGTTGAGTTACTTACGTGGTTCGGTTCTCAAACAGACTGATAACGTTCATGGTGACATCAACCTTGCCAGATGCAATGAGGGTAGCAAGGTTCTTTCCATCCTCCTGTGAAAGACCAGCGGTTGGGACATGGCGCTTGTCAAGGCCACCAAGAGTTCCAGCAAGGGATCCGGGGACGTTGTTGTAGACAATGGCACCAGCAGCCTTTGCATCACCAGCCTGAGAAGACTTCTCGCCGAAGCTGCAGACACCACGCTCAACGAGGACGATCTTGCCCTGAGTGTTCTCTGGGTAATCGGTCTGTATGCAAAAAGTTAAGTTAGCTCTCCCGTGCTCTTCATTCGAGAGAGAATGTGACGTATAGAAAGTGTATGGCACATACAGCATTGCAGCCATTGTTCTTGGCAACGACAAGCTCAGCCATGATCTTGCTGGCAGGAGGGCTGTAGGACATGGCGCTGGCCTTGAGCTCCTTGCCATTGGCACTAACAGCAGCCTCGGCGTGAGACCACAGGTGTACTTGCTCCTGCTTCTTCACATCGTAGTAGCCAGTAGCCTTGATCTCATTGTAGATCCACTCGACAGTGTCCTTGTGGCCATTACCACCAAACACTCGGTTCTTTTCAGGATGAGCATCAGAAAAGCTTTGCAGCTTCTCGACGCCTGCCATGATATCCTTGAGCTTAATCTTGTTTTGCAGGTCATCCTATGCATATACATCAGCATATAAGAATTTCCAAGGAACATTGTGATTTTTTGTTCTGCTGTGGAGTTATAGGTGACAGGGGCGAAGGTAGCATCGATCTGTTGAGAGCAACTCACCTGAGTGACCATAGGCTTGAAAGGCCATCCGAAGGGCTCTTGACCAACAACGCCCTGGGAGATGGTTGTGACGGCCACGGCCAGGCTCAACAGTTGCGACTTCATGGTGAATATGCTGTGCTCTGCTAAACGAAGGGAGAAGGGCAACCTGGGGAGAAGGAGGCTTGATATGGGAATTCCTCGCTGTCGAAGATCCTGCCGATCTCCTCGAAAGGTTGGGTCTGACACTGGTTAATATATACGGAGTACCAGCCGACTTAATATGCTGAGACCAAAAGGTATCTTATTCCCATCAACCCGTACCTCTTCCTCCTGTCCTATCATGCAATCTCGCTCGGCTTCATGCGGGACCAATTTCCCATGATCATGGCCGCAACCTGCCGGTTGTTCGTGATTTCGCTATCTGAGCACATGGATGTGCATCCCAAGAACCCAGAGCAGAGCCCAAACTTTGCTTCCTTCGGGTTGAATAACTCACAGGAATTTGACATTACGTCCTGCGTGGAAAGCTGAGGCTTGTCTGCTTATCCCCGCCCCTTCCCCCGCAAGTCAATTGCTGAGCTGGACTCAGGCGAGCGTATAACTTGCATTGCAGGTCAGGCATCTTCCCAGCTAAAGTCCCCATGCAATGTTGATTTTCTTCCGCTGTCGATCCCTGCAGGCAGGGATCTTCCCAATCATGCCTTCTCAACTCGCTTCAGCTGTCTAGCTTCCTTGGCAGGAAGGGGTCTCACAGAGAGATAACGGTGCAATGGATTTGCCCATCTGTATCTTCAGCAGGAGAACATGCATTCTCCATCATTCCGTGTAGGTAAGAGTCATAACTGGTGCCGCCAGTGAGTAACCTGGTCCGTCTTTGTTTTCCCTTGGAATCTTTCTCTGTCTCTCGACAACTGGTTGTCTTCTGCAAGTCGTCTAGAAGTACTTCGACATCTGGGCATTTTGTCTCGATCTCGTATAAATTTTTTGGCCTCGGGATGAAATTCGCTGCTCCCCACAGCCGCCAAGGCCAGGAGGTTCCATTTACCCCAAAGAAACAAATATCCCCGGAGCCCGAAATACTACCAACGGAAACAAGACGGAAGTAAGAAGCGGCATGACTTGGTCTTCCAAGTGTAAATAAGTATGGAGACGCCGGCGGAGAGGCGAAAGATAGCAATTTCTTTTGCTCTCTTCGTCGTTCTTGGTCCGGACTTTTGTTTTATTGCAGGCCTATGGCCATCACGAGGAGCCACGCAGGGATATGGCGAGTGCTGGGACTTCTTGTCAAAAAGTGACATTATTGGAGGGGATGTCATTGATATTTTTAACTTAACTCTTCCTGGAGAACATGCCGAGAGGATCGAGATCTTGTCACCCCCAATCCTTGAACAGGTATAATGAGCTCTTCCCGTATTGCCTTTCGCCTTGTATCACCATCTGTGAGCTGCTGTCATGGCGGAGAAAGTCTTGCTTGCTTGACTTCTCCCATGCCCATGGTCGAGGAGGATTCCTGGACCTGCCAGATCCACTCGAAAAGGCTACAGTCGGATGATCTTTTCCCATAACAACTATCCTATACGGATGCCATGGGTTGAGGCCCTTGCTTGGGTCGAAGCGAAGTGGGCGAGAGAGATAACGCTGTTCCCGCCACAGGCATGGCTCTGGGGTAGAACAACAGCGGAGGCAACAACTAATCCTGAAAGCGGAGTACATAAGCATAACTATCGGCCAGTGGATTCTCATATGACCAGGGATAGATTAACTGTGGCATGCATACGGCTTCCCTGTCACTTTTGTCGTTGGTGTTGTCTGCCGTCGCTCAAGATATTATTGTTGTTGGTATGGAAGTTGAGAGGACGTCAAAGATGTGTCCCAAAACGGCTTTCCCGAGGATCTCCGTTGAAACATCCCGTCCCTACATTTAGACAAGATGTATTCTCCGTATAAAAGGTGCGATATAAGAAATCTGCAGCCAGGGGTAATAAACGAGCTAAGAAGCTAAGAAGGAAGCCATACTTACTCACAAACTAATATTCCGGTCTGATATTGTTGGCACGGCTGAAAAAAGTATGTCTTACCGGCCATCTAAGAGGCCTCTCTGTGGCCTCTACATCTACTCTTGGTGCATTGGACCGGCGCCATTGAGGCGAGACATTGCTTGGCTGCATTGTGAGAATGTCCTTTGGATGATTCTGATATCAGCCTGACAACACGCTTGGTCGGTGTCCAACTATGGGGAATAGACTCTCGGACGTATACAGTTATCTATTTTCATGGCATTTTAGGCCCTGATTATCTTCAGCTAGAAGGTTCAGGAAGGCCAGGAACACAACTAAGTGGCATTTTTGGACTCAAGTTAACTCTAACGGAGGAAGGGAGCCGGATACCAGTGATAGTTAGGCTGCTGATTGGATGACCACGCAGCAAACCAGGTGGAAGTTTGCCCAAGACAACAATGATAATGGAGATGATGAGAAGAACCGATATTAACCAGGGGTATCGCCAGCCGTCTCACATGAGCATTCTTCAATCCGGAGGAAAAGAAAGCGAGGAAAGTGGTCTCTATTCTAGGCGGAGTCAATATGGGGAGTATTCTATGTGCGATTTCCTGTGGAGAACCCGGGGGGGTGGGGGGGGATAAGTAAGAAAAGAGATGGCCGGCTGTGCAAGATGGTGCAAGATAATAAAAGATAAAATGCATGGGGTGATATTAAGAGATATCTTCTGGCGCTTGCTCTAATTCAAGGGTCGACATGACCAGTTCCTCCACGGCCTTGAGGCTTTCATCGTCCCGTTTTCCGCCGAACTGTGCGCCTCCATCTTCCCCTGCCACTCTCTGGTCCAGGGCTAGCTTCGTTTGTCCGAGGGCATGGATCTGTTCCTCAATGGTCCCTCTTGTCACAAGGCGTACAACCTCGACTTCACGGGTCTGGCCGACGCGGTGCGCACGGTTTTCTGCCTGAATGTCTTCCTGTGGGTTGAAGCTCGAGTCGAATATTATCACTTTGTTAGCGCAGGCCAAGTTGATCCCTGCACCACCGGCCTTGGTTGACAGCATGAACACCGGGATGTCCACTTGCTCATGAAAGGCATCAAGGATGGACTGGCGGTCTTCGACGCTGGTTTTCCCGTCAAGTCGGAAGAATTTTATCTTCTGAGTCTCGAGAACCAGTTCCAGGATGTCCATGACCATTGTAAACTGGGAGAAAACTAGAATCCGGTCGCCGTTTGCGATATAATTATCCAGGAGCTCGCAAAGCTTATCAACTTTTCCAGAATTCATCCATTCCTTATTCTTAAGGGCAAATTTACCAAGAGCGGCGGGGCTACCTGTACAGAGAGTATGGCATTCGAAGTCATTGTATTCGCGTAATTCAACGTAAATTTGATCAGGATCGGAATGTGTCCACTTCTCGTCTTTCAAGCATGCCTTTGATATTCGACTTAGCGTCTTGTCATCATATACCCGACGGGAGAAGAGTGGGTGAATTGCTGCCTGTCGTAGTTTCATGAGTATATTAGACGATTTGTTCCTTGTCAATTTCTTCCCCGCCGCTCGGTCGGCTATATGTTGCTTCACCGACTCAATCTCGCTATGATAAATCTCAATTTGAGATGCATTCATTTCGCAGTACTCAACACGGGAAGTTTTAGCGGGCAGGTCAATCACCTGGTGCTTCTTTCGTCGCAATACAAATGGCATCAGCATGGATTTCGCCCGAGCAATCCGTTGCGCAGATAGCAAGGCTGAATGTGTATCGTCCACTGTTCTAGCCTTGGCCCTAAATATGTACTCAAGATCATCCTTCCGTTCTCTGAAAACTGAAGGTAAAATGAATCCAAGCAGTGAGGCGAGCTCCTGAAGATTGTTTTGGAGCGGAGTGCCCGTGAGAAGTAGGCGGAATTGCGCTGGTATGCGAATAAGTTTCTCGTATAATTGAGACTTGCTACTTTTGAGCATGTGGCCTTCATCGTAAACACAGACGTTGAAGTTCATGGATCGAAGAAAGGCCGCATCCACCTTCGCTTTCGCAATGGTATATGTGGTAATGACAACATTGATATTCTCTCTGTTGTCTTCTATTTCAGTTCGAATTTCTGCTCGAGCCGCTTGCCCTGCATAATATGGCATTGTTTTCAATTTTGGACAGAAGAGTGAAAACTCGCGAAGCCAGTTCTCAAGTGTTGAGGCCGGGACGACGACCAGATGGGGCCCAGTAACTCCAACTTCAAGGAGGTGAGAGAGGAAAGCAATGACCTGACATGTCTTTCCCAGCCCCATGTCATCAGCAAGGATACAACTGAGGCCTTGGTCGTAGATTAATTTGAGCCAGTTGATTCCCACAATTTGGTAATCCTTCATCGTTATGGTGTCACTCATAATGGAAGGCTGGGATATAAATTTCCTACCCCGGGACTTATCGCTAACGTCATCCGCATCCTCACTTGCACAACAACGGCTGGATGGGCTTCCAATCCCAGAATCCTGGATCCCGTCCGAGGAAGGCTTGTCAAGAGAAACTATTTCCAGTTCGCCACCATCCCGTTTTGATCCGAATATGTCGACTCCCCAGCGCTTTATCTCCGTTGCTATTGGCTTCCCAAGGGCCTCGCATTCAGCGACTAGAGCATCAACTGCCTCATAGCCTGTCCACATATCTAGGCATTTGTCAACTATTTTGTCGCCCAAAGCTTTCTTTGAGGTTTTCTTCTTGTTTCCAGGAGCTTTTTCGGACATATCAGATTGCTCGATGGAAACACATCGGGCAGAAGCCAGAGACGAGAAAGGCCTTTGTGAAATGAATTCATTTGCAACGTCAACAGTAATTTCCGCGATGTCAGAGAGATCTTCAGGAGAGCAAATATTGAAAAACTCCAATACTTTTGCTTCCTGTGATCCATCATCAGGACTTAGACTTTCGGCCTCTGAATCCGAAGAGTAATCATCCTCAAGGGGTATTCTCGGTGAAGCTAGTCGTCCTTTTCCACGGGCAACAGTCTTTTTAGGGGGTTTACGGGATACCGATTGGTCAGATACAGCGGTGTCCGCCGGCGATTCCTGGCGTGATTTGGAGCCGCGTATTAGACGCCGGCGTGGAGCTTGTGGTTTATCTTCTGACTCTCGGTGTGAATTAATAGGTTGTTGGCTGGATGTCCATTTGTCCTGAATTCGACCTTTGGATTTAATCTGCTGTTTGACAGCGGAAACCCGTGGTATGCTACAATCTAAACTCAGTTCATCTTCAGACATTAAGTTTACTGAGCTCTTTTCTTCCAAGTTCGCAATGTGCTCTAAGGCATGTTGGTAATTTCCCCGATGCTGTATGAGGGTATCCAAACAAAACCGAACGGATTTATTGGGGTATACCGAGTATAACCTCTGTACCTTTGTTCTTAGGGTAAAGTCGTCTATTTGGTTCAGTGTAAGGCTGTGATCGTCTGGGGCTGGAGGTGTCGTTCGATTTCGTTTAGTAACCATTTCTGAAGCACCCGTTTTTGTTATGTTCGCATTCTCTGCGGATCGCTTTTGACCTTTAGTACCATCTGGGCTATAAAATGCAGCCGCAGTGATTTCACGAAATTTGGCCAAAGAGTTTCCCGATGCTGAAACGGGGGATGAGATATATCCATCTTTCTCCGGACTAGGAGCTGCTTTTGCAAACGTAGACGGCCTTATATCTGTAGTTCTCACGGCTGAGAAATCATCATCTGAAGAGCCGCCGCGGTATGTAGGGCCATCGTCTTCGCTAAGGTCTATGACTGGCGTCCGCCTAACTGGGCCCGTTGAAAAAGCGGGAGGTCGAAAATGGGTTCCTGGCGGTGCAATCGAAGCCGAAAAATTCCTGTTCGTACCCTGTAATGAAGGCCCAAGAGGAGATGAGCCAGCAACTTGAACTACGGCATCATGCTGAGGGGAGGCCTTCGAATGATTTGGAGGCTGAACTATTTGGGTAGGCTGGGTCAAGAGCTGGGTTGGTTGCGTCGGTGCAAGGATAGAGTGCTCGCCGTTGAGAGGAATTGTGGCGACTGTTTCCTGTTCTAGGGTCTCACGGGTATCGGAGGCAGGCTCATAATCATTATTCAAAGCCCTGCGGGCTGCGGTCATATTTCGTATAGGGGTGTCGGGAATGCGGTCCTCCATGCTTGCTAATTACCTCAGTGTCAAGAGGCTAGTGCAGCGTGCTGCAGTAGACTACTGCCATGGTGTTCTGAGCATTCTGTATTTGATCGTTAGGGGAAGGGCCAAGGGGGCAGACGGGCGCAAGTATGCTTCACACAGAGCAAGTATCGGAAATAAAAAAAAAAAGGGTAGCAACAGGTTTATTTCGTTGCAAAGCATAGAACAGTAAAGAGTACAATCTTGGAAGTTCCTAAGAAAAATGTCCATCGCCGAGAAAAAGCACGTGACAAACACAATTATCACGTGATATGATTTAGGGTTAAGGTTAGCGGCTTAAAAGTTGAGTAGAGTTCAAAATACATAAAAGTCAAAAGTTTCGTATAAAGTAAAAAGTAGGGAAAGTGAAGCGCGGTGTTGGGACAGATATTAAACGGATATAAGGGAGTCAAAAATTACCTTTCCCTTTCGTTTTATTTAATATTTCCGTCTGAAATCTCTACTTTATTGATATGATTAAACAAAGTCTACATGTATAATTCCTGGCACCGTAGCTTGAGGCCATACTTCAGGGGTCATCAGCAGTTACTCTTGCACAGACATTGCGAGTCACCTGGGCCGGAATTTTCAAGCAAAACGAATCGTAATATCAAGCTCCTTAACTTAACTAATGGACCCCCTAAATATAGTTCAATATGCGAGAATAGCATACCTATAGAGGTTACTAGCCTAGGTTCATTCGTAAGCCCCTGATGTGTTTGCCTATAAATAGTCAGAAGATCTTAAGGTTCTATAAGCCTATTAGTATCAGTCTGTGAATTGATGCATACATACAACGACTGTGGAACAAACCTTAATCCTAGATCATAAGGAGCTCATCGATAGGATAGTGGTCATCAAATCCCTCCTCGCTACTCTCATTTGACTCAGATATTTTGAGTTTGACGAGCTTATCTATTTCATCCATCCCTCTGTTTATCCGACAGAAGTTGTATACAGTCCTCAAGGGAGGTAAATGGGCCAAGGAATTTCTTGTCGATAAAGGCCCAGTAGACTTCATCAAACATAGAACTGCGCCGCGAAGCTAAACATACCCAAAATAGCCCCGACTCCATGGAGCGTTCCATTCGAGTAGAAAGACGCTACTGTTCCGCAAGGGTAGTTTGTACCGCGGATCTAAGTTGGACAAAAGCCGGTGCTGATGGTCTGAAAGTAACAGCTCCGGTTAAGTTTAGAACGGTCCCAGTCGTTGCAGCCCTATCGGGTCGATTAAGACGAATACAAATCTATGTCTGGATACCCTGAAAACTTTATAGTGTCTTTCGTTGTGAAAGAAGATTTCAGGGTTTGGGAAAGTGGGCGGTTGTTCATCCATCCTCTCTATCGTGATGAGTTCTGGTATCTGATAGTTAACACCTTGTGTCAATGGAGGAGGGCAGTTTAGAACGTCTCTGATCGATCACAAATCTGCAGTCCTAGTTTGGATAGGGACCTGGGGTCAGGTTGGGTATGGCTGTTATACGACGCCAAGAGGTCCCAACGGGCTCTTGTTATAACCTCGATCTCCTCTGTGTTTTCGGCCCCGTTGATAGGATTTATTGAATACTTCAAGGTTGACTCCTTTTTATGCCCTCGGTCATCTAGAGAGCTACTAACTGCTAGTTATGGCCATCCGGACCATACCAACACACAATAATTTCCTCATTCGGAAATGTTTGTTCTGTTTGCCACAGGGTCCACCAGGCTATGAAACCCCCTTCCTCGCGCTCTCTCCGCTTCTTCTTCTTCTCTTTCCCCCCGGTCTTCGCGTTTCAGTCAGCATCATCAACTTGCTACTACAAGCCCTTCTCCCTCTTCTTCTTCTCCTACTTCTACTTCTTCTACAAGGTCTTATGATTCCCAAACATTGCCACGTGTCCAGTCAGTTAGCGACGTCATATGGTTCTGTGCAAAGGAACTAACTGGTTTGTCATGGTTACGTGAAGATGCCACTGTCACCGATGCCTTCTGCCCCAAAAGGGTCAGAGTCAACTGCCTCTGCCTATGCTTCGGCGGCCCAGTCATATAACACCGTTGGTCCACGGCCTCCATTTAACCCTCTACCTGCATGTCCCAACCCAATCAAATGGGATGTAGAAGGACGAATTGCAGAGCTCCAGGCAATAATTGATAGCCCAGAAACAAAGGAAGGCCAGAAAATAAACCTTCAGGCTGCTATCAATCTATACCATGAGAAGAAGCTCCCTGCTATCGCCGTCTAAATTCAAAAGGGAAAAGTCATCTCCCTTCAGGATTTTGATCCGGCATACCCTTTTTGGGTAGAGGTAATGCTCCCTTCCGGTAGATATCTTATATCTTCTATGCAACCTGCTTACTCACCTTCTATCTAGGGGTTCGGCCAATAGTTTTCAGCACAGACTGCTCATCCCTGCTGTTGAGCCAACCTCCTAAATGCGACCCAAATGGGAGACAAGCCAATTAAGTCTGGCCTTGCACGTCACGATATCTAACTAGCTAATAGATGGATCCGTGGATGAATTCTAAGCTAGGTATAAATTATCAATTGGTCAACGACCGTACAAAGCATCAGCTCCCTTTTACGTATAGAAGTATGTGTATAAGGAAGTGGTGTGCATGCGCTTAATGCTCAGTTTTAGCTGGTGAGTAGTTAACCAACCCATCCCCCCCCTCCCCATCAGCTGGATGTTCAATATCCCTATTAACTTATAATCGAGGCAGCCCTAGTTTCCCAATGAGTATTTCAGATAACTAGCCATGCTAAAAGAACAGCAGAGAGATCGGGTACAGCCTCTCGTGCAATCTCGCTAGCATGCTACTGAATAGGATTCATGCATTTGCCCCCCGGTACTCCCAAGGAAACGGTAAGAATTATAGCTAGCCGGGGGTCTGGTTGTGTAACCGTTCTTAAGAAGCGGATCTAGGGCGAAGCAGGATAACTCACACACTCTTGGCCTTATTCACCGCCCATTCATGGGTTCTGAGATAGTTAAGCAATGTGATCGTTATCAGCAGACGTTCTGAACCTTCCTCGACGATCTCAGCAATGAAATCCTTCCAGAATCAGATGGGCCTCATTGACCCGGGAAGCGAGATATCTCAAATCGTCAGGAATCTCCAAAAGAATATTCATGGCACAGATGCCAACGCCAGAGACCAATGTGGATCAAAGTCAATGCTGGTCGCTGAATAAGGCGGCGAAGGAACTGTCAGGCTGATCTTTAGAGGAATCCTGATGTTCGTGCTAGTTAGTGTGGTTGGCTGAACTCTCCATATCATGGCTGTGAAAAGGGACGCGAAATTTTAGCGAAAAAAGTCTGCTTGTAATCATGAGGAGCCAACATTAACTTTCAAGACAGCCATGGCCTGAGACGCTGGAAGGGATAACAGATAACTAAGGGAGAAGACGAGATGGTGAGCCGGCTATCTGGATACGTCGCTCGGATAGATAGAGCCGAGCGTTATCAATAGCCAAAAATACCCCAAATAAGATATTTGATTTACCAAAGGTGCAGCACGATCGTTGCTTTACGAACTGGATACTAAGGGGGATGTATTGGCTATCATTATGTCCCCCCGAGGATCCAGTACCAGGGGTAATCCTGTTCAGGACTCTACATCCCTTCATCCTCGTCACCGCCAATGATAGGTTAGAAGAGCCACTCTCCACAGTACAGCTCTTGGACAATCACAACGACCAACATGTCGGACGGAAGAAGACCCATATACTACGTATAAGTATCACTGCGCCGGAGCCAGCCAAATTCTTGGGGAAAACTGACTCAGATCACCATATAACTGTGTCATTAACATCCGCTTCTTAAGAACAGTTACACAGCCAGACCCTCCGCTAGTTATAATTCTTACCGTCTAGATGCGATTCCGATAATTTCTATGGGAAATTCCGCGGCCTTCTCGGTTGGGCGGGCTGCTTTGGCCACCGCTAATGCATGTCATTGTTCCCCTTCACCACTTCGATAGGTTACTTAACTAACTAGTTAGTTAGTTAGGACTAGGATCTCCAAGTCACAGAAAATCTTATTATGACCAATTTCCCGTGTTTATGTGGCGAAAGTCTGCGTCGAGAAGGACATCATGCTACACGTTGACTACACGCTCGCTAGCAACAACTGTCTTTTTTGATACTTATCTTACAGAGTCAAAATAATGCTTCAAACCCTGGAATTGGTGACCCAGAAGATGCAGACTGCATTAGAATTTTCTCCACATTGATGGCCATTCAGTGCTCGAGAAAGCTGGGGCAGTTTGGATACTTGCAGCTGCTCCTGGTCTCATCATCGCCCTCCTTGTTGCCGGTGCTCCGTTTGTATCTCAATCGGCAGCCTGGACATATCCCTTCTCATCATATAATTTGTTCTGCAATCATTCCTATTCCTAGACAATGGGCTGAATATGGCTCCATTATTACCTCATGAATGACTTCAAACCGCAGATCTATTTATTGACGGTTGAGAATTGCCAACAACAATTAATTATACATCTAAAGGAAAGACAGCCGTTATCTTGGCAGGTTGAATTCCGATGATACCATCCTGAACATTATTAGTTCTTCATATACTGTCTACCCATATATTACATTCTCGAGATACGGAGTATCTCCAGCTCTGCACAAGACAATCACCTATATCACTTTGCACATATAGAGGAGCCTTACCTCTGAAGTGTCTTGGCTGGCTCCTCATACGTCGGATGGACCCAAATCCGCCTTGGTCGTCGGTTTCGAAGCATTATTATATGGCTGGGCGTTCTGGGTCTCTAGCACGGCTACAGCCCACCTCGAACCATGGCGATGTCTACCGAATCCTTGTCTACAGCCCTGTCTTGTTGACTACGGAATGGCGAGATAGAAAGAAAAAAAAATTTTTTTCGTGGTAATTGCTATCCGGACAAGGACTATCTCGACGAAATTTATAAGATTGCCGATCACGCCTGATCGTCCAGGAACAAATTGATGCCCCATATGGCCCTCTCGTCCGTTCTCAAGATTTTCGCCTGCAGTTCCGTTAAACCTCGTCAGACCACGAGACTAGAGTTCTGGAAATCTTGGTAACTGACAGGACCGGTGGGACCTTATTAGTTGACGACGCGCTTCCCGATCGACCGTATGGGTCTCCACCGTTAAAAGAGCCTCCCTGTTTTTGTTTTGCTCTCCTCGTTCATATACTTGACCGTGGCCAGGGTGTGATCATGAACTGCTGTCGGCGTTCACTTCTTCAACTACCATACCGAACGATTATGTGGCTGTGGTATTGTCGTCCACGCCCAGCTGCTATCGGACACCATGCAGATCCCTCCAAAGAAAGTGCTTATGTCCTGGCCACGGCCGAACTATGAGCATCCAAAAGAACTCCGAGGGCCTGGGTTGATTATATTGACTGCCATATTCGCTCCATTGACTGCCGCTGTCGTTGCTATCCGCTTGTTCACTCGTATTCGAATATCCAAAAGTTTTGGTACCGATGATATACTCATAGTTGCTGCAGCAATCCCGGCCATTGCCTGTGGTGTAATTACCGTCCTGGGCACGATCAAGTATGGATGGAGTCGACATGTCTACGATGTACCGTTCGACCAGCTTGTCCTGGGACTGAAGCTCACCATGGCATTGGAGTGTCTGTTTGGCGTCAGCTGCGCTCTCACGAAGCTATCCCTCCTCTTCTTTACGCGGAAAATGATTTTCGGGATAAATTCAAAGATCTTGAAGTGGCTCGTTTGGATTACCATTGCCGTCGTTGCTGCTGAAATGGTCATCTTTTGCATTGTGGTTATTTTCACCTGCCGGTATGGTTTGCCCTGATCAACACTCTCATTTGATCTGTATAGATGGAAACAAAAACAGCCAGCAGCTAACTTGAATCGGATCTAGCCCAATATCAGCGTACTGGACTCTAAGCTTCCACCCCCAGGAATGCATTAACGAAACGGCACATCTCCTGATCGGTACAATCATTAACATTTTCACGGATCTCTTGGTTGTTATCTTGCCGATACCGACTGTCATGGGCCTCAAGTTGCCGTACAGACAGCGTATTGTCTTAGCCCTCCTTTTCGGCGCCGGTTTCGCAGTCTGTATTGCAGGCAGCTTCAAAACCTACTATGTTCATGCATATAACGTCTCGTATGACAAAACCTGGGATTCCTACCCCGTCTGGATCTCAGGCACCATCGAGCTGTACCTCGGCGTTGTATGTTCCAAATCCCCTCTGGCTAGAATTGTGAATACTGTATAGCTGACAACAACATCCAACTAGATTGCTGCTTCGTTAGCCTCTGTCAAGCCATTCTTCGCCCGCTACCTCCCCGCAGTCCTGGGCACATGGTCCTCCCAACGAGGCGGCCATTCTTCTGGATACTCCAACTCCCGGTCTCGCGGACGGCGAGGAGACAACGGTTATGTTAGTGATGGCAACGGCGGAATTCTCAACAGCTACCATACGACAACGACCGTCGCTTCCGCAACACCAAACGGCATCGAGTTTGTAGACCTGGATAAGAAGGGGGTGATGGTGTCTAAATACATAACGTATGAAGCCAACAATGTATCGAAACCTTCAAGCATTCGGTCCGCGGACGCAACATCAGAGTCGGAACTGAGGCTGACATGACCTAGATTTTTTAACTCTTTCATCTTTTGTGTTTTAGTGTGCATTGTTCTGGCGGTAGGGTGGCGGCAGGGTTGGGTTTGGTCTGCATCTTCTAGGCTCTTTCGAGATATCGAATATTAATGCGACGAAGTGTTTTTGAGGCACATAAGCTACGTAACTAACTACTTAGTTAACTAACTAGGAAATGGGTTGGCAAAGCTTTGTTATAGCTATCTCAGTACTCCGTAGACTCCCGCAGTTACCCAGATGACCTGGTGGTAACCTGTTCCACACAACCAGGCTTCAAACGCGGCTAAGGATGGCATCTGGCATGGTCTGCCCCCGTATGTGTTGAAGTCGACGTTTGTTTTTGCCTAGTGTCTAAACCCGGTAGTCATCGACAGGGGCTGCGGGATGCAAACATACCCCAGGGGGCAGCTCGGTGTAACAAGCTTCGGTTGGCGGATGCTTGTCTGCCGCCGGCGCGAAAGCCGGCTGATATCAAGCAGCCCGTGGCTGTTCCTCCGTACGAGGTGTTTCTTCGCCGAGCTAACTAAGTTACTTTTAAGTGCATAGCAGACAAGGAGTCTAGATTTTACCGTCGGAAAGCTACACTAGGAGATGCTTACTCCGTACTTTATGCATCTTTTGTCCTACACGGTACCTACGCCTAGGTCTTGCAAGGTGGCAGATCAGGTCATCTAGACGTGATGGAATGTGGATTGTATTTTCAACGAGTCTATATGTGGACTAAAAAGCTGACCTCTATCCGACCCAGACCATCTATAGACCAGGCCATAAGTGAATTAAAAGCACCCGCCAAAAGACAGAATCAAAGTGCCCAGTGTGTGTGTGTCTGTGTGTTTTGTGTGTGTATGGCTCTCCCATGCTCCGTGGCTATGCATGCGTCGTATCATATTTCAAGCCCACCACTTCTTTCTCTTCTCCTGGAGATCAACGAGCTGGTTCTGGAGCTTCTTCAGCTCATCGATGCGGGACGCCTCGGTGTTCAGAACCCGCAGATGTTCCTTTTTCAGGTCCTCGAAGGCCTCGTCGAGCTGTTTGTGCCAGGGGTATAGGACGAACACCTGGAAGCACAGGGCGGAGGAGGCGACGAAGAAGTTGGTCAAGCTGATGCCGCGGGTGAAAATCATGGTGGCTAGCTCAGTGGACGTTTTTCCTGCTGGCCGGTCAGCCATATCAGAGCGGTCTCCCGATGGAGCAGACTACTTACTTTTTTGATGCAGGGGCTCTCGCTATGATTATCAGATGCTGTGTGAAGGCTGGAGGAGAGACGAGACGATGGGGGCTCTATGGTCTATGGTGGAAAGCGCAGGTATCACTGTCCAGGAAACGGGCGCTGGTCATAATAGGCGAGTGTCCTGAGGAGCGTCAGCTGTGCTATCTGCGTGTTTTTGCTCTTGAACTGAGCGTCCTCTTTTGATTTAAAACAGAGCAAGCAGCAGGCGAATACAACGACAACAAGAGAGCGAAAACTCTGCCTTGTCCTCACTCTTACTGACTGGCTCCTCCTAGGCCTAGGTACGTTAGTTGCTGTCGAAACGGCCGAAGGAGAACGTGAATGCCGACTTTTCGCCGAGAGGCGCCGCGGAGCCCAGCAAGCCCCACGGCCGGCGGTGTCGACCCTGGCGCCGCGCGAGGATGGGCAGCTGAAGCCAGGCGTTTAAGAAGAAGCCGTTGGAAGCTGCTGGACCGCGGAAGACGCTGCTCTGGCCTGGCCGCCGGCTCATCAAACGGCCTGCTGGGGAGCGGCCGGTGCGATGCGATGCGCTGGCTGGACGGAGTACGGAGTGGCTAGCCAGCGTGCCGGTCGACTGCCTGGAGAAGCCGGCTGGAGACAGTTCCACAGACAGACTCCGACCCGACAGGCACCGTCGCTGCAGCTCTGTACATCATCATCGGCATCATCATCCCCTCAATCTTCTCTTTTCTTCTCTGTCTCGTCTTTCTTCTTCTTCGTCTTCGCTTCTTCTGCTTCTTTTTGATATCAAAAAAAAAAAAAAAGGCCGAGAAAGTCTGGATTTCACGTGACTCTCCGCCAAACAAAAAAAAAAAAAAAAAAAAAACACCCAGAAAAGAAGAAAAATAGAAGAGAAATAGAAGAAGAGAAGATGAAGAGAAGAAAAGGGAGAAGAAGAAGAAGGGAGGTTCATTCCATCGTCTCTCTCCCGGCCCGTCAGCGCTGACCGCTGGCCTCCCCTCGTTCTGCTCGTCGTCTCCCGCCCGAGCCGTCGGTGCAGGGGCCTGGAAAAAAGAGCGACACCAAGAAAAAGGGGCTCCCGCGCTTTTATCTGACTGGCGGGAGGTTTATTTATTTATTTACCCCTGAACGAGGCTATACTTCCCGTCGACCGCTGGAATTGCATTCCGCGACATTCATTTCTGCCCGTCGAAACAGGGTAAAACTCTTCATCTCCGTCCCTCGAGACCCGTCCGCTCGCTCTTTTATTTTTGCCGCCTCGCCTTGTCTCGTCCAGGCGTTGACATTCGTTTTGACCAACTCCGTGCGCTGCATCCCTTACACCGAACACCCGACAGACTTCCCCTACGCCCAAGGTGCATAACCGCGACTGCGCGCCCCCTGTTACTCCGTACATCCAGCCGTGAACCAGGTGGGAATTCTCCGATCCAACGTCATCGGCGGCGGCTGTTATCGTGGCCCCAAGAGGACCGCCGTCGGAAGAAGCAATGATGACTTCTCCCACGTCAACTACGCTCTTCCACATTCCTACCAACCGGATATCTTCAGTGACCAACGGGAAGGGCATCACTCGCAGACGCCGGACGCTCACCAGCCCTTCTAGCAGCCATATACTACAGACCATCGAGGAGAGGAAGCTATGCAGGCTCGGGAGGACGCCTTCTTTGCTGCATCGCTGCAAGCACCTTGTGGTCCGGCATACATGGACCGTCCCGCTTGTTCCTCTGCTCGCCATTCTCTTCTTGTACGGCGTTAATCCCACTGAATCTAACGTCTTTCATCGTTTTATATTCCTCTCCTACAAACAGCAGCGGTCAGACCCCACGAAACCTGTACAATATGCCAAGGGTCCATGGGACATCGCACTCGTTACCTTTTATACCATCGTCCTCTCGGTTGCTCGAGAGTTTGTCATGCAAGAGTTACTACGGCCCTTGGCTATCTTCTGCGGCCTGAAATCGCGGGGTAAGCGGCTCCGATTCATGGAACAGACCTATACCGCCCTCTACTTTGGCATAATGGGGCCGGCAGGGCTCTATGTGATGAGCACTTCGCCAGTCTGGTACTTCAATACCCGTGGAATGTATGAGGCTGCCCCTCATCTGACGCTCGACGCTGGCTTCAAGTTCTACTACTTGTTCCAGGCGGCCTATTGGGCGCAGCAGGCGGTAGTCATGCTGCTCGGGATGGAGAAGAGGCGAAAGGACTTTAGGGAGCTCGTAACGCATCACATCGTTACTCTAGTTCTTATCTCCCTAAGCTACCGTTTTCATTTCACTTATGTCGGAATCGCGGTCTACATAACCCATGACATCAGTGATTTCTTCCTTGCTGTAAGTTCCAACTTTGCCTAATATCATTTCCTCTTTCTTTATAACGAACAACATGGCCCTTTTAACACGGATACCCGTATAGTCATCCAAGTCACTCAACTACATCGACAGCCCTCTGGTAGGGCCTTTCGTCGGTGCCACTATCGCTACCTGGATCTACATGCGCAACTACTTGAATTTACGCATCATCTTCTCCCTTTTCAACGAGTTTGATACCGTTGGCCCCACCGAGCTTGACTGGGAAGCAGGCCAGTTCAAGTGTCTCTACACCAAGTTCTTCTTCCTGTTCCTGCTGGGTTCGCTCCAGGCTCTCAACCTCTTCTGGCTCTTCTTGCTTGTGCGCATCGCCTACCGCTTTGTGGTGCACAACATCGCAAAGGACGAGAGATCCGAAGCCGAAGAGTCTGAGATCGAAGAGATGAAGGCCAAGGAGGCTAAGGTAGCCCGATCATCTGCTATAATACAGCCTTCCAGCCTGAAGCCTGTTTCATGAATTGCCCTTCTCTTCTTCTTCATCTTTGCCTTCTCCATGAGAAGTCGTAAGGACGGGTGTTTTACTCTTTGCCAAATTTGATTTCGCTTCTTCAGTATTGATACCACCTTTGATAGATTTTATAATGTTTAATATCATGGCAACTAGATAGATTCCACGAATAAATGCACATAACCATCTCTCTTGCTATCTGCTCCGCCGTTACCCCTGCACCGTAAGCTATGCTCACTCGCTGCCTGCTGACCTAAGCCGCCTCGTCACATGAAGCAAGCCAACGTCGAAACTCCCAAAGAAGAATAATTAATTAGATATCGATTGTGATAACCAACTGCAACTCGACTACAATCGCTCCTTGGTCCATCCGACAATCCCCCGGGCTCGTCTCTCAGAAGCTGATTCGTCTTATTTATCCCCTGCTTTGCCTCGCGCAGGTAATGCGAGGCTGCCCCGTTCGCTTAACTGCCCCGGTGAAGCTTCTCCAGCTTGGAGCTATGCTCGCGCTTCTCACGCGATAACAAGTTGACCTAAAACCCAAACACTCGAACTCCCTCCAAACAGCAATCCGTATCTGTTTCTGCCCACGGGTTCGCGAGGCCTGAATCCACCAGGACCAAGACAAGGGCAAATACACGGTCGATAATTGAAATGCGTATCATAAAACCTGTTTGGCTCACGCATGGAGGTCTGGACTCGTCTTCATCCTTATCAAAAAAACTCGGCATTATCAGAAATCAAACTTTTACTGACCATTTCTCTCCACGCTTGCTGGAGATCCTCTTAAATAGGCGAACGGAAAGATTTCGAAGTATACAGCTGTGACGTTTCACCGGACGGGAAGAGACTGGTTACTGCCGCCGGAGGTGAGCTGCCACGACACCAACCTCCATTACTTACCACCACTGCATAATGTGGTCCCGTCCCGCCTTGGGCATTTGAAATTTTTATTTTGGAATTCTCGGGGTTTTTTGCTCCCGTTTTTATGCAGGACTTGGCTAACAGGGTATGCGCGCGATGAATAGATGGATACGTTCGAATATGGTCTACAGAGGCGATATACAATGCGGGTGATCCGGCATACGACGACAAACCCAAGCAGCTGGCTTCTATGAGCAATCATTCCGGAACAATTCACACGGTTCGCTTCTCGCCGAATGGGAAATACTTAGCTTCTGGGGCGGACGATAAGATTGTGTGTGTGTACACTCAAGAAGCGAATGCCACCGCCCATGCGACTTTCGGTACGGACAAACCCGTTTTTAAACCCCCAAAATTCTAAGACTAATTGGTTTGTCCTGGTATAGGATCTAATGAACCCGCTCCTGTGGAAAACTGGCGTACTATTCGCCGCTTAATCGGCCATGATAATGATATCCAAGACTTAGGGTGGTCCTATGACTCTTCTATTCTAGTCTCGGTAGGACTGGATTCTAAAGTCGTAGTGTGGTCAGGCCATACTTTTGAGAAACTAAAGACGCTCCTCAACCACCAGAGCCACGTCAAAGGAATCACCTTTGACCCCGCAAATAAATACTTTGCTACAGCCAGTGATGACCGTACCGTTCGGATCTTCCGTTTCAATTCCCCCTTACCCAATTCCACTGCCCACGACCAGACGCATAATTTTGTGCATGAAAAGACAGTTAAAAGTCCGTTCGTGAATTCCCCTCTCACCACATATTTCCGAAGGTGCTCCTGGTCTCCAGATGGCAACCATATAGCTGCTGCAAACGCCGTCAATGGCCCAGTCAACGCTGTAGCAATTATAAACCGGGGTTCATGGGAAAGTGATATCAACTTGATCGGCCATGAAGCTCCAGTTGAAGTCTGCGCCTTTGCACCCCGGCTCTACTCACCCCAGCCGATTCAAAAACCTATGTTGGATAGCCACGGAAATCCAGTCCACAATGCGGTCACCGTTATTGCGTGTGCTGGAGGAGATAAATCGCTAAGCATATGGATCACCAGCAACCCACGACCCATCGTAATAGCGCAGGATATATCAGTCAAGGCAATATCCGATTTGGCATGGAGTCCTGATGGAAATAATTTGTTTGCCACCGCCCTTGATGGAGCCATCATTGCTGTCCGATTTGAGACCGCAGAACTAGGCCATCCAATGCCCATTGAAGAGAACGAAAAGTCACTGTCAAAATTTGGAACAAATCGAAGAGGTGCGGGAATGGTCGAGTCTACCGACGGCTTGCTTCTTGAAGAGAAAAGCAAAGCTGGAGAACTACGTGGAGTAAAGGGCAGAATGGGTGCGCTAATGGGGGATGGTCAAGCTGATACTGACGGTACGGTTAGCGGAGATGCGGATGCTGCCGTAGCCGTAACCTCTGTGCCGAAAAATGCCCAAGCCGATAAATCAAACAAAACTGGGACTACCAATGGAACGGAGCCCGCCCAAGCAAAGCAGGACCCATATGCTGTGAAGTTGGATAGGTTGAAACAAAGGCCAACATATACTAAAGATGGGAAGAAACGAATTGCGCCACTATTGGTTTCTGGGGCAGTGGGATCTCAATCTTCTCTTCCACAGACAAAGCTAGTTGCTGCGTCAATGAACACCCAGGGGACATCAGAGGGACCACAGTCAGTGCTTGACTTGTCCAAACCGTTCGATGGTCTACCGAAGGGAGGGTTGACGGCGTTACTATTTGGCAATAGGCGAAAGTTTTCTCAACTAGAAGATGACGAAGAAAACTCAGCCGAGAAAAGAGTAGCAACTGCAAGAGAAAATGGCGTTATACCTATTCTTTCAAACACTCCGGACGGACTTGTCCCTGCAGTTCCCACTCCCAGTGGACCACAAGAAACACCCAGTTTCATCAGACCCGCAGTGGTTAATCCTTGCATGGCCATCAGTCAACTACGTCTCGCAGTTCCAAAGATACGAAGTCATATCCTGCAAGGTATAGATAATCTTGGGAACCCGAAGGATGTATCGGACAGCTCAAAGGCCAGAGTGGATATTGTCTTTGAAGCGCGAAATCCATCCCAGGCAAGTTTGACTGGGCGCACTGTTGATAAGGAGCCGGTACGAATCAGTCTTAATCGCGGTGATCAGCCATTGTGGCAGGATTATCTCCCCAAGGCTGTGATACTTGTTACTGGCAACAAGAAGCTCTGGGCAGCAGCGTCTGAAGATGGCTCCATATATATATGGACACCAGCTGGCAGGCGTCTCATCAATGCCCTGGTGCTTGAATCACAGGCGGTTGTGCTAGAGTGTATGGAGTCATGGGTACTCTGCATCACTGCTGTAGGGATGTGCTATGTATGGAATGTCGGTACTCTTTCGTCACCCCATCCTCCCGTTTCACTCCAGCCAGTACTGGATGCAGCACTACATACCATGACAGGTCATGCAACCGCCGTTCCATCCATCGTCGCATCAAGAATCAGTTCTGAAGGTCGAATAATCGTTGGTTTGTCGACAGGAGACGGATACAGCTACTCTCCATCACTGTATACCTGGCAACGGCTATCCGAGCCATGGTGGGCTGTGGCAAGTCAATACTGGAACTCTACCGAGGCGCCGGTGGGCAACGTCCAGGTCCGTGGTCAGGCAGAAGGAGAGTCCGTTGCCCCCGTATCTGCCGGCATAGTGCCGTTCCTGGAACGAAACACCACCCAGGAAGTCCTTGCCCGAGGACGCGGACACTTCCTACAACGCCTCATCAAAGTGCTTTTATCTCGCGAAGGATTCGAGGGCTTCGAAGCATCTGCCTCTATAGCTCACCTGGAGAACCGAGTTGCTGCTACCCTGTCTCTTGCTGCCAAAGAAGAATTCCGCATGTACCTTTCTATGTATGCCAAACGACTGGGTGCAGAGGGAGCTAAACTCAAGGCTGAAGAGCTATTAGAAGATATCCTTGGCGGTGTCTTCGAGGACCAGGTAATTGAGGATGAGAAAGCGAAGCAGAACCGTCAACCAGGACAGCCAGAGCAACGGTCCTGGGTGAACGAGTCCGAAACATTGTGTGGATGGCCCCGCCGAACGCTCCTCAAGGACGTGATTCTAGCATTTGGTATGTTACTCAAACACTTCAGCGCTCTTTTTACAAATCCTAACCTGTTATACAGGCAAACATCGCGATCTGCAGCGGGTGACTGTGCCGTATGCTCAGCTTCTGGGCATACTCGACGAGAGTCAGGATGACAACGATACCATGGATGTTTAAGTGTTTCTTTTCATGTCTACCGCTTGGAGTTCAGGGTTGGGGCTACATTCAACTGGGACGGCGGATAGCTCTCTTATTTTAACACTCTGTACTCTATCGTCTTAGATTGGCACTTCTTGTCCCCTTCTTGTTTCTTTATCATTATTCTTTGCTCTTGTCCTTCTATACCCGCATTCAAAGGTGCTTGTAATATGGATAGTTATCTTAAGGTTCTTACTAAGCCGGCCCGTTGCAGGTGACCTCCGCCGGAATAACCATTTTCCTTCTCTAGGGCAAAACGCGAAACTTTTTTAGAGAGAAAAACCAGCGAAAAGTGACAAATATAAAAACATCATCAAAATTTATGCAGCCTCTCTTCTCCCCCTCCCGCTCCCTGGTGCTCTTCTCTTCCTCCCCCACTCGCCCCTTGACACAACTCGCAGCTGGTCCTGCTTTTGGCTCTTTCACGCTTCTTCTCTTCAGAACTTCTCCCTCGCTAGTGAGCTCTCGAGGCTTCGCAAGCAGGAAGAAGAAAATGGCGCCCAAGAAGCCTGTCAAGCGGGAGAAGGTCCTCCTTGGACGGCCGGGCAACAGTCTGAAGAGCGGTATAGTATGTGCGAACCCTTCTTATGGTCTGTTCTGTCGTTCTCAATTTCGCTTCTCCTGTTCTGATTCGCCTGTTTCGGGTGGCTAACGAGTCTGTTGACGCATAGGTTGGTCTGGCTAATGTTGGAAAATCTACCCTTTTCCAAGCCATCACCAAATCTACACTGGGAAACCCTGCCAATTTCCCCTATGCCACAATTGATCCTGAGCAGGCTCGAGTTATTGTTCCGGATGAACGATATGACTGGCTGTGCAAGCACTACAAGCCCAAGTCAGAGGTTCCGGCTAACTTGACAGTATATGATATTGCTGGTCTTACCAAAGGAGCGTCCACAGGAGCTGGTCTTGGAAATGCGTTTTTGTCTCATATCCGTGCCGTAGATGCCATCTTCCAGGTTGTACGTTGCTTTGATGATGCTGAGATCGTGCACGTGGAGGGTGATGTCGACCCTGTTCGTGACCTAAACATCATCAGCGAGGAGCTTCGTATCAAAGATATTGAGTTCGTCGAGAAGGCTCTTGAAGGCTTGTCCAAGCAGACCAGACGAGGCGGCCAGTCCCTTGAGATGAAGAAACTCAAAGAGGAAGAAGAGATTGTCGCCAGAGTCCTTGCTTTCCTTAAAGAAGGTAATGATATCAGAAAAGGTGACTGGGGTCCTAAAGAGGTAGGAATTCTCTCTCCCTTTCCCCTTGCCACCCACCTTCACATGAATATGGTATCATCCTATGATGAATAAGAGCTATAACGCTCGACATTTAACCCAGCTCGTCGAAAGGCCAAAAGGTCCTCGTGAGATAAAATCCAAAGCTGATTGTTGATACCTACCCACTCAATTTACTGCATTGCTATCCTATACTATGTTATTGCAAGGTCTAACTAGTTGACTTATAGGTCGATGTGATTAATCCACTCTTTTTGTTGACTGCCAAACCTGTGGTTTACCTAGTCAACCTCAGCGAGAAGGATTATATCCGCCAGAAGAATAAATATATTCCAAAGGTTGCCGAATGGATTAAAACTAACTCCCCTGGTGACCCCATTATTCCTCTCTCAGTCTCTTTCGAGGAGCGTCTAGCGCAGCTCGGAGATGATGCTGCAGCTGCTGAAGAATGTGAGAAGCTAGGCACTAAGTCTGCCCTGCCAAAAATTATTGTCACCATGCGCCAGAGTCTTAACCTGGGCAGCTTTTTCACTACTGGTGCGGATGAAGTTCGTCAGTGGACTATCCGCAAGGGCACCAAGGCTCCACAGGCCGCTGGTGTTATTCACACAGGTATGTTAATACGATACTGCCTTCCCTTGACTTGACTGATATCTAACAATATTTCGTCATAGATTTTGAAAAGACCTTTATCCAGTGTCTTGTTTTTAACTTTGATGTACTAAAAGAGTGCGGTGATGAAGCTGCTGTAAGAGCAGCTGGTAAGGTCCTCACCAAGGGCAAAGATTATGTTATCGAGGATGGAGATATCGTCCTGATCAAAGCCGGTGCGGCCAAGGCATAGTTGTGCCATATGAATTGCGTACTTAGCCTTCCCCAGCCTTAGAAATCTAAGTGCTGCAGACTGTAATATTAATAAAAATACTAGTCAAGGGAATCAACGTGTTAAAATAATAATACTATGAGCCTTTTAGCTTGTTTAATATGTAAATTCTATCCATTCCATGATATCGAGCACCTACGACGTAAACACCGACATCGCAAGGTTGCATCATGTGACCAAGTCTATCAGCAAGCGTCTTCACAACAGCCAAAGCTTTCAATTATAATTCTCACATATATTTGATATATATCAAATTCTGCTGCACACAATAACGATGTTTAAAAAAGAGTATGTAGCCTCACGCAAATTCAGAGTACTGATGAAGAAAGAGTGTCCTCCACCACCATCATCAACTATAGCTACCCCGCGGCGTTGAAGACGCGCGGGGTCAATTATATATTCTATATCAATTCGAAGTCATTGGAATAACTAACAAGACGATTGACTTAGTATAACTGCGGGAGCACGGTCAAAAGTCAAGTCATCAGTGCAAAGATCTTTACGGGCGAAATTCCTGGAGACTCATCCAGGTTTCGAGCCATATATCGATGAAGTTCTACCAAAGAAGGCTTCTTTAGAAGCCATGAAGCTGTATGCTATATATCTCCCACCGCACTTATACGCACACATCATGACTGATCATCTTGGATCTTACAGGCCGGACCGAGTAACTCTATACATCGCAGACTCCAAACCCATCTTTTTCCAGTCCATGGACAGTCCTCTAATTCCCCATCTACGAGTGCTCCACGCCTTTCCCAATGCCATGCCTACAGTTGGAATCGACCGAGGAGCAATCAGATTCGTCCTATCAGGAGCTACATTAATGGCTCCTGGACTTACATCTGCAGGCGGCAGTTTGCCTGACGCAGAGCATGCACTAGAAGCCGGCACAATAGTAGCCATCAGGGCGGAAGGAAAGGAAGAAATATGCATGGTTGGTGAGCTGAAGGTGGGAACCGAGGATATTAAGAAGAAGGGGAAGGGCGTTGTCATGGATGAGGGTCATTATTTGGGCGACGGGCTTTGGAAGCTAAACTTTGATTAATATTTGTGATTCTACAGCCGGAAGGTGGTTGGATATGTGACTCTTCCCCTTTATTGGTAAATGTTTGGTTGCCGGTCTGGGTGCATTTTCGTTAGGCAGGTGTAGGTCCTACTCCGAGCTATATAAGCTTCATCAATTTTATTATATACATTTGTTTAAATTCCATAAAAGGGCCGGGTATACCCCTCGATTCATCTCAGTAGACACGAGAGTGTTTATGGGAAAGCTGCCAAATGAAGGGCAATCCACAACGTCAAAGCGATCCAAATCTGTGTGTAAAGATGACTCCCAGCTTTTGCGCTCTGCAAGGAGCGACTCTATGTCAAAATCACGGGCTAATGTCCAGCATTCCAAAACGGGGAATGGGGCCATCGTCAACATCAACTGGGCTGCCAGGACCTTCTCTTCTCAAGCCCACCCTCACAACAGCACGTTTCAAAACCTTGCCGGAACCATCTAATGCAATGAGGAATTGTGCAATCTCACCGCACAGCTCCCAGTCTCCCCGTTGTGATGCCAGCCGCAAGAGACGAACGGCAGAGTCTTCAATCTTGTCAAAACCATCTCCACTATCTTCGTCGTCGATATCATCAAAAGCCTGCAAGACAAGTAGGTAACCTCCAGCCGTTTTCAGCGAATTAAACTTGAGTGCTTGTTCAAATAACTCATTGGGGGGAGGAAGATAAGCGAAAAGAGTTCTCCAGGATCGTAACTCGGTTTTTCGTATACACTGAACAAGAATATCAAGGTATAATTCAGGAGGGTTGGCAGCCTGGAGAAATGCCAACACACCGGGTAGTAATTGCTTCCCCTTCACAGGGGTCTCAATGGCGTTTCCAATGCTATGGTCATCTACGGCCTCGTCCAGTACGTGATGCAATAGAATTTCCAGAGCGTGGGGGAAGTATGACAGATGTGAGAAATGGTGACAAATTGAGAGAGCTGATGGTGTGTCAAAATAGGATAAGTTGTGCTGCAGGACGTATGGAAGGAAAAGTTGGGTCTATACACGTCAGTATACAGTAGCTGGTACTAATGATTCGAGTAAGAACTTACTCTGATGGCAAATCTCTGTAAGGTGAACGTAACATCACGTCTTTGAGTAATTTCTGGTTCAATACCGAGAACTATGCCTTTGTTCAGCAGTATAGAAATAGGATAAAAGTCAGTAGGGATAGGCAAGTTCTTCGGTCCTTCTACTGATCGGCCAGTTGGGCGAAGTATATCCTGCATATCACTCCAGACAAACAGGTCCTTCCCACCAAAGACCCATAAAGAATCGCGGAGTGAGATATCCGAAGGGGAATTATTAATCGTGATCTCTGGGGTTTGTCCGCCAGAAGAGGGCTCGTCGTTTGGCGGTGCAAAATTGAAAGATAGTTGATCGCGCATAAGGATATAGTATTCGACATCATGAGCAACAACACGCATATCGTATTTCAATGCCCCGTTGGGGGACACTGATGGTTGCAGCAAAACCAATTTCCCATCAACAAGGAATAGAACCGATGCTACAGCAACGTCCTGAGATGGGTCTCCGTCACCTAAACAGATGTATTAGACAAAAATTTGTATATAGAAACTGAATAAGGGGATAGCGTACGAAGTTGATCCTCAGGTAGGATCCAGCTGATAGCGCGAACACGAGCTGGTGCTCTCACGATCCCATTAAACGTTATCTGACCCACTTGGACGAGACTAATTCTCGTCCCAACAGCGTTTATAACATAGTGATATAATATATTATCGTACGTATAAACCAAGAGAGAGTCCTCTCCCGACGGTCCAATGAACACTGCTGGTGCTGGAAGAGGTTCTGAGTAGAGTATTGACGAATTATTCAGGGGCAACTCGCGAGAGTACATCCGCAACTATGTCTAGTTAGTTTTGAGATTGGTAAAGGGGGTATTGTGGACTGTATACCTCGTATGAAGAATCACCCTCAACAGCGACAATGAGGATATGCCCGTACCAGCACATCCCTCCTTGAATAGCGAAAGAATTTTCAACTTTTGGATCATCGAAAGTTTTCCATCTATTACTGTGAACGCTATAATGAGCCAGGCCCCGCCGGCCTGCCACAGCAACATATCTACCATCTTGTGAGACACAGCATGTACGAATAGGCCATTGAGCGTGGAGATATCCCGGAGGGTATTGAGCATGGTGCCAAAGTGAGTCCTTGCCTGATATAGTTGTTAAATCGGGAAGATCATGGCCACGATATAGGATGATTTCGGTTCCTGTTTGAAGAAGTGCTCGGGCAAGGTTCGCAGACGAAAAACAGCCAGTTAGGGCACTGCGCGCAACTTCTAATAACCATATTCGCTTGTCTTTGGAGGAGGCCAGCAGAATGTCGGAGCCACCGCCAATCCATGCACCCATGGATACTCCTGTTAGCCAGGTCTCCCCATTGCTTTCAGCAAGCGACTTGTCTGCTGTGAAGCTGGTGCCACCTGGCTTTCCAAATACACTCCATGTTGTCCATCCATTTTCATAACCTGCAAAAAGACAGTATCCATCATATGAGTAGCTCATAAAAGATATTTTCCCCATTGTAGTTGCAGATGCCGGCATCTGTAATTTGTGGGATAGCGGAATATTGCCAGAGTAATCTCTTGCTGCATAGACACATATCTCACCGTTAACGCAGCTAACGGCAAAAAGGGAAAATCTTGCATTTACAGCAACCTGGAGGGCCCGTTGCCCATCATTTTCTGGATTGTGAAATCTGTGTCCGGTGAAATTGACCTTGGATGAGCCGGACTCATCTGCCTCCCGGTAACTGTATTGTACTGCGTAGACCCGGCCATCACTTGTTACCCATAACAGAAGATTCATAGCACGGTCATAGACCATTTCGACAACAAGTGACTTCTTTGAGAGCCACGGAATGCGACTTAGGAGCTCCGTGCTGGTTTGATTACCGCTACTGTCCGGAGTCCACCGTATTAATTGTATAGCAGCAGGTTTCGTCGTAGCAACCATTAGCTCGTTGTCTAACGCGACAGCTTTGCTAATCCCAGCATCAACTTTGATGGCTACCCTAAACCGTAGGCTTACTTCGCGGATTGCGTGGGAGTCGTTGGATGGAAGGTTCCGTCTTGAATGTGACTGTAAGAATAACTGTTGATAGACGTGGGAATGCGCATCAGTCGCAATCGAATACGTTATCAAGTAACCCTCCAGCGTCTGTACAACGATGATACCGGAGTCTGGTCGAAGCAGGAGAGCTACATTCGGGCCATAGTTCGTGATAGACACATGAGACCGCTTGATTGCCGCAACGACGGCTGTGGGCTATATCAGACGAGTTAGCATAAATGCCATAAGTATCTTTCAGTGAGAGACGTACCTTTGTCTGCCAAATGGCCAAAGATGACCTGGTCATCGTTGCAAATAAAGCTCCGCTCTTCGAGACACAAAGTCCAGCAATGGGCTCATCCGCCCAAGCATCGTCCGCGTCTCCCGCATGTTGGATAGCTATCTCCTGGTGCTCGTGTTGTAGCAATCCATTGCTCTGCTCCCCCTCGTCCGCAGACTCAGCAGTAGTTTCTGTCCTGTTGTCATCCTGCTCGGTCTCCTCCTCCTCTTGCTGCTGCTGTCTCTTCTGCTGTTTCTGTATCTCCGGGCCGTTGACTGCATAGACTCGGGGCACTCCATTTGGCCAGTACATTGCTATGGCGGACTACCAGGAGCTCATGTGAAGCATTGGCTCATTTTTGGCTCAGCGCTCCCCATACCGCATCTCAGCCGGGTCGTGCAAATACCGTAGATGTCGATAAGACTTCGTGGTCAGTTACTCTCGCCGTTGTGTCTCTCGCTTTGACGTTGGAGTCGCGGCCGAGGCTTGGATCATGTGACCATCTGACGGCTCGGGGAGCTCTCAAGGAAAAAAGAAACGCATAGAACAAACATGGCCCTGCAGGCCAACTAAGTAAAAAACATCCCACCTCCAACAGGCAGAAGAGAAGAGCAGGGCATTATTACCTCTTCACAATGGTATTGTTGCTATCCTCCTAGCTAGACGTGGTCGCATAAAACTAACCTTGGCCTTTAGGCTCCTTCAGACTCGCAGAAACAGCTGGTGTTGGCCATAATAGACTTCCTCAACACCAGTCTCAAGGATGGAACGCTTACCGCAGAGCATTCAGAATCGATAGAGATCGCCACCTCATGCCTTGGGGACACGTTTGGTGTTGATCCATCTGATGAGGCTGCCATGAAAGACGCCTTGGGCGGACAGTCTCTAGTGAACATCTTCAGTGTCTACCAAAAGGTGAAAGACACCAGGGGTACCGCTCCCGCAGCCGCCCCCAGTGAGGAACAAAAGGAGCCTAGCAAAACCCCTTCTCAGCCAGCTGGCGCTCCAACTCCTGAGTCCGATAAGCTGAAGTCTGAGGGAAATGCTGCTATGGCCCGCAAAGATTACCCTGCCGCGATTGACTGTTATACTCGCGCTCTAGACATTGCGCCTGCTAACCCTATCTACCTATCCAATCGTGCTGCTGCATACTCCGCCTCTGGGGACCATACAAAAGCTGCTGAGGATGCTGAGGTTGCCGTTGCTGCTGACCCCAAATACGTCAAGGCCTGGAGCCGACTTGGACTCGCTAGGTTCGCTCTGGGAGACGCCAAAGGCTCCGCAGAGGCTTACCAGAATGGTATCGAGGCTGAAGGCAACGGTGGCAGTGATGCCATGAAGCGAGGCCTGGAGACAGCTAAGAAGCGCATTGCTGAAATGGAAAAGACTGAGAATGAACCCCCGGCCGAAGCTGTTGATGACGCTGCTGGAGCCACTCGTGGTGCTCCAGGCGGCATGCCAGATCTATCCTCCCTTGCAGGCATGCTTGGAGGTGGGGGTGGAGGCGGCATGCCTGACTTCAGTACGCTCATGAACAATCCTATGTTCGCTAACATGGCCCAGAATATAATGAGCAACCCTGATATGCTGAATAACTTGATGAGCAACCCGGCCCTAAGACAGATGGCTGAGAACTTTGGAGGCGGCCGTGGCAGAGGATCTGGCTCAGGTGGTCTTCCTGACATGTCTGCCCTTATGAACGATCCCAGCATTGCCGAGATGTAAGTTTTTTAGTTTTTTTTTTTTCTTGATCACTTCCTCGTGGAGCTTTCAACTACTAACATAATATCTTCAGGGCAAAGAATTTCATGGGAGGAAGAGGTGGTGGCCGCGGTACGGGCCCAAGCCCATAAAAGAAGTAATTCAGCTTGGAGATTGCTATTTCCCTTTGGTTGCTCCTAGGACGTGGAAGGTTTAGATGGTGCCGTTATGATTAATGTCAGTCAATGCTACTTTTCGTCATATGAAACTATCCCTGAAGGTCGTTCATATTATAAAGTTGTATTCGTAATTTAGTCCAAGAAATTGAAACATATATATACAGTATGTGAGAAGAGATAGGGCGATATGCGAGCCAATCAAGGTATTTAAACAAAAGATGAAAAAGAACTTGCTCGCGGTCATCAGAAAATGGATCTCGTGCATATTCAAACACGTTATTCCACCGTCAGCACATCTATTGGACTCCAAGTAGTATACAGCTAGATTTTTGAAACATCGGAAAGAAAAGAAAGAGGTAATAGCAGTGGCCAAATGGGACAGGTTAGAGAGAAGGGGGGTTGGGGTTATTGTGACAGAAATGCTATGCTCGAAGGGAAATATCGCACTCGTATAGACCAGTAATATCAGGCATCTGTAGATTTTAATGAAGTTGTTTCCAGGCAGGTTTTGAGGATGCCATGAGAAGAACAAAGGGGTAAGTAGGTATACAGGTTTAAATGTAATCCCTGCCAGACTTTTGCAGCTCAATCAATCTCCAGCCACGAGTCTCGGGGTTGTTGACCTCATCTGGAATTCGAGTGACACCGATGGCATAGGTGACGAGTTGTACCCTGTCTTCCATGCCGGCGGCGAGTTCGCCAGTTTTCTCCTTTCGATAGACATGGACCTCCTGACTCCTGCAGGTAATGATAAAAACTGGGATATCACCGGGCTCCAGCATACGGGCATGAGAGATATCGACATGCCGGATATCAAGGATTCGGCCATCAGACTTGAGGCCAGCAGTCTTGTATTGTTTTGTAAGGGCAGAGTAGACATGGAACTGGGCATCGGACAGCCATAGCTTAAGAGTTTCAACATCTCCCTTAACATAGGCATCTAGAACTTCTGGCAGAATATATTCTCGCATCTCGCGTAGGAATGGTTCGATCTGGAAATTTGGATCCATTTGTCGGAAGGCCTTGATTACCATTGCAGTCTCGTTTTCTGCGAAGAAACCAGCTACTCTGTCTGATATGCTTCGGGCGGTGCTTATAAGCGGGTTCTCGGATTCCTCATAAGTGTTCTTCAAGGAGAAAAGACGCTGCATCATGGGGCTAGTGTCCCTGAATTCGCGCCACGATTCTTTCCAAGCTGCATCTTTATGAAGTGTGACATTGGTTCCCGCACTGATGGGCAATATAATTAGTTCCACATATTCAGCGATATGATGAAGAAGAGGGATAGAACTTACTTTGGGTCTTCTTCCATACGCTCCACCTTCTTACTGCCTTCTTTCAATTCACGTTGCTCTCGTCGTTTCCGCCTCTCTTCCTTTTCGATCCATCCGCCATATCGAGAACTGCTTCCATCATCTATGACTTCCTTCATGTTCCCCACGGCAGTTTTATACACTTTTGTCTCTCGGACAGGCCGTGTGGCCTGTTCAATTCCCCTTCCGGTTGCCGCAACACCACTCCTTATTCCCTTGACAGCAGTGGTATCCCATGTCCAGGCAGCACCTTTGCCAATTACGGTTCCAGTCTTTTTCAATGCCGAAGAAGTCGTAGAAGACGCGGTGCTGGTAGCAGCTTCGTAAGCGGATCTAGCCTTCCTTACAGACTCACTCTCAGTGAACTGATGGGCGGAAGAAGCAAGTGCCTTGGTAGATTCATTCCACTCCTTTGAGGCCTTAAACTCGGATCGCAGAGTCTCCGTGAAGACTTGCCATGGGGTTTTGTCACCATGGGGTGGGGGTGGGGGTGCTTCTTCCTTTTTCTTTCCATCTTCCTTCTTGGAATCGGCAGATTCCTCTTCTCCGTCTTTCTTCGGTTCTTCCTTCGATTCTTCCTTCGAAGTTTGGTCTTTCGCAGAGCCTTCGGCGGAAGAATCCGTAGGGTTCTGCTGTTTTTGTTGCTGCTGCTGTAGGAGGGTGCGTGCGGAGTGGAACGATCTTTTGGTAGCAAGGATTACCCACAGAGGGTCGCTCGCATGTCTCGATAGGTGAGAGAGTCCAGTGGTCGAAGGGATAATCGGGCTAGAGGTCGTGTGAATGGTATTTGGGGAGCTGAAGTGTCGAAGAGTGGTTGGGGTAATTATCCGGCGGCCAGCAAGATGTCCTCGGGCGCCTGCTGTAGAGGTCAAAGGAGAGCATCCGCGCAGCACTAACCGCGCAGCGGCAGGCTGGGAGAGTGCTCCTGTTCCAATCATGCTCTATACTTCCTCTAGCTGGCGAGCGAAAGGGCGTCTTTATTTGATCGCAAGGTCGTGAAGTCTTTGGGGTGTTTTCAATTTTCCGTTGACTCCGAGGCGGAAAAAAAAAGAGCGTCACAACAATTAACCGTGCAAAGCCTTCCAGTACCCGAATAGAAAAAAATCCCCTCCGTACGAATAGCCCAACGTCGTCGTAGAGACTCGGTGGTGTCTGCTCGCCTTCTGCTGCGTTGAGAAAAGCTGGATAAAAAAGAAAGTCGATGAAGAAAATATTTTGGAGCTTCTTTTTCTTTTTTGCCTTTTTGGGTTTTACAAGCGCCAAGCGCCGGCAAAAGGAAGCAGAAAAAAAAACTTCGAAAAGAAACATCGAAAAAGCGCAGCAAAAGGACGAGAGGACGACGACGGTTGAGCATTTCACTACGCGATACTGAGTTGACAGGGCACTTGGACGGCTTGTTTGCTATGAAAAGTTACTAGAGATAGCTGCTTTGGAGCCATTGACCGCCAGGACGACCTTTTCTACCTGACTTTTTTTGCAACGTCCGGACGCCGTCTTGATCACCTATGAGTGGAAGAATACCGTTGTTGACGGCCTTGCGGTCGTTGGCTCTCTCCGGAGAAGCCCAGGGCTGTTCCATCCGTCCTTTACTGCGACGGCCCTTCTCGTCGACAGCGCAATACAGAACAGCCTCCAAGGATACGCAGACGCAGAGTAAAAACGACCGCGAACTCGAGAACCGGCTGCTAGGAGGCCAGAGCAAGAATGTTGGCCCTTCGCGACTCGCAACACTGTCCCAGACCACACGATCGAAGGCAGCAGCTTCTTCTAACTCCAAAACGACGGAGGAGGTCATATCCAGAGTGTCCAGCCTCATCCAGAACCCACAACGAACAACCGAGCTTCCTCACCGCCTACACATATACTCCCACAGGCGAAACGTCCATGCTACGTTGACAAAACCGAACAACGATGTGCTAATGTCCGTCAGCACAGGAAACATTGGTTTCCGCAAGGGCCACCGAGGAGACTACGATGCTGCGCACCAATTGGCCGTCTATACCATGGGCAAGATACAGGAGCGAGGGTTTCTGATGCAGATCAACGGGCTGGAAGTGATCCTCAGAGGCTTTGGGCCCGGTCGAGAAGCGTTCACCAAGGTCCTGCTAGGAAAGGAGGGCAAGGTCCTTCGCGAGAGAATCGTCCGGGTGTCTGACTCGACGAGGTTGAAGTTCGGCGGCACACGAAGCCCAGCAGTAAGACGGCTCGGTTAGACTGTCGTTCAGCTGTCTCTTCTGGCTTCTTTTTTTGTTTTGCTCTCTTGACTCCGTGGCTGCCTTGACTCTTTTTTGATGATGCCTCTGGCTGTCCCGGCTGTCCGAGTCAACGTTCTATGTATACTACCATGTTCAATACTGTTATAGCTAGCATCTTATACATGTCCTACCCGGCCTCTCCTTTTTCTATTGCCAATCTACCACTGTCCCTCTGTCACTGCAGCCTCTACAGCTGATGTTATTCACACCACTTCTGTCCTGCTCCCAATATCCGATGAAAGCTGGATCACGTGAATCCCTTATCGCTAGGCTTCTTTATATCTTCACAAGCTCCAGATAAGCAGCAAGAAAGAAAAGAAGAGAAGCTCAACTTCAAACAACTACAGGCAGACAGACAGTTAGACAGCCAGGGGACAACAGACTAGCTGAAGGCGACAGTGTCTACTCAATAACACGCAGTCCGGACCTGTGAGGCTCATCTCTCGCTGTTTAACGCCGCTACCGCTGCTCCCTAGCTTGCTCCCATCGACCTCCGGGCCTCAACCCCCCCCAAGGCCAGGATATCATCACCGCAGACCATTGCCATTGCGTGGGACTCTTGACGAGCGGCGGGACCCGTCCGCCAGGTCGTCCGATGTCGTGTGAATGCACCCTCTAAACCCGTTTCTCCGCTCTTTTTTCCGGAGCTCTCTGCCGTCGCAATGTGTTCCCGTGGAGAGCCATGTATGCTCCCATCCCCCCAAAGATCTACACATCTATACGATCTTCTATAGAATACACCTAGCTGACCGCATGACAGATTCTTCTGGTCCCCCTGACAGAATCTCTTATTAATTCACGGGATCGAGAGTCCGGCGCGCAGTATGCCGACCTGGTCACCTCCGAGGACTTTCTTGCCAGTCACATCCTGCGAATTACGGGCTCACCGGGTTCGTCTGCGACTAAAGAGCTTTCGTCGCTAAGGGATCAAAAGGGCAAAGCATGGCAAATGGCAACGGCAAATGGACGGACGGTCGTCATCAAAGAGTCGGTGGTCTACAGCAATAAGGGGTTTAAGATGGTCAACCATGCCCAGCTGCTCAGTGACGTCCTTTATTCCTCGCCAAACGACAGCTCCCAGCAGTGGCTCATTTACTACATCTCCAAACCTCTAGTCGGCTCCTACGAACCTGGTCAGATTGTCCAGGCTATAGTTCCGGGTACTTTGGACAGTGTCTCACTCCGCCATGGCTCGGGCTTGGACGCCTCCTCTACTTTCCCGGCCAACTACCATCGCAATGAGATATCCTCGTTTGGTGACCTGCTGTCAAAATTTCCCTTGATTGCAAAGCAGATGAAACCCGGTCTGGACCGTCTCTTCCGTGAATTTGGCAAAGAACTAGGCAAACCACTTCCACCACCACCATCCGAATCCCCTGTGGCACCGGAACGTCCAACTGACCGGGGTGAGGTTTACTCATTGCAACAAAATTCTACCCACTCACTACCATTTGGCGCTTCAGAGCAGTATGAAGATGAAGAGGATGTAATGAGAAATGCTCTGGACACTGCAGTTACCGCAGCCATTGACATCTTTCGTCTTGTGGATAAACAACAACTCTCACTTCTTGGTGCTACCACTGATCTGACTGGCCCCATGGTTGAACGTCTGATTGAACGCTATGTACTAGAGCAAGTTCACGATAGCCTACTTTTCCCTCGCCTTTGTGAGTGTCGCCAATCTGATGATCTAGACCTCGACCTGCGCGTTCGCCAGATGGAGAATATCGATGTATCTCAGGTAGGGATACCGGTTGAAGGTGGCCATGAGGGCAGAGAAGATCTTAGACGCCGCATCGCAACAGCGGTCGAGGAATTCAGAAAGATCTCAGATGCAAAATGCCCACAGGACATGCTTGCCATACTCCTGAAGACCGTGAAGATTGTTACCATAGACCAGGCATCGGTTGCACCAGACAGCCAGAACGAAAAGCCTTCTGTTCTCACTATCAATGCTGATGTGCTTGTTTCCCTGCTACTGCTAGTTGTCATACGCTCACATGTACGGCACCTCTATGCCAGGCTCTTATACATGCAACGCTTCATCTTTGTAGATGATGTCGAATCTGGAGAATCTGGATACGCACTCAGTACATTTGAAGGAGTCTTGATATACCTTCAAAATGACTCTGCAGGCCTAAGAAAAGCGAGCTCGAGAAATAAACGCCTTTGGTCAGCAACCAAGCATGGGAAAATTCCGGAAATGACCGCTATTCTACAACCGGAACTTCGGGCATCAAGCCCAGTCACTGATGAAAACGATTGTGAAAATGAGCAACAAGATGACTCGAAGAGTCAAGAAAATGAGCGCCGACAGCCGGTACCAAATGGAGTGTCAAACAACAGGCATAAGCTGCTCTTTTCAGAATCAAGTTGTGCCATTCAAGATGATGTGCCAGAAACGCCTAGACTAGCTCATGTCTTCCCTTTCCAAACATGGGATCAACCTACAACAACCATGGAGCGACCTAAGCCCCGGAAGAAGGTATCGATGGATACAAGGAGCATGTCGGAATCATCAACCACGTCTTTCCTTTCACGCTCTACTACATTCGGATCCATAGCAGGTGGAATAGAGGGCGATACATCAGTTCAGAGTTTAACTGCAACCAAAGATCCGTCTGGACATTCGGTCCCAATGATGGCTGTCGAAGCTTGCCAGCCAGAAGCTCTGAGCTATCTGCTGAGTTTGAGCGAGTACTATCCTCGGGAAAGCATTCTTCAAGATACAAACAGCGAGGGGACTACACTACTGAGTGCTGCCGTTCAACTTGCGTATACCGAAATCATTAACATCCTCATTGAATACATTCTCCAGGGAAACGAATCTGAAGTGGTCTCGTACCTTGCAAAGGCCGATAATAGGGGTCGCACCGTTGCACACTACCTCTTCAACTCACCCGCGCTACTTTCACGCCTGGGAAAATCTCTCCCCTGGACGCTGCGAGACAGAAACGGGCAAACGCCTTTATTCGCCCTGTGCAGGTCTTACGATCATCCTGATTACAACCCCATGGTGAATGAAGCGTTGACATTAGCGACCCAGGCCCAAGACGATGGGAAACCGCTACGGTTGGATGATCATGTTGATGCAAAAGGAAATACCCTTCTTCATATTGTCAGCGATCCTCAAATACTACTTAGAATACTCAGGCAGTGTGACGGAGATCCCAATTATACAAATGACAGAAGATTTACCCCGTTGATGGTGGCTAGCAAATACGGTCGAATTGACCTTGTCAGGACTCTCTTTGCTGACCCTCGCGTTGATGTCCATCTTCGAGAATCCCGTGGGCTTACAGCAATAGAACTTGCCAAAGACGATGAAATCAGGAACCGAATAGATGATCTGGTTCTCTGCTCCAGTCCACTCCCATCCTCGCCCGATGCGAGTAACCGTACAACAAGTGTCGTTAGATCTCTGTTTGTTGAAGACTTTGGAATACGGTTCATTATCAAATCTGGTGCTCCTTCTCCCAGTCCGCCTTCTCCCGATCCAAAAGCACCTCGCACGACTACGTACACAGTCACAACTTGCCGGCGCAGCCTTAACGACTTTGAAAATCTCCTTCGATTTCTCCGGGTAGAACACCCTGCATCATATCTTCCTGAGATGCCTCATTTCCGATCTCCCTTTCAAATACCTTCAAAGCCCTCGAGGGCTGTTCTGCATGATATTCAGGAACGTTTGGATAGACTGCTGAAAGTTCTATTGGCTCACCCAACTTTCTCGACCCACGAATTACTTTGGGAATTCTTCCTTGTCCCTGAGATCCAAACAGAAATGATTGACCAGCGTTCTGCACGCAAGGCTACAGTCCTTGCTGAATCAATAATGGATGATTACGAGCCTGCGTCTGCAGAAGTTATACGAAGCACCCAACAGATTCTAAGCCACGCCGAAGACGCAGTCCAATCTGTCAATGAAGGAACCCGAAACTTGATCTGCTGCGGATACCTATTGCAAAATGCATCTACAGACTTTGCAGATGCTCTTTTCCTCTGCAGCTCTATGTTTTCGTCACTGCAGCCGCCTGCAAACATTCTTCCACATCAATATGTTCGAGCCTTCCACCGCTTCGTATCCTCTTTCAACCTCTCATCAACGGATTCCTCTCCCCTGCTACAGTTTTTAGCCGCACTCACCTCATCCCAAAATACCACAAGAGCAATGCTCACTTCCCTCTCCCGGCCCAACAATCTCATTCTGACACTCAATTCCGCCCAGCGGTCACTCTCCCGTGCCCGTTCCGCAGTCGCTTCCTCATCACTACCGCGGAAGTTTAACTTCTCTGTGCTTGAAGAATCTCGCCAACGCTCTATCCGTGAGCAAGAGAGCAAGATTGCCACACTGACGACTGAGATTGAGGAAGTCAGAAAAGAAATTTCGTGGAACAAGGAGGTTGTCGTTGGCGAACTTGCTGGATGGAGTTCTTGGAGAGAGCAAACTGGAAGAAAGGCCATTCGAGACTTTGTCAAGACAACGCTCATACGAGAGAAAGAACGTGGTAAACGCATGGAACGGTGTTTACGGATGATCAAAGGCTAGATACTGGATTGCACTCATCCGGATCCCTCATATCTCATCTTCTGTTTTTTCCTGGAGATATATCCCCCTTGCTTCCCCTTTTTACGCCCCATTCAAATCTTCTTTGTTATTCTTGAGTAAATAAAAGGTGACATAACCTGCAACTTAGCTGGTTTAGCCGCAATATTTCTTTTTTCTTTTCAACGGCGGCTAATTCTACAGCGTTAGTTTGTTTTTGTTTTATCTCCTGTATGACTTTACCTCGTTTTCGTTCTCAGATACTTCTTCTAATAAGAGACTTCTCACACTGCGCCATGGTTATGGGCCAGGTGCGGGAAGATGATTCACTTCGGTATATCAATGGAGCCCAGTGTCTCAAATCTACCTGGTGTACCCCAGTTATTTAATTTATTTCATGGTATAGTAGGTTTGTAGAAAAAACGAAACATAAATTTAAACAGAAAACCGTAGAATTAACCCTTTATTTATCATTCATCTACAACCAGTCCTCATCTGGGTATAGGGATCCAACTATCATCAGTATCTAATTGATAAGAAAAGCGAATAGGAAAAAAGAAAAAGAAAAAAAAGAGAAAGAAATCCCATAAGAGCTTTGCCAAAATAGTAGTACTAACCCCACACAGTGTGCGTACAAGCTCAAATAACGGAGTAGTTGATGGCTGGCGAACGAATCGAGCCTAGAAACAGAAAATCCAGCTGATCGGAAAGTGAGAAAGCAAAAGAAAGGAGAAGAGAACGTAAAAAGGAAGCAATAGCACCCAAACAAGGGAGTAGGTGTCCCATTCCTGAGATGGAATAAGGAATTGGGATCTGAAGCAAGAGAAACTTCATAATACAAGGAGATCAAAAAGAAGGATCGGATATATAAGGAAATCACTGCGCGAGCAGAGGTAAAAATAAAATGGAAAAATGAAAAGAATGGCCCCAGGAATGAACGGTTAAATGACTTCATCGGCAAGCGGAGTCCACCACAAGTATGTATCAGTGATTTTGATGTAAGTAGCATCCGGAAGAAGCAAAGGCGAGACGAGAAATAAATATGCGAACAAGGACTCCCTAGGTACACGGTTATTGCGAGTTTGCTGGGTATACAGCATTGTTGTGACTCGTAAGTTGCATGAGGCTGTTTCGTCCTGCTTGGTGTGAATTCACGGCACTGTATCTTTTTGGTATAGGCCGCCTGTATTCTTCTGATGAATTGTGTAGATGTAGATTCTCTTGGGACGACTCGGGTAGTGGAGCAAGACCGGGTGCCCCAACTGCGTGGAAGCCAGTCTTTTCATCTTCCATCAAATCTGGCGAGTATGCCATGTACTGATGTTGATGCTCACTGGAGGCAATGAGCGAGTTGGATTGGGTTGTATTACCCATGTTACCTTGAGGTAGGTGTAACTCGTTTTGCGCAGATTGGCTTAACGATGGCTGGTAGGCGGCATCCTGGTGGGAGGGGTATGTAGAATAAGCAATGCCTTTTTCCTCCATGCTATGAGGATATGAGTCCCCTTGAGAAGGGCTTGATAGGACACCAAATGAGCTCATATTGTGATCATATGCCATTGACTCATTGTGGTCGACAATTCCAGTTTGAGTCTGTTGAACATTGCCCATAGGAGGTGTTGGGGGGAATGGAGAGAGTCGCCTGCTGGAACCCTCATCGGTCTGGTTCTCCCTAGTATGTTTCCATCGTTTGTAGTAGACAAATGTGAGGAATATCAGGGAGATAACGACGAATCCACCGAATACCGCACCAGCAGCAACACCGCCCTTGCTTAGACTACTGCCTTTCGATTTGGGAGGGCCCGGGGGAGTGGTAGAAGAGGTCACGGGAGTAGAGGAAGACGAAGATGTTGGAGCTGGTGGGACATTGGAGGACTCTGCTGGATCGCCGGTTGGTGATGTTGTTTGCTCTGGGGACTTGGATGACCCCGATGGCTCTGATGATGAGCTTGCAGGCACTGGATCTGTAGAATTTGGTTTTGGATCTTTGGTAGTAGTTGGAGCTTCGGTTGGTTCCGCGCTTGGCTTTGATTCTGGGGGCGGGGACTGTGAAGAGGAAGGGTCTTCATGTGTAGGTTGTGGTCCGTTTGTCCGAGTCCCAGGATCCTTTTCAGTCGTGGGGTCCCGGGTAGGTGAAGGCGCTGGGTCTGGCTGCTGGGTCATTGGGTCTGGAGGAGGTCTGTTTGGAACAGGATCCTTGGGAGGGTCTGGTTGTTGCGTTGGAACGGATGGAGGAGAGTCAGTCTTGGGGGGGTCATTCTTGGAGGGATCGTTCTTGGAGGGATCGTTCTTGGAGGGATCGTTCTTGGGCGGCTCATTCTTTGGGGGTTCATTCTTTGGGGGATCAGGATCATTTTCTTTTCCTCCTCCATTTCCACCTTCATTTCCGCCCTTTTTTGGATTATCTTTATCTCCTTTTTCATCTCCCCCGCCATTACCACTGCCTGTTTTCGGGCCTCCTGAGCTTCCTTTACCATCCTTATCCTTATTCCCCCCATTATTATCGCCGTCATTGTTAGGGCGATCGTTCTTATCAGGACGTCCAGGCGGCGGTTTGTTCTCTGGACCAGGTGGAGGTCCACGTCCTCCTTCTTGATCTTCTCCCTGGCTTCCTTCTTTTCCGCGCCCACCTTCTTTTCGTCCTTCTCCTTTCCCTTTATCGTCATCAGCTCTCTTGGCCTTGGATATCTCGTCCCATATCCAGAGATGGTCAAATTGCCGTGGTAATTTTGAGTCGTCTTGATTTAGACAGCCAAGCTGGTCAGAACATGAGTCTGGACGAGCGGAAGAGCGTATTGACGGAGTGGTTGCTAATGCAGCAGCGCATGATTGTAGCAGCAGTAGTTGAATGAGTGTCGGCGGTAACATGATTGGACGTGCTGGGTCAAAGGATGGAGCCCTCCGGCAACACGGTTAAGACAATGCGCCAGTCGATGGCGATGCGCATGAAGGAGTGAAGTAGATGTATGGTGAACGAGAGACTGCAGTGGGAGAAGGGCTTTCCCTTCTGTTGAAAATTCAACAGCAGTGAGATGTGATTGCGAACTGGTCGAGGAATCGTTCTATTTTTACCTGGTCACAGGCAAGGACAGTCTTGAGAGGAGATTGATCTGCACGGCCGAACGAGCGATGGACAACGGGCAAGCATGGTCAAGCCAGTGAAATACCCGTCAGATTTTTCCTTTTCTTTTTTTGGGTCTTTGGCTCTGCTAGTTAACCCAGGAATTGGAGAGCAGTGCGTAAGCCTAGCCAGCAGCCGCTTCTCTTTGATATATGTAAGTCCGAGGGAGGTTGTCAAACGGTTTCCCTCTCATCCCGGCGATTGGCGTCCGCCAGGAGAAGCAAAAACGAACGAAAAGGCTTAAAGTTCTTTCGCAGTTTTCCTTTACGAAGCGCCCACCTGCAGGTGGATGGAGAATTTATTGTTTTATAAATTGCACACTTTTTTAGGCGGGCGAAGGCTGCGAAAAGACTGGTCCGTATTGGCTTGTAACGAGCGGTACCGTTCATCGTCGGCCATCATACACCCTCTTTTGATCCGTGGATTTTTGGATGGTCTTGTCCGCCAGTGGCTGCGAGGACAGCATCCTCCGTAGAAGGAGAAACGGCAGCTGAAACAGCACATTATTATTATAAAGGGCCATGCATAAGGACCTGACAAACGCGAGCAGGACTCCGCGGCCTGCCCATTGTCCCCCCACCGATGACAAGCAGATCCAGGGGAGCCCCGGACGAGTCGTATGCTTGTGGCCGTCAAGGTACCGTCTTGAGTAATCCGTAACAGGGGGCATACCCCTTATCCGCTACTAGTGCGCTGTAGCGTCTTCTTGTATGCACGCCTTTTCGAAGCCAGATGTGCGCTGCGTCTGTTAGTCAGATGGCTTGTCTCGTACGAACAGGATGGCCTGGAGACTTAGCTAGCCGTGTATGTCATAGCCTGGTCGGCGATGTAAGTATATACTTGCTACTTATCTCAAAGTAGAGAGGCCCGTTATCAGTCTTCTCAGTTAAGCCATGTCTCGCAAGGTCCGAGTCGACTTCTTGTTCTCTATTTTTTCACTTTTGTACTCCGTAGTTGGTGAAGGAAAATGCCGTAGGAAAATGAAAATGACGTCGAGAAGTAAGAAAATGCTGATGCCTGCTGAGGTCGCATCCAACTCGCCACAGAGCATCTTGTTACTTCGTGCTCCGTATATAAATATCCCCGCGGGGTAGCTGTTCTTCTTCTTCTCCTCTCCCTCTTTTCCTGTTCTTCATCTTCTGTCTCCATCCATATCAAACTTCATCAAGACGATAGTAAAGACGGCGCATCATCTCAAGAAACTGCTGGCCCCTGGACGGTTCACATCTACATCATCCACCCCATCAACCATGCCTCTAGTTGTGCCGAATCTGTCAGAAGATGACAAGGCTGCCTGGGCGGCCAAGCTGATGGGCAAGAAGATTACAGAGTCCGAGTCGAACGAGACTGTAAGCTTGTGCCCGCTGATGCATGCCGGTTACTCTGGCACTGACTGACATTGCTTTTTCCCTGTTTCCTAGTGTTTTGCAAAGAAGGACCTTCCAGAGGGACACCGAGTTCTCAAGCCGGGTGACATGTCTACAATGGACTTCAAACCAGAGAGGTGTGTTAATATAATTGTCGATATTAATGGCTGAGTTGGTCGTCTAGTATATGTCTGCTAACCCCGCGGGCTGTGCAGAATGAACGTCTACGTCGACGAGAACGGAACCGTCATGGACGTCAAGCATGGCTGAGCTCCCTGCAGATAAATGGATTTATCTCGGATGCAGTGACGACCATAATGATGACGGATAACGACCTCAGTGGCGAGGTTCCAGGGTTCCAGGTGATGGCTAATACTTGTAATTAATCGCCATCCATGCGTTGATCAATATAAGATAGTTTCATCGGGCCTTTTTTTTGAGTCTCCCTCCTGCTCGAGCTTGTAGCTTGTAATGGCAGCTAGACACGCCCCGATAGGTAGATAGACGTAATGATAAAAGGCAGCCGGAGGCTCAGCCTGTAGATTGTAGGTAGTTGATGCCCAGCCCGATGAATAAGTGCTGGCATCTCACTTTAGGAGCCATGCTGATTCACCTCCTTGCCTGCGGAAGAACCATGCATGGAACACAACTGTGCATGCTGCACGCCCCTTATGGGAGATTCGCACCTTCGTGCATCCTTCCTGCCACACATCAGTCGTCTTCGTCAGAGCTGTACGCACCCAGCCCCAGGGTTGACGCCTTTGTTTCTGTCGGGATGCTCGGCTCTGGCTTCTTGATAGGCGGAGGTTGAGTGGCTTCAGCTCCTTCCACTGCTTTATCCTTGCCATCTTTGCTGTGGGTGTTGCTATTATTGTTCTCTGCAGCGGTAGCGGACCTCCGTCGTTTAAGACCTAGCAGACCACCTTCCTTCTCTTTGGGCCGTCGACGTTTACGTCCTGAGATAGCCCAGTTGTCACCTTCATCTGCAGGCCCAACGAGCTCAGCAGCGTTCCCAGTCTCCGCATCCAGAAGAGCCTTCTCAGCCTCCTCACGCTGCCGGTGAAACAGTTCCAGCTTCTCACTCGTCTCCTTCTGCAATGCCTCCTCCTTGGCACGTGTGGACTCGAGTATCGAATCGAGGAATTCAACCTCGTCTTCATCCAGGGTTCGAAACTGGTTCTTCAGCCGTATTGATTCCTCGAACGCCTCTTGTTTGGCAGCTGGTGTAATCCACATCCGTCAGCACCAGTAGAAAATGCAGTAGAGTAGCAGACTGAAGCCGAATTGAAACATTAACACCAGCGTTCTTTATTCATGCCATACCCTTATTCTGCTGCAACACCTCATAGAGACTTTTCCCCCCTTCTTGCTGCCCTTCAGCAGCTCTCCTTTGGCGACTCTCCTCGAGCTCCTGTTTTACCTTCAGCCACTCGTCATTGGGCTTGCTGCCTTCGTAGTCCTCCCCCTCCACGCCCGCAGATACAAACCCAGACGACATCCTGTCCGTTGCAATGCAACCCGCCGGCGGCTGTCTTTTCTTGCTTTATCGTCTGCTCGACTAGCTACTTCGTCGTCGTCGTCGTTGTCTTCCTTTTCGCCGTCACTTAAGAAACTTAAGGTTTGATATTATTGCTTAGTCATCAACAGTGGGTTATAGTTCTTCCGATAACTCCGCTTTTCGCCGAGGTCCGGAAAAACTTGAGCCTATGACGAAACCTGCAGAAGTTCTTCTCATCTTCCGATCTTCTTCTTCTCCTCGTCAACTCAACCTCGACTTGCACAGTTGTTGTTGATGTCGTTTTGATATCGTCTCTTCACGATGCCGCCGTCGAGTGGGCATCAGCTCATTCCGAAGGTCTGGCGGGTAGCCAGGTAAGTGGCCCTTTTCAGTCGTTAAGAGGAGAAAGGACGCCAGGCTGACATCATTAAGGTTTGCCTTCGAGAAGACTGCGCGAGCAATCAGGAACAGACTTCCCGATGCCCCTGAACCCCGAGCCCTCCAGCTCCAACCAGCATATATTCGTCCGTCTGCAAGGACTCCTGCGAACCGCATTGCAGCTCTCAGGTCACAGACTCGTTCCTTTACCACTGGCCGTGTGTCAAGTCGTGCCGCTGGTATCAGAACCGCTCAGCCGCTGAAGATCGCCACCCAGGTCAGTCGGTTGACAACGAGGACTCCCTTTGCGTCAGCCCTCCGCCCAAACCTCACAGGAGGTGCCTTTTGTCGAACAGCAGGAGGATATGCGATCGGTGCGGGGAGAATAGGTGGAGCACGATACTTCTCCAGCTCTCCAACTTGCCCCGCTCAGGTTATCCAGAATGTCTCCGTAGCAATGCGTTCGTTCTGGCTGTCTGGCCAGAGAATCCGCTTTGACGGTATTGACAAGCGAACTGGTGCTAAAAAGTACAAAGTTGTAACCCCGTTGCAGCAAGAGGCCGGCCGCAAGATGGATGCCATCTCCCCAGCCGCCTCCGGATCCTACGTTGACTTCAAGGTCTCTCCAACCATCACTGCCCTTGGATGCTTCAAGTCCATGCAGAAGGGATCATCTTTCGCCGCTGATGAGCAGCCAACTCTCAACTCTGCTGGTCTGCTCGACCTTCTTTCTGGAGACTTTGCTCGCGTGCTCAAGGAACTCGCCGCCGTCCTCAACGATTTAAAGAAACTCGCCACACTCGGAGATCTCCCCATCTCGTTACAAGACCAGTCTACCATCCGCGTTCGATTCCCAGGATGCGATGCGGATACTGTGGAAAGGCTTTGTATCGAGGCTGGTGTTCAGAGGGGCGTTGTCGGCCAGGACGAAGACTTTGAGAGCAAAAATGGAGCTGACATGGCACTCCTCTTTCCCTTTGCTCCTAGCCACCAACACTCTGAATCAGGATCTTGTCCGTGTGAAAGCCCCTTTATGCGAACGCCAGAGTATGTCAATTGGCAGGAGATGATGCTCTCGGACAAGTCCATTTCTCCCTTTGGTACCCCAGAGGGTGACTTTTCCCTCCTGAACTTGTCTGAGGAGAATCCATGGGCTCGTCAACCATCTGATTTTTCTAGCGTTGGCATCAGCGAGCTTGGTGATCGAGCATTCTTCCCCGACATCCGCTACCCAACCCCTACAGCGTCCGACTACGGCGGCATTGAGGGAGTTTGCAGGTTTATCGAAGAATGCAACCGAGCCAGCCGTTAAACCCTCCCTTATAGATTATATCTTCTTGCCTTGTTTTCTTCTGATACGAATTTCCTTTTCCCGTTTGATTATATCCAATTGTATATAGTTCGTTGTCGCTGTCTGTTTGTGACTCCATTCGTTTCACTGGTGTATTTACAATTCTCTTTGTTTGACAGATACCATCTCCGCTATGCTACTGGCTGCTTTGCCGTCTCTTCCTGTTGAATATACCTATGCACAATAAAATAAAAAAACCATCTACTATCGCAATATCTGTAGACGTAGCGCTGGGCCACTGGCTTAAGCAGCATCACGTGGAAGCTCCGCCACCAGAAGCTGTTTTGTTGGAAAAGAAAAAAAACACATCAAAAGCCACCAAGTTTGTAGATGCAAGATAATTGACCACGAACAACCTGCATTTCCCTGCCTCTATAGCTCCTGACACGTCTGTCGTACCTGTTTACACGAAGCGTATCCTTTCTCTGGTATCAATAGCTGATACGGCAAACCTCACCGTCAACGCAAAGCGGGGTGGGAGCTCGCTACAAAAAATACCCCCCAAAGACCACCACTCGACCAGGTTATTTTATTCAAAGCTGCAGAACGGCCTATAGTGACTCTGCATAGGCCATGGACGAGTTCAACAACACAGACACAGACAGCGACTACACGTCCTTCTGGAGAGACTGGGTGAGTGGCCCGTTCGAACCAGTGTAACGCAGATATTCTCGGCTCGAGTGCGCGAGACTAACGCATTGCGAGCACAGTTCATATCCTCCCGAGGCAACGAATACTTCTGCGAAATAGACGAAGAGTACCTGACCGACCGCTTCAACCTGACGGGCCTCAACACCGAGGTCCAATACTACCAATATGCGCTGGACATGGTGACGGACCTGTTCGACCTAGACGCCGACGAGGATCTACGAGAACAAATTGAGAAATCGGCCCGACATCTGTACGGCCTGGTTCACGCCCGGTACATCGTTACCACGCGCGGCCTCGCAAAAATGGTACATCCCCCCCCCCCCAGCACTCTTCTCCAAGTTACCCTACGCCAAGTACTCACGCTAACTGACCTGACGAGCGCAGGTCGAGAAATACAAAAACGCAGATTTCGGCAAATGCCCGCGCGTGATGTGCGAGCAACACCCGCTCCTACCCATGGGCCAATCCGACATCCCCGGCCAAAAACCCGTAAAGCTATACTGCGCCAAATGCGAAGACATATATAACCCCAAATCATCCCGACACGCCGCTGTTGACGGCGCGTACTTCGGGTCTTCCTTCCACAACGTGCTGTTCCAGGTATACCCGGACCTAATACCGGACAAGTCGCGACAGAGGTACGAGCCGCGGGTGTTTGGGTTCAGGGTGCATGCGTGCGCGGCGCTGGCGAGATGGCAGGATCGAAAACAAGAGAAGCTGCTGGGCCGGTTGCGGGAGCTGGATATGGAGAGTCCGTTCATTGAGGATCGGGAAGGGGATGAGGATGAGGATGAGCTTGAGGAGGATGAGGAGGAGGAAGAAGAGGAGGAGGAGGATGAGGGCGGGGATTCGATTATGAAGGATGAGAGTATGCCTGTTGCGTGAGCGAGGCGAGTGAGCAAGAGAGAGAAAAAATACCGTCTTTTTTTTTTTTTACATTGATAATGGAGTGGGCGTATGGGGTGTTGATTGGGCGTATTGTATGCCTTTTGTGCTTTTTGCCTTAGCGCAGGTCATGATATGAATGATTGACTGGATTGTTTATTCATTTATTTATTTATGTTGGTTTTGTGGTTTTATGAAGTGAGATTAAAGTATGCATGATGACGGCTTTGTTCATAAAGAGGGCTGTGCATAATGCATAACTGCGTCATTTGGCAAGGGACAACGTAGATCTCCGATATCATTCTCACCAACTACATACATACTCTAGAGCCCTACCAGAATCCTAGATCAATATCCCTCTCGAACATATCAAGTAAGGCCGAGTAAAGTCAAGCTTAAACGGCCAGCGAGCGTCTAGTCCAGAACATGCTCAGGGCAGCCAGAATGACCGGCAAGACACTCACAATCTCGCCCAGACCAGCATACGCCGGCGGGATACGCACATACACAAAGGCGCCCGCAGCCAACAAGATGGCAAACACATTATACAGCGCAGACCAGACGAAATTGAACACAATACGCCTGAACGACGCCCGCGACACATCCAGCAGCACTACCACGCCTTCCAGCCCACCTAGCAGCACCACATCCGCCGTAGCTCTACTAACGTCCGATGAAGAGCCGATTTGAACGCCCACGTCTGCCTGCGTGATGGCCACGGCATCATTAGTTCCGTCTCCGCAGAACAGCACTGTTTTGCCCTGCTCCATCAGCCGCGTGACATACGCCTGTTTGTCGGAAGGTGTTTGGCGAGCAGCGATGTGGGCGGTGGGAATACCCACGGCCGAAGCGATTTCTTCAACGGCCTTGGTCTCGTCGCCGCTGACGACGTGGACTGACAGACCCCTAGATTGAAGCTTTTGGATGACGCGCGCGGATTCGGGGCGGGGGTTGTTCTTGAGCCCGAATACGGCGATCAGGGTGTCGTTGCGTGTGATGCAGAGGGTGCTCATGCCGCCGGTGATGAGGCGGGAGACGTCAGGGTGGGATTGGACATGGAGCCATCGAGCGCTGCCGGCGCGGAGGATGGAGGTGTCGGTGACACACTCCACGCCTGCACCGGGTATGATGCGGATGTTCTCGAGGCGTTGAGAAGGTTGGTCCTGGTCCTGGTCCTGGTTCTGGTTCTGGTTCTGGCTGGCGAGGTGTTTGGATACCGCTATGGAAACGGGATGTTTGTTATCGCGGACCAAGGCGGAGACGAGGGAGAGGGTATACTGGTGTGACTCTGGCTCTGGCTGCGGGAGCAAGACTGTTTCTACGACCTCTAGGTCAGCGGTGGTGATGGTGCCGGTCTTATCTAGCACGACGTCGGTGACTCGATGTGCTCGCTCGGTGGACTCGGCGGACTTGATAATGACGCCTGCCCTGGCGGCAATGCCGCCGGCGACAACGAGGACCATGGGAACAGCGAGGCCAACGGCACATGGACAGGACACCGCGAAGACGGCAATAGTGTATGTTATGGCGGTACCGATGGCGCCGCCCGCAGCCTGGTGCCGCACCAGCAGACAGACAAGCAACCATACCACTAGAACAATAGACGCTGCGGCCGTGACGATGGGCACAAACCATCCAGCTACCTTGTCAGCTAGATCCTGGACCCTAGGCTTATGACTTGAGGCTTCTTCGACGAGATTGGATATCTCTGCCACAGTGTTCTTGCCCGGCAGCCGAGTGAGGAGGGCGGTGAGACTGCCTGATCCATTGATAGTGCCGGCAATGAGCTGGGCGCCCTTTTTCTTGAGAACAGGCAGACTCTCGCCCGTGAGCATAGACTCGTCGACCTCGCTTGTCCCCTCGAGCACCCTCCCGTCCGTGGGGATGGTACAATGCGGCGAGACCAGAAACTTGTCCCCGAACTGGAGCAGTCTGGCATCGATCTCTCGAGTCTGGCCAGCAGCAGCGGCATGGGCATCTTCAAGCAAGAGGGCAGTAGCAGGTTGCAAGGAGCGAGTAGACACCGCTTCCACGGCCCGAATGCGCGCGTAGGCAGCGACCAGCCTGCCGAACAGCACGAGGGTGATGAGCAGGGTACTTGTTTCGAAGAACTCGGGCGTGGCAAGCGGTTTGTCTGCGAGGGTGAAGCCCACTGCCACGAGCGAGTAGAGGTATGCAGCGGTGATGCTGATGACGACCAGCATGTCCATCTCGACCACGCGGCTGTAGATAAGCGAGGTGATGGCGGGTTTGTAGAATTCCGGTACAGCCAGGGCCTGGACACCCGTGGCCAGAACCAGCGAGACAATGACCTTGGTGCGCGGCCCAGTCAGCGAGTGGCCCCAAGCCAGCACCAGGACGGGAATGGTAAGCAAGGCGGCATAAGTGGTCTTGTAGAGCATGGCGTAGAGTCTCTTTCTGCCGGCGGAGGCGGCGGGGTCCCTGTGGTTGTTGACTGGGGAGAGGCCCGAGGTGCGATCTCCCATGGCCTGGAGCAGGTCTCGGGCTCCGATGGCCAGGGGGTCGAATGCAATGCGGACTGTCCTGGCGTCGAGTATGTCGACCTGGGTGACTCCCGCAGGCAGACTTTCAACCGTGACATTGGGAGCAGTGCCTGGGGGAACAAGCAGGTCCAGATGCTGGTCGTCCGCGGAAGAGGAAGCCTTGACGCAGCGGAAGCCCGTGAGCCTGTCGAGACGGTCGATGAGGGCCTCGATGCTGGTGTGGGCAGTGTCGAGATCGAACTCTGCGTTTCCGAGGACGAAGTTGACCTTGACGTTGTAGACTGCGGGAGACTCCTGGAGGGCCCTGGAGAGCTTGTTCCCGCACCCTGAGCAGGTCATGCCGGAGACTGCGAGGAGGACGTGTTCGTGGCCAGCAGATTTCTCCAGGTCGACGGCTGCTCCTTTGATGATGCCAGTAGGATTGTCATTTGCATGGCTATGACTATGAGTATCATCATCATGGTCATGGTCGTGGTCGTGGTCATGTCCGGAGCAGCTCGAGGTATCATCCAGGTCAATATCCTTGTCTTCATGGACATGTTTATGTGCATGGTTAGGGGCAGGGTGAGAAGAGGCAGCCTGGCCGGCACAGCAAGGAGTGAGGCTGTGGCTGGCGATGACGCTGCGACAGATGCACTGGGCGGTCTCGAGATAAGAGCTGAAGCGCTCAAAGGCGAGCCTGAGATGGCTGCTGCAGGCGACTGCTCCATGCTTCCCGTCGTCTCCATGCTCATGGACATGTTCGTCTACCGCTGATTAGTACCAGATGTCAATATATAAGTAGTTAGAATAATAGGAGTGGTTGTGGTACCAGCAGCTCCGTCATCGCAGGCCTTTTGGCACTCGTAGGCAGCCAGCGACTCGATGCAGGTTTCTACTCATCCATTAATCTCTAATCTCTATCCTAAACAGAAGAAGACAAAAGACAAAAGACAAGACAAGACGGACCGTCGCAGCGCTCGTCGGCTTCGGGATCGCAGCAGGCAGCATCCCGGCCAGGCAGACGAGCCATGACTCTTGCACGGTCGTCCTCAGCCGGGGAGCAGGAGGAAGAGAAAGCTGTTGGAGGCTTCTTCTCGCCCGCACAGCATCCAGACTTGTTTCCGCAGGCCATTTCAGTGGTTCAAGCAAGCAGTTAAAGAGAGTAGAGTAGAGAGTAGTTATCCGTACTCTAGAGACAGAAAAGAGAGAAGACAGAAAAGAGAGATGATTCTTCGGCCCTTTTCCTTTATTTTGAGTCTATGCAAATCACTTCTTCGGCGAGATGGAAGAAGCGGCGCAGAGAAGAAGAAGAAGAACGAAGAAGAACGAAGAAGCGAACTCTTTTTGCCTTTTGATGCCGACGGGAAGATCCGGCGAGCTGAAGGGAAGTCTAGAAAAAGACTGCGGAGCAAGAAGTGAATGAGACTAGAGGAAGACTTAAAAAGGAGTCTTCAGTCTCGGTCTTCTTCTCCCTGACTGCGGACTGCGGCCTCATTGGCAGTGCAGGCCGGATGGAGCACCGCCGGAGAGCCATTGAGTGAAGCTGAAGCTGAGTGAAGCTGAGTGAAGCTGGAGCAGTGAAGCTGAAGCTGAAGTTTTGATCTTCGTCTTCGCTCATCTTCTCACTTCGCCTCCGAAGAAGCCATCTCCGGTGATGTGCGTTCGTGCATGAACTAGTTGAGTCAATCAGCAGGAAGAAGAAGAAGAACAAGCAAGACGCTGACCGCTCAACGTCAAGCCAACTGAAGCAGATAACCAGTCAGTCAGCCAGCCAGTCAGTCAGTCAGTTATTATCAAGAGAAGAAGAGAAGAAGAGCTCGTCTTTATATCTCAGTCGACCGAGGACCTTGCGAGTAGACAGAGACAAGCAACGGCTTAACTCGCAGAAGCGACTCCTTGGTAGCGAGCAGTTAGTTAGACAGCAACTTAGACATCTAGACTGGAGAAGAGACTCTGAGATACGAGATGCACAGCCACTCAACAGTCAACAGTCAACAGTCAACAGTCAGATATCAATCACAGTGTTCACTAACATCAATCACTACCATCATTAACTAACATCTCCAGAGTACTCACCATGCAATGCCACACCTGTCGCAAGAGACGAGTGCGCTGCGACGGCGCCCTCCCCGCGTGCCAGAAGTGCCGGGACCGCGAGCTCGACTGTCTGGGCTACGGCAAGCAGAAGCCCCTGGTCTGGCTCGCGGGCGGCGGACACCAGAACGCCTTTCTCGACGACCGCCAGAAGGCCAGGAAGAAGGGCCGGCCGCGTCTCGTAGTCGACAGTCCTTCTTCTAGGGACGTCAAGGCCAAAGATAAAGATAAAGATGCCAAAGATAAAGATGCTTCTACAGCTGTCGTGGTGGCTCCAAGGGCCGTCCCAGAGTCGATGATGTTCTCCTACCCGGCGGAGATCCAGAAGGTCGTCCGCACCATCTGGTACTGTAAGACTCACTACAACAACTACAACAAGATATCATGTATAGAATAGTGTATTGACAGTGTAGACGAGCATGAGCTGGTGCCTGACCTCGATCCCATCAACCACGTCGACGTCAAGGCCGCCGAGGACCCGACCGCCTGGCAGGACGACCTCGCCTCCATCCTCTGGCACGTCCTCATCTGCGCCGTCGACACCCACAAGGCCATCCGCTCGCAGCCTGACTCGATGGACTCGGGCGTGGAAGTCCAGGTCGGCCGCGAGGTCTACCGCTCCAAGTCTCACACGCTCAGGCGCATCAGCAGGAACATCGCCGACCCAGAGACCCGCATCTCAGACGTCACTCTCGTCGGCGTCCTGACTCTCTTCATGGCCGAGGTAGATGATACCTAGATATACCCTCCCATTTCATGATTGCTCACTGCTAATTGCCTAGTTATAGACACAACTGTCGGCTGTTGGGTCATGGCAGACACATTTCGAGGGAGCATGTCATATCATCCGCATGCGTGGAGGAGTCAGGACCATCGCCAGACACAGCGCCGGCCTGAACTCCCTACTCACCTTCTTCATGATGTAAGTTCATCTTCTTTATATCCATACCTATATCTAGATCCAAGTTAACAAGATAGTGCCGACGTCATGAGCTATACCACTATATCCTCGTCTCTCCCCATGCTCGACGCAAGGCGGCAGCTCGAGTACACAGACATCATACAGGAGGTCTACCAGGACGGCTCGGGGACATGCATCCCTTGTCCCAACCAGCTCTTCGACGCCATCATCCGCATCAACCACCTCAGAGCCCTGGCTGAATCGTACTCTAATTCAACAATCATAGAACTGCAAGACCTGGACCGAGAAGACGCATCTCCATCAAGTTCTAGCACCTCCACCACCACCTCCAGCTCAACTTCCACTCTCAAAACCTCCATTCATGCATTGCTACAAGATATCCTCTCCTTCCCCATTGCTTCATGGGCAGATACCATGCATCAGCAGACAGTCACTCAACAACAAGCCTCTTCATGCAGCAGGTTAGACCCCAAAAAGGCCTTCCTGCGTCCAGACAGGCCGGACTGGGTGCGCATAGCAAGCATCTACCATGCCGCCACAGCCATCTACTGCGTCAGAAGCCTCGGCCATCTCCTCGACCAGGACCAACTACTCCACGTCTCGTTCTCTGCTTCCACCTCTACTCCCACAGCTTCATACGTGTCCGTGTCTGACATCCTCCTCGTGGCCAGGAAGATTCTGCTGGAGACACTGCGGGAAGTCCTGCTTACTGTTTCCGATCCCCGCAAGTCCTTTGTCAAAGTCATGCTCTGGCCCATGTTCGTTGCTGGAGTCGAGGCTGCGGTAGACTCCCGGCCTGAGACAGTGCAGTTTAGATCACTGCTGGAGTCAGTCCTGCGCCGGCTGTGTCGCTCCCTCGGCACCCTGAGCATCTGTGGCCTGCGCAACTTTCTTCTATCGCTCTGGGAACATGCTCGGCTTCACCCGCATCTCTGGTCGTGGAGTGAGCTCATGGCCCTCTCCCCAGGTCGAAGCGTCTTCTTCATGTAGCCAAAGCATTCTTGCATATATACCCATTTCACTCCATTCACTTCATTCAGGCATAGACTGTATATACTCAATTCACTCCTACATAGACTGTATATACTCTTCATTCTGCATCTATACTAAACCTGCATCTCCTCCAACTCCCTAATACCAATTGCAATGACATCCGCAACCTCCTTCCCATTAATCCACATCCCATCATGCGTCTCAGCCATATCCTCCACAATCCTCACCCGTCTCTCCACGCCTGCATCACCACCACCAGCAGCCCACGCATCCACCGTCCCCTTCATAAATCCCAACTGACTCCCCGGCAACGCTTCATCATTCACCGAAAACCCCATCACCACCACCCGTCCGTTACGCCAACTATCAACCACCCCTCCCACCCCTTCCCCGTCCACCGCAGGAGACACAACCTCCCACGTCCCCTCCGCCTCATCCCCAAACGCCCCCGTCACAAACTCCCGGTACGCACTGATATGCGCCTTCTCCTCCACCAGCCCAAGCAGGTTCGTCACGCCCGCCACACTCACCACCGCCACGGGACGAACCACTTCCGCCGCACTCAGCACGCGGTTCATAACGACCTGGAACGCCATCGTGCCGCCGCAGCTGTGGCCCGCAAGCACGTACCGCTCGCCGAACCCGTACATGTCCTGCAGCAGGGCCAGCCCGTCCCGCACGTCGTGGATGTGGTCCGGATGTTTGGCATTGCGGTACTCTCTTGCATCCAAGCTAGTGGGATCCTGTGGGTGGTTAGGGTGTGCGGACAGTCGGTAGTCGATGGATGCTATTCCTGCTATCTTGTGAGAAACGGAGCGGTCGGAGAGCAGGTGGTCCTGTGTCGCCTTGAAGGAGGGCGCCAGGATGTCTGGATCCCGCCATGCCCCGCCGTGGATGTACCTATTTCTTATCAGTAAATCTCTCTAATATAATCAATTATATATATAGATGATATATATAGATGTTTATAGACGTACACTACCCAGTAGCCGGTGTCGGCTGGGGCCGGTGAAGGGGGTATATGCACGTAGACGTTCTGCAGGTAGTGCTCGCCATAGCTGTACTTCTCGTACCCGCAGTTCTCCGCCATTGTCTTGCCTTTTTTCTTTCTTTCTTCTTGCTTTCTTTACTTCTGAATGATATCGATATCAATGTCGGAGAGTTGTAATAATAATGAGAATAGATACTGGTCGAGAACTATATATCGTGTTGCGCGCGGGGGGTCTCAAAGATGCCCCTCAGTCGACTTCTCAATGCCCGTGAAGAATCCGAGCATGGGGCAGCGAGCCACGTCTCTGCCCATGCATGTAAAAGCTAGACCATCCTTGCACTCACTCAGCCTGCCACAGTCACAAACCCGCATCTTCTCCATCTCTTTCATGCGCTTTTTCCACCTCGTTGTCGTCGTTCGTCTTTGTTTCTTCGGCGTTTTCGGCGTTTTGAAGAGTCGAAGTTGTGCTTATGTAATTAACTATATGCTTAGGTAATAGACTATTCACGCTAGTCTGTTTTCGGCTTAGCGACTTATCTTTTTCTATCTTTTTTTTTATTTCACACAAAACGACGACGGCGAGACGAAGACGAAGACGAAGCTGAGACTTCAACAACTTGCGAAGCAGCTGCTCGACCTGTGAACTGGATACTGCATAGACGGAAGACGCTGCATTCGCTGAACGAGACAAGATGGCAGAGTATGTGTTCACTGAAACTGCGAGTTTGGCAGGGGACTTGAAGCTGACCTTGTTCTAGGAGAGACGGTCCGTTGAAGGCGGTCCAGGTGGACGCGCTGGTACGCATACACCATACACTTATATATCCATAGAGTACAACGCCGAAGAAGACAATACTGATGGTTATGCAGGTCGTGATGAAGATAATCAAGCACTGCACCCAGACATTCCCCACGACAGCCACCGGTTCCCTGGTCGGAATGGACGTCAAGGGTACCCTCGAAATCACAAACTGCTTCCCCTTCCCCGTCGTCGACCTGCCTCCGGACTCGCACCTCGACATATCGCCCTCCAGCGGCGCGGCGTCGGCACCCCGAGCAAAGTCCAACGTCGCATACCAGGCTGAGATGATCCGCATGCTGCGCGAGGTCAACATCGACGCCAACAATGTGGGGTACTACACCAGTGCCAACATGGGCAACTTCCTCAACCTCAATGTCATTGAGAACCAGTACTTTTACCAGAAGGACATGAACGAGACTGCCGTCACCCTCGTGCACGACGTCAGCCGCAGCTCTCAGGGCCCGCTCAGTCTGCGCGCCTTCAGACTCTCCCCGCAGTTCATGACTGCCTTTAAGGAGAACAAATTCACCGCCGAGCAGTGCGTACCCTCTCCCTTTTTCCCCCCTCTCTCCAGGAGTATAATCATCCCTTTAGTATATGTATACTGACGGACGTAGCCTGCAAAAATCCAACCTCAGGCACAGTGACATCTTCGTCGAGCTGCCAGTGACCATCCACAACTCGCATCTCCTCACCACCTACCTGCACCAGATCCCCACCACCGCACCCAAGGAGGAACTCGACCTGCCCCCATCCCTCGCCGCTTTACTCGCCAGCCCCCTCTCCAACCCGCCCATGAACACGCCCAACTTCGACAACCTCTCTCTCAACATCGACCCGTTCCTCGAGAAGAACTGCGACCTGCTGCTGGAGAGCATAGAGACCCACCACACCGAGAACAACAACTTCCAGTACTACCAGCGTGCCTTGGCCCGAGAACAGACCAAGATCGCCGCCTGGCAGGCCAAACGCAAGGCCGAAAACGTCAGCCGCGCACAGCTCAAGCAGCCTCTGCTCGCCGAGGACGAGTGGCAGCGTCTCTTCAAACTGCCCCAGGAACCAAGCAGGCTGGAAAGCATGCTCAACACCTGCCAGGCAGAGCAGTACTCGAGACAGATTGATGGGTTCGTGGCAGCCACCACGGGCAAAATGTTTGGCATCAAGGGCAACCTCGTCCCCGACAACCAGTCTTAGACTTCTTCTTTTCTTCCTCCCTTCTTTCTTTCTTCCGTTTCTTCTTCCTCTTCCATGTTTGTTCCTGATATGATTCGTATTATCATGACGGCGTCCGGTGGTTGGATCTGGTTTATCCCTCTTTATAAAGAGTCAATTCATCATCCCCCTTTTTTGCTCCCTCCCTCTCCTGCTCTCCCTATGTAATGCCAAATCAACAGAATCGACGCATCAACTACCGACCGTACCCTTCCATCCCCGTCCTTGTATATTTCTCGTAGCCTCCGCGATACGAAGTGCATCCGGTCAAAGTTTTCCGCGCCCGTCTCCATATCATGTGCTGGCCGCTGGTGACCGGGCGATCTGGCGACGCTCTCCCCGGCCGCGGGCCGTTTCAGGGATGTACGCATGCCCAACCTGTTCTCCATCCATCATGCCTCCCCCCCGATTCCTCCTTACTTATATCCATCCCATCCACGCACATCCATACATGCATTGCATCCTCGCCGTCGCCGTCTTTCTTCGTCCTCCTGCAGCTCTTTTGCTTACTGCCAAATAGGCGGTGAGTCACGTGAGAGCTTGAGGTTCTTTTTTTTTTCTTTTTTCTTTTTTTCTTTTGTATTCTTTTTTTTTTATTTTATTTACTTCAGACAAAAGAACAACAAACGTCAAGATGAAGCAGAAACAAGACAATAAACAATAAACAATAACTAGCAGAGTCGATAGTAAAGAAAGCGGACGACGGACAGGAAGACACCAAGTAAAGGCCGGTGACTCGAGAATCGTGGTGTCTCGCGCCCTGCTGCTGTTGTCTGCGCGCGCCGAGTCGACTGTCGCTGCAGGTAAACCCCCCGCCATGTCGATGATTCGCCCTTGCTGATGCCAATCGCAGGCTGGCGCTCTGGTGCCTCGCATCTCGTCTCGTCTCGCTGCCGGGGGCTCTCTGTCTCGCATATCCTCTCCCCGTCCCGTCGACCTCGCTGTCCTGTCTTGTCTTTGCGCTGGCGGGTTGGTAACTAGTCCACCAAGACTGGCCGGACAAGTTACAACTGTTCCCACAACGCCTCCATAGTTAACGACGTTTTTTCGCCATCCATCGGCTTTGCAACGCCCCGGTGGACGGACCCTGCAGCCCTAACTGAAAGCTGCGTCGGCCGACTGTGATTCGATGCTATAGAGCCGGCTGAGTATTTGCTCATTCCATCGACCAGATCTTTTTGATCCTTTCTTTTCTCTGTTTATTTTTTTTTAGGTTCCATTTTTTGGGTTCAACCTTTTGCCTGGACCAGTATTTATTTACTCGACGTTTTCCCCGGACATACATATTTATCGAGGATCGAGGAGAGAGGACAGGATCTCTCTCTCACTCTCTTCTTCTCCCCTTTCTTCCCCCCCTTTTCTCTCTGTGCTGTGCTCTGACCGGACTTCCTGCGCTGGAGTGCCTGGCTCAGCTCAGTGTGTTTCTAACCTGGTCGTCTCTTTTCCTAGTTTTTCTGTCCCTTCTGTACCACCAGCGGCGTCAGGACGAGAGGCTCCAGTTTTTGTCTTTTTCTTTCGGGTAAGATAAACGCAAAAAAAAGTTGAACTTTGACCTTTTAGACATCCGGGTTCCTGTTTTCGATCTGCCGTGCTATTTTTTCCCTCTTTATTTTGCTGCTGCCGACTCTACCTCTCAATACCGTCCGGGCGTCTTTTCTGTGCGATAGGCTAGGGCTTTTTTTGCTTTCCGTTTATGTCTATCGATAAGCTTATCGTCGAGCCTCCTTGCCCTTGAACGACGTCACCGGCAGCAAACTCCAGCATCAGGATTCGTCGCCCGTCCGATACGCGCCTGATCTGTGCGACTCATGACCGTCTCTCCATCTCCCCAGTACTCGGTTTCGTCTAGGAAGGCTTCGATTCGGCACCATGGCCTGCGCGGACGTGGAGATGCTCGACACCTGGAGCCCGTTGTGCCGTGTGGGAGATACTCCTTTGGTTGATGGGGATTTGATGGCATCAGAAAGGAGGCTGCGGCATCGTTCGACCGTGGGACAGTTGCCAGCCTGGTCGTCTCCAACTGCAGGGAACATCACACGGTGCATCTCGCCAAAAGTACGCACCATCCCTTTTGACTCCTTTTATTCGCTTTTCCCTCCTATATTGATGCTCTTCTCTCTCCGCCCCCTTTTAACTGTTACCCGATACGCAGTTTGCATGTTCCATCATCTATGGCTTAATGATTTTACTGCGCGTACTGCAAATGAACCGTTTTCTTCTTCTCCTCCTCTTCTTCTCTTCTTTTCATCTCCGTTCCAGGTCAATTGATGCTCATATCTATCGAATAGGTGGAGGTATTTTCAACTCGTAATCGTAATTCTACGGGAGCGCCTAGTTGCATAGATGACCTCAGAGCCATACTGGAGGCAGCCTTCTCGACTCCAGAAGCATCTCCGCTACCGTCTTACGATGATGCGATTCTCGATTTGCCGCCAGACTACGCTTGCGACGAATATGCTCGCGCACATGTTGATACACAGGCCGGTCCTGCTCCAGCCAGGCACCGCTCAACCAAAAAGCCATCTTCGTTATTTCAGGATCCGCTTATGAACATATCAGTTGATTTCAAAGATACATCTAGATTCAGGGAGGCAAAGAAGAAAAAGCCTGCTAAGAAACCTGCGCCCGTAGCAGACCCGTGGGCAGATACCACACCAGAGAAAGATTCCGGCGCAGGCCAGGAGGAAAAAGATGCTTCGGGAGGCGGCGCCGATGGAGGAGATGGCGGAGGAGGTGATAATGGTGGTGGAGGAGACGATGCCGGCGGAGGAGGTGGTGGTGGTGGCGGTGATGACCCTGGAGGCAACGATGATAAAGGTGGAGGTGAGGAAGATGCGGATCAAGGCTCAAGCAAGAAAAAGAAGAAAAAGAAGAAGAAGCAGGAGGAAGAAGAAGAGAAGAAGAGACAGGAAGAGGAAGAGAAGAAGCGTCTAGAGGAAGAAGAGGAGAAGAAGAGACTGGAAGAGGAGGAAGAGAAGAAACGACTTGAGGAAGAAGAGGAGAAGAAACGCCTGGAGGAAGAAGCCAAGGCAAAGGAGAACGCTGGCGGCGATCTATCCTGGGCCGATGATACCAATGCAGACACCAGCTGGGGCGATTTTGGAGCTGCTACCACATCCAAAAAGAAGAAGAAAAAGGGCAAGGTCAGTGGAATCACTGCATGGATCAAACCAATTGTTCCCGATACTAACATATCGAACTTTGTAGAATGGTGCTACCGAGCTCCCTCCTCCTGATCCAGCACCAAGTGCGTTCCAGGACGTCAGCTTAGATGATGGCGCTGGAGCACCTCAGATTGGCATGTCCTTTGGCGGAGAAGATACCAAGGGTTCTACCGGATTCAGTTTTGGCGGCTGGGGAAAGGACTGGAATACAGGCGGCGAGCTTGATCTCGGTGCAAATGGTGGTGATACCAAAGATGACGGCCTGAATCCCTGGGGTGGTACCAGCAAGAAGAATAAGAAAAAGTCTACGGGATCCGACGCATTTGACTTTGGCTTTGATTCTAACGGTCTCGACGGTAACAATGCCGATCCTGCTGGGGATGCAGGCGCTGACAAGGAGCTTGACAATTCCTGGGGTTTGTCCGCTCCCACGACTGGGAAGGATAAAAAGAAGAAGAAAAAGGGTGCTGCTGAGCCCGCTGCTACTGAGGAGAAAGATTCTGGTGGCCTCGGTGATTGGGCTGACCTCGCTATGCCGAAGAAGAGCAAGAAGAAAACCGCGTCTCCTTGGGGTCTTGGTGATGATAAGACGAATGATGGAGACGATTTCTTCGCTGACCTAGGTAAAAAGGACAAGCAAGCCGATCCAGAGCCAGAACCCGAACCCGAACCGGCTCCTGAGCCCGTTGCCGAGGAAAAGCCAGCAGAAGAGGATCCATGGGGTGCTACGCCTGCGCCGTTGTCCAAGAAGGAGAAAAAGAAGAAAAAGAAGAAGGGCGCAGCAGACCCTGAACCCGAACCCGAACCTGTCCCTGAACCTGCTCCTGAACCCGTAAAGGAAGAGGAGCCGGTTAAGGAAGACCCGCCGCCGCCTGAGGAGGAAGATTGGGGTGGTTTTGGAGTCACCAATTCTAAGAAGGACAAGAAAAAGAAGAAAGGAGCGTCCTTACTTGATCCAGTCCCGGAGCCTGAGCCAGAAGCCCCCAAGGAGGAAGAAAAGCCTGCCGAGGAGTCGTTCAATTCCTGGGACGCTATTCCAGCCCCAACCTCCAAAAAGGATAAGAAAAAGAAAAAGGGGACCGTGGCCGCGGAGCCCGTTATCGCGGAACCTGAACCCGTGCCCGACCCGGAACCAGTCGTTGAAGCCCCGCCGGCGGAAGAAAAGCCGGAAGACAGCTTCTGGAGTTCACTGGCCACTTCATCTTCCAACAAAAAGGACAAGAAAAAGAAGAAAGGCGCCGCGGCAGAGCCGGTAATACCGGAAACCGTGCCCGAACCAGATCCTGTACCTGAACCCGAACCGGTCGTTGAGCCAGCTCCGGCCGAGGAAAAAAAGCCTGTTGAATCTGCTGGATGGGGGTTCGGTCTACCTTCCACCACTTCCAAGAAGAAGAAGAAGGGCGGTGCTGCTGATCCACCGCCTCCGCCACCACCCCCTCCTGAGCCTGAGCCAGTGGTTGAGGAAACTAAGGAAGAGGAGCCAGAGAGTTTCTGGGGATTTTCCACTTCAAAGAACAAGAAGAAGAAAAAGAAGGATGAGCCCGAGCCCGCACCTGTGGAAACTGAGAAGTCGAAGGATCTGTTTGATAACGATTCCTGGGGGAACGAATTTGATCAGGACAAATCGAAGGGTACTGGTATGTTTTGTTTCATCTATTCAACTACAGTTTTTATTAGTATTTACCTGGGCCTTTGCTAATATTTATGCAATAACGCAGACCTGCTAGATGATCCTCCCAAGACGGAAACTACGTCATGGTTCGGATCACTCACATCTTCGAAAAAGGACAAGAAGAAAAAGGGCAAAACGGCAGACCC